CCACTTCAGTCCTCAAAGTTCTCATTTGAGTATTTGCTACTACCACCAAGATCTGCACTAGGGGCCGTTCGACCCGGGATCACTCCCAAGGCTTCGTCACGGACCCCCACGCCTGCCTACTCATCGGGGCATCGTTTCTACCCCGATGGCGAGGTATGGGTAACACGCTTGAGCGCCATCCATTTTCAGGGCTAGTTCATTCGGCCCGTGAGTTGTTACACACTCCTTAGCGGATTCCGACTTCCATGGCCACCGTCGGGCTGTCTAGATGAACTAACACCTTTTGTGGTGTCTGATGAGCGTGTATTCCGGCACCTTAACCTCGCGTTCGGTTCAACTGGCCCACAGGAGCCACGTCCGAAACAGGCTTTTGCACAATGCGGAAATCGATAGCTTGTTACGTGATACGTCCAGCCCGGATGCCGGCAATTCTCACGTCACGTAGACAAATTCGACACATAGTCTGACCACTTAAGCCCGGGATTGAGCGTCGTGGATGATGCCACGTACCAATCTTACTTTGCTGCGTGCGTGGAAGGTCCTCTCGAGCTGATTGTGACCAAAAGCAAATTACAGGCCGCATCGACAAATCGATATCCTGAATCCTGCTCGCAGTGGTCAGTCGAAATGGTAATGTTCAGGCAGTTGTGTGTCCTTCCTTACAGCTCGCATTGCTTCGATCACTCATCCATAGTCGTTGATATGTTCCTGCAACCTGACCCCAATCCCATGAGTCCTTGACGGTAGCTGGATGTCGACTACATCCTAGAAAGCAACATTTCCCTTTCGATTATAACAGGATCATCGTTTTTCAAGATCTCACGTAGCCGTGGCCAACAAAACCACCTAGCTGGATGACAGTCGACTGCACCATGGTAGAATCATCGACTCCTATCCCAACGGTCACTTCCTTTGGACGGTCGATAGCACAAAAAGAGTCATTCAAGAGCATCGTAGCCAGTGACTGGCCGTGTAAGCAACAAACGGGCAGATCCAAGAAAGTATATCACCTGCATTCATCGAAAATCCCACATCTGTCAACCACAACGGCCAAATCGTTCAACTGGGAGAGGACCACTTCGGAGAAACGAGTTCCAGTTCTCCTGGCGAGTGTTTGCGTGGCAACCTGACTGTATTCATCGATATCAAGAGATTTCGTTGCTGTATGAGCCCAGATTGATTGGTTGATTGGTTGATCGGTTGATTGATCAATCTGGATTGGTAGCTATTTCTCACGTTGCACTCTTCATTGACTATCTCCGGCAGACAAATCCCACCTATACCCCTGGGGGAAATACCATCCAAGAATGCGTCAGTAGTCGATGGGTTGGCGTGCAAATATATGATATTACACTTCATCGATCAACCATTTGCTTCATTCAGAACCCCGTTCCGGCTCACTCGGGCCAAAGCCAGCCATCTAGTCGTCGGTGGCTGCAGGTAACTTGTTTTTCAGCCAACTCATCCACTTTATATACATCGAAGAGGTTATGCAGACGCTGATAATGGCGATTGCAACTGCTCTAGTCCCCTTTGCATACAACGTTCTCCAACAGTGCATCAATGATCTCACCCCAACTTTCGTTCCGGGATCATCTCATCCGACTCCAGATGCGGTAGAAACAGTCGAAAGAGGATGAATGCTATTTCTCGGTGATCGTCTTGAATATATGCGGTGCAATGCCTCTCAAAATGCTTGCTCAAATGATGGACGTCGTTCTTTGCCGAGCAGTCACTGGACCGTACCATGTATTTGAATCACTTTCTACGTAAACTCAGCCCAAATTTCGAGTAAACTGTCACGCATAAAACCATTTGCCAACGCTAGTAACGAGTGGACAATACGAGATGGCTGAATGCGTGCGATTGTGATTGCTCTCGGAGATCTCAGCCATCGCCACGTGGCTTGCAGTGTTCCCGTGAGTCTTCGTGCATTTTCTCTGACCGTCAGGCCCTACGGTAATTCTCGGAAAGCGCTGGTCCCTAGGAGCAGTATGCAACAAGGTGGTCTGGCCGCATTCGAAGATGGTAATGGGCCTTCAAGGCAGTGTCCCGTTTCACACCATGCTCGAAATTTGGATTGAGTTTGGCCTGCTGAAAAGCAAGACAGTATCGAACACGTTCTTCGTTCTTATTACACTCTGTGCCGAGGAAGGTATTCGGGCTTCCTCTCACCACCGCGTTTTTCAAACAATTCGTCTCATCGTTTCGTTCTTTGCTCACTGAGCTGTATGATTCGCTTTGTAAAAACATGCAGTGCAGATGCTATCATTTTGGTCACGCCCGGCCCGTTTACCCTACATTGAAAGCTACCTGCCCCTACTGTGATGACAACCATGACAAGAAACGCTGCTAGATCCAGGGAAAACGGTCTATGTACTAATGTGCCAACTGCAACGGACGCCACGCAGCTGTCGATACCAACGCCAATTGCCCAGTACGACACGAATACACTAAACACTACAGAGTAACAACGACTACAAAACAAGCCCAAGTACTTCACGGTCCCGGAAAAGACCGAGGCAGGGCCACCACCCGCGCCAAAGGAACCCTTCGGGACTGGTACGTCATTCACAACACACGGATCAACGACAGCCGGGGGTTCAGCAGAGCGGGCCGCCACCCAGCATCCCACGATGGCGAGACTTCACCCCCTAGCCGCAGTGGAATACATCGCTCAACTCCGGCTCCGGTCAACACCCCAAGCCAACCACTCCATGATAACGAGATCCCGGAGCCAGTCACCAACACGGTCAACACTGAATTCTCCAACGAATTCTTCTCTGAGCCCTTCTCCGAGCCGTCCACTGCAGCAACGAAAGCAGTTCAGTCTCCCACCAAAGCCGCCAGTCCGAGTCATAGAACACAAACCAAAATCACCACCATTACAAGAACAGCCGTGAGTTGGTTGTTACGTCTCACTGCCGCCAGTGCCCGAAACACCGAACCGGTTGTGGGCACAAGCGCCTCGACAACCCCCCGGGCTGGGAAACGAAGACTCCCCCATCTCGTCGCTGTCAATCACCTCGCAAACACCGACATGGTCCAGCGACTGGTCTCTCACCGGTTCAGAGACTGCTGGGCGAAAACGAGGCTGCCCTCGGAAGTCGAAAATCCGGACCGAAACGCGTCAAATCCACCAAGCAATACGACACCGAAGACGAATCCACACGACACTCAGTCACGACATCACTCGCAGAACAAAACACGACGCCCATCACCATACTAGCAACACCCTTTGACCACTGGGAGTGGGTGGTCCAAGGCAACACCGAACGCAGGGACGTGATCTCCGTGGCCACCAAGTTCTTCCTCTGGGTCACTGACACGGCCACCACCGCCACCACCGCCACAGAAGCGAAAACCTCGCCGCCTCCACCACCTCCGCCTTCCGATTCCGGTACACACAAAGGAACGCCTCCCACGCGCCGGCTCCCATACAAACCTCCGATCACGACCCTTCCCTGAACTCCGACAAACGAGATATGCCCCCAATTCCAGAAAATGGAGACGGGAAGCGCGTTTTGGGGCTCCAGCGAGCCCATCATCGAGTATCCCACCGAGTACTTCCCAAACGAATACCTCTCCGAGTAGGCACAACACCAAACGACAACCCTCCGAACGATGAATCCCCGAACCATGAGACTCTCCAAATCCTCCAGTACAACACCCAGAACTCCCTCGACAAGGTCACTGCTCTGCGATCACCGGCTCCGAGAATACGCCGTGGTTGCCGTCCAGGAGCCGTGGGCAACGACAAACCCAGCTCCCCGCGAACCCACTTTCCCGGCGAAGCTTTCGAATAGTAGTAGTAGTAGTAGCAGTAGTAGACCTTTTATTCCTCTTCCAGCTACTAGGCCCGTTTGCATCATGGAATCGGCGATCGCCACCGACGCCTTCGGTTCCGAAAGCAACCCATCAACCCCCAGTGCCCGGGACACGTTTCTCCGCAGCTTCCTGCACATGTCGTTTGTAGATCAACCAGCAGCGGGCATTTGAGCAGAATATGTTGTGGTGTTTGACTGCCCGAACTGCACCCGCATTGCGCGCTCTCTGACCCCTATTCGGGATAGGTAATGGCTCAACCCAAACCTCCCGGTGTAAATGATGTGCTGCTTGAAACCTCCGAGGACAATAGTACGTCGTGCCACAGAACCGAGTCTTGAACGATGCCAGAGTAATCGAAGGCATTGGTCTCGTAATGCATCTCATTCTGGGGTAAGCCGTTGCAGATCTTGCGTGTGGAGAAGTCAGATCCAACACACCAATTTCCGCGCTGGATGAAGATGATCATTCTCCGAGACATGGGATTGGGCAAGCGTAAGCGGCTTCGAATAAGTTACTTGCGGAGTTGGTTGATAAAGCGAATCGCTGGTGGCAAACGATTCGAATGCTCATCGTCGTGTATGTGAAAGCGAGTAGATGAAGTAGGCCTTTGAATAATATGTGATCAATTAAGACGAATTGCTTGGCCTTTCAGCCAGGCCAGCAATCGAAGCCATATGTATATACAAGTCCCATTTGCCATCGACAGCTATTTGCCCCTTCCCCGTAGGGGTCTCGTCTTCTGCTCCATTCTAGATCTCATCGAGACATGGTCTTGAAGCTATCCAGATCGATCACGGAGATACTGAGATCTAGCCGTTATCGATCTCCGTGCGTGTGGCAGTCGAAGAGCCGTCGATCAGAGGTATCGTGTCGACAAGGTTTGAACATCTTCGGTTCGTGACAGCAAGGGCGTATCATCTATATAGAGTTGCCACTGGTAGTTGGTTTGAGCGTGACTCCCGGCAGTGGAAGGGCTCAGGTACCAACTCCCGCGTGAATCGATCAGTGTTTTTCTGTACATATGGATGGGATGATCGTTGTTCGATTATTTGACATCGACAGATCAGATGCTCGATCATCGTCGAGAGCCACAGACAAGTTCGTTTCTTTTTTCTGTCACGCGTTGAAAGAAAACCGGGTCGATATGGAGCAGTCTTACGGCTTCTGTCGACAGTGTCAATCTCTGTGAAGCTGCAGCTCTCGATGAAACAGCATCTAGCTGGTATCCATCGATGAAATACCTGACGAGTTGCTTATGAGTTTGCCGTAACCAGAGCATCTCCTGCAATGCGTCGGCTTTTCTGATCGTGGCTTGCCGAGAGAGATCGTGTCACATGATCCGTATTATTACCAGCCCGTGTGTAATTTATATAATATACCATATAAAACAGTCCACGAGTGTGTAATGGGTCTGTGTTAGATACTGTCGAATCGAGTCTGTTTTCAAAATATGATTCGACTCGACCAATTCTTCGATTCGACTCGTTGACTCGTTGAATTGAATCGACTGGATTCGTGTGGCACACGTTCTGAGATTGTCTAAGCGAGACTCATCGGTTTCGAAGGAATGTGTGGCTTCTTTGCAAAGTGGCGATATCTCGTGCGATCTTCGTGGTCGAATGATATATTTTGACGTTCGCCTCGGGCCGTTGCCCGAAATCAACACTTGTCTCAATGCCCACGATACCAAACAAATCACGCTCATCGAATCTTCTGACTGATCCGGCCAGTACAATATTTGTTTCATCAACAGTGATGCATACCGAATCTAACGTCTATCGAATTAACAGAAACGGAGATGGAGCCGCGATCCTGTGTGCCCACCATGCGAACAATTACGAGTGAGCGAGAATTGAGTCAGTCTGCCCGAGTACGATCGACTGATGGATGGGTTCATTTTTCGCAAGCAGTCAAAAATCGAAGCAGTTGGAATACGAGAATTCGAAGCCGTTGTGGAAATCTTCGCTTCGTTTCTTTCGCGTCGAGAAACTTCTCCGCAGAACGTAAACCGACAATTGCCGTCGATCGATTGACTACAAATGGGTTGGATCAAATGTATTCATTCGTCGTGGCAGATCTACGGTATATCTAATCTTTCACGTCCGTGGTATATCCATGTTCCATCAGATACTCCTTCAACAGTTGATCCTCCTTTTCCAGATCCAAATCCCCACTTTCGGGCAACAGCCAATAGACCATCATGCCCAGCACGGCAACTCCACCGGCCAGATAGAATGTCGAACTGTTCCCGGCCCGATCCTGCAACGGAGAAAAGCACTGCGTGCCCACTGCTGCTCCAGTCCTACCGAACGCTGTGGCCACACCGTACCCCATACTGCGCATGGCCGTGGGGAATGACTCGGTGGAGATCAGTCCAATTGTAGCTCCGGGACCCATGTGACCGAATGCCTGCAGCAGGCCGTACAGCACAACAAATGCTGCGATGTGCTGAGAGAGCTTGGAGTAGGTACCTCCGATGATGAAGCCCAGGACCACGTACCCGGCGAATCCCAGCATACCGGTCTTTCGTCGACCAATGGCGTTGGTGAGCCATGCACCGATGATGACTCCAGGAACAGGGAGAACGGCCAGGATGACTTGCCAAATGGCCGTGGTGCGAACGTTGTGGTCCTTGACCAGCGAAGAAATAATGGTACTCGACATGATGCTGTTCGGAAAGTTGATGAAATCGTAGAGAAAGAAGGCCAGCGAGGTAGTCAACATCCGCCACCAGTATCGACGGACAAGCAACAGGTAGATTTGCGGGGACCGTCGTTGGCGAGTGAAGTTCGAGTAGTGGAACAAGGTAGAGTCGGCCATGAACAGCCGCAAAACGATGATGATGACTGGAAGAATAGTGGCGATCGAGTAGATGGCGTGGAAGGCAATGGTCAAGTTGTTGTCGCTGGCGATGAGGCAGATCAGGTAGATGATCATCAGAATCGGACCGGCGACGGTGGCCATCAACGTTGTGAAGGAAACAAACAAGGGACCGCGATATCGTCGCAGGAACTGCATTGGTGAGCAAAGAACACAGTTACCAAGGCCAGGACACTCACATCGTCTGATTCTTCAATGCCTGCCGCAGCACTCGGAGGATACTCGCCTCCCACGCCAAACCCAGCAATTCCTCGCACAACGACAAAGTACCACAACATGTCGTTGGACGGATGAACCTGAAGGGCCAGTGCCGACATCAACGTCCCAATGGCCACGAGCGACGAAGTGAAGAGCAAACCGGCTCGTCGCGAGAACATGTCCGAGGTGTATCCCAACACGACAACCCCGAGAATGGCGCCGACAATTAGCGAATTGCTGATGCGCGTTTTCATCTCGGACGGATAGCCGTCCGAGCCCAGGAGTTGTTTGAAGATGACATTCGTAGGGTTCGCCAGGGTGTTTTGGAATCCGTCACTGAAGTTGGCGATGTACTGGAATCATCAGCCGGTGGTCAAAAAACGCTGGACGAAGGACTCACGCAGCTCAGGATGGTGATGTTGCTCTGCCATTTGGTCGGACGATACGACCTGATCGTGGCATCCTCGACGTCTTGGTTGACGACAGTTGTTTCCGTCTTGCTGGCTGGCTGCTCGTGGCGAGGGCCATCGCCTGTCCGTTCCTCAGCGATTGCCATGGCCGGAGAATCCGGAGAATTCGGGGAATTTCACGCGTCGAATCTCTGACACGATCGAGCAGTCAGCAAAATGGCGATGATGAAGAATCGACGGCACTCACCCATGGCCTGATCGGAATTGCCGTTCCTTTGAATAAAAATGGCCTCCACCCCGGTTTGTCTAGTCGTTCCACTTGATAAGCCTTGATTTCGGTGAAGGTCCGCCACGCTCGGACACCCCACGGTCGATCACGGACAACTCCGCGGAGATAAGCTTTGCGAAGCAACGGAAAATCAATTGGATAATGAAGAGAGAGATACGCAGTATGGACAGGAAAAAACCAATCCTCCTCACGGTGTTTTCGTCTCCTTTGCTGCATCGTCGGGTGTTTTTGTTGAGATGCAGCTTGCAGACTGTGTGACGCACTATTCCCGATGCAGCAGCACAACCGATCTCCTGCAGCGATCGGCAGCGACGAAATTTTCCGTGTGCCTCCAAGACGAAGAGGGGAGAATGGCGTTGTCGCGTTATTGACTACCTCGCGACAAGGCAATTGTCTTCCACAGATTGCAACGGTGCTGGAGTAATGGCGGCACTTCCTCCATCGCCGTCGAATTGGTTTGCAGCCTCAACCGTTGCCCCTCTCCCCACGAAGCCCAATACGGCGCTCGAGTATTTCTCAGTGTGTTTGGATCCAAATTCATGACGAAGCTAATCCAGTAATCCATTACGATAGGTACAATCCCCGCGTTGACACCGGCGTACGTCGTTTCCTCCGAGCCCGGTGCAGAGCCAACTCCGAATATCGCAGTCGTTTCGAGCGTATGCGAAACCCCGAGACCGGCAGCCATCATCGATGGATCTTGCACATTGTATCGATAATTCCAGACTTGGTTGGGAGCGAAGTACCTTGCCATTGTCCCCGCAATGTGATTCCCGGGGCAGGTGAAGGTGGAATCGCCATACGCTGCAGACGTAGAAGGAAAATACGGGGCATGGAACGGTAGGGGTGGCATTGGGGGATAGGCATTGAAGATTTCTCGCATCTGTCTGGGGACAAGATCGGGAAAGTTGTTCTGCAGGAACTGAGCCATCTCGCTGCGGTTGGTGGCATTGCACGCAAACAGAGATCCCTCGTTTGTGGAGTCACCGACCAGCAACGGGACTGCGATGATGCTTCCTTGCTCAAAGAGCTCATACAGCGGTTGCTGGATCAGGTCTCCATCGACAACGGGAAGGAAATACCACAACGGGCTGGAACTGGCGTCGGGAAATGGCGAGGGTGTATTGGCTGCCTGGATTGTCGGGAGATCGACAGAACGTAGACACACGAGCGCATCTTCGGATCCAGCGCAACCGGTATCGTTCACAAAGCGATCAAACTGGAATTCCATCTCGGCCACGCGCCGCTGCGTGGGCCAGAACGGTGATTCGGAGATCGCCCCGGCAAAGAGGCCGTCGTTGCGTCCTCGGTGTGCAGCCAGATGGATGGCCACAGAGCCAGCCCCGGCAGAAGCGCCGTGGATGACGACCTGGGCTGGATTGCCGCCAAATCGATGGATGTATTTCTGCACCCATTCGAGGGCTTTTCGCTGGTCCCGTAAACCCACGTTGAGATGGCCGTTCTGTCTGACGTGCTCGCTGGCCAGGAACCCGAGTGCACCCACACGGTAGTTGAAATTGACAAAGACAAGACCGTAACTCGAATGCTGAATGACCTCGGTTCCATTGTAGTTGGCGTTGGAATTGGCTGCGTAGCCACCACCCTGGATGTAGACCCAGACGGGGAGTTTCGAGTGTCTCGTGGCGTTGGACGGGGTGAAGACGTTGATGAACAGACAATCCTCGGACACGGCGAGGCTGGGCGATTGACTGGCTCCAATGCAAATCGGCCCAAACTACGGGAGATCGCCGATCAGTAGATGCTTCTTCAACATTTCGCTGTTTCGGTGCTTACCTCTGATGCGGCTTGTATAGACTGCGTGGTGGTCAGGTCTTGAGGTGCCCGGAATCGTCGATTGGCCACGGGAGGAGCAGCATATCGCATGCCCAGATATTCATCGACACCCGTATGGAGCCTCCGTCCTTGGTATTGAGAATATCCCAAGTCAACGAGAGGATTTGAGCTGGCAACGGCGTGAACAGCCGCCAGCTGGAAAAGCAGGGCCCGTACGAAAGCCATGGTGGTGCAGTGGATCCGTTCACCACCCGACCTCGACAAGGCTCTTTATGTCTCTCGGCCAGCTGCCTTCTGGCCGCTGATTGCTGGATAAATATCTACGAATCTACGATCCTGGTGCTGATAATATACAATGCTGGCTGTCCATGACTGCATCAACCGTCGATTTCTCGACGCTTCGCTGTGACAACCGCCCAACCGCCTCGCCGGTCGACTTTATGATACATCGAGCTGTATCATAATATATCAAATCCCGCTTGCCCTAACGCACTCAGAGACGAAAATTCTGTCGACCATACAATGCTCGCACTTCTGCCAGATTCTCAAGTTCGCTTTCTCTTTTCTTCATCCTTTGCAGTTCAATTCCGTTGTCTCAATTCTGAATCTGTTCATTCATTCGTTCGTTCGTTCCTGACTCATTCTTTTCTTTCCTTCCCATAATGGCCCCGCCGATTCCGTGGGAACATAAGGTCTAGATGCGCGGATACGCAAGTCGCCATCCTGAAATGACCCAGGAGGAGCTACGAGACGTTTTCGAGCAAAAATTTGGCCGGCGCGCCGCTCGATCATCCATCGGCGAGATGCTTCGTTCCGAGTTCGACGAAATGACTCCTCCGGTGGATGGGACTCCTCAGCGAGAAGAGACTTGAGAGCCAGGGTTGATACCTCGACAATGCTCTCGAGGACGGTCTTGCCGAGGGAATCGACAACAGCCTCCCGAACAGCCGGAAAGTACTTATCCTGAAGTCGAAGTTCAGATTCCAGTTAAGATTCCTCGACAAGAACCCTCTCCTCAGCCTGTTGCACCTCCAGAAGATGCAGTCCTTTCAGAGCTCGAGCATGTCTTGAAGGTGTACCTGTCCGAAGTCCTGACAGAGACCCGAGTTGAAATCTCTCTCATCCGGGAGGTGGCATACAACCTCCTGTACTTGCAAGGAATCCCCCGGTTCCCGTTGTCTGAAGAGTGGATGAGAACATTTGCAAGGAAATACAATTTCCGAAACAAAATAGATCGGGCAGATGACAGTATGGCCGATGTGGAGCGTGCGCTGAAAGCTCTTTACATCATACTCCTGGCATACAAGTCCGAAGACATCTTCATGACCGACCATGCCAAGGTGGACTTGCGAGCCATGCCTGGGATGGACTTCCCTCCTCAGTTTGTTTCGGCCCTGTTGTGCACCAACGTCGATGGTTCTCACCGGTGTCCCCTCTTCATTGTCGGATCCAAGCAGTACCCCCCCCAAAACTCGACGGCTTGAATCAGAAAGCCCTCGGCATGGAGTGGCATTCGGCCCCCAATGCGAACTTGACCCATCTCATCTTGGCCCGCTCGATTCGCCAGCTGGACAATCACTGCAACGGCAGAAAAGTTGTGCTGTTGATGAAACCGACTTTCCTCCACTTGCTCGCCATTGATTCCTTTAGAGGGCAGCCTCCACTGCAGAATATCACCATCCACTGGCTGCCTCACGGCATTCCCGATCACCACCTCCCTACCCATCACATGATTTCGACATGGAAAGCACTCTATCGACTTCAGCTTGTCCGGTGGATGGCCGGTAAAGTCAATGACGACCAAGAACCGGATCGGCACAGGAATATGTTCTTGTCCATTCAGTGGATGGTTCGATGCTGGCATCTGGAGCTTGACACGTGGACCATCTATGACTCCTTCCGGCACGCTCTGACCAAGCCGGGTAGCGTCAGAGAGCCTTGCAACGCTGATGTGAAGGAAGAATGCCGCGAGGAATTGCGGAGAATCCCGGGCCTCGACCCGGACTTCGACGTGGAGGGGTTCTTGCTGCCAGACTCGGAGAGGATCGAGACGAACATGGCGGAAGTGACGCGATGGGTGGTCGACCGAGAGCAGTTCGACCGGGACTGCGCGGCACCGTCACAGGTTGCAGTGCCGGACCGGCCACAGTGGAAGATGAATTTCCATCGGATGATGAACGCCATGGACAGGTTGATCCACTACAGTGCATTCCAGGAAGACTGCAAGGAAGACGACATTCAGTGGCTTTTTCGTATGTACCAGAAGTTTGCCAGACTTCATCGTGAACAAGACAAGCTCGACGGGACAGCTAGGCTCGAGGAGCTCGATAAGGCCAACAAGGCCAACGAGGCCAATGTGATAGACAGATAGATACGAGATAGCGAATGCAATCAGCTGTTTTTTCTCCCTTTCTTTGGTCGTACCCCAAACCCCGCGATCTGCGAAGTCCCGCCCTGCGCATCCGCGTGAGGCTGAAGTTGCCGAATCTCGTTTCCGACCAGCGGCGATCCGTGCTCATTTCTGAGTCTTTTCGGATGACCATCACCATCATGGAGATGCGGGGTCCCCAGATCTGCGACGTACCCGTCTTGTTTCGGAAAGGTGTTTGAAACTCTGTTCGACCAAGATGGGATCTCGTGAGGGGTACGCAGGTATTTAAGCGCCGCGCACGATGATTTCAGCCGGCATCCTTCGACAACAACTCTGACAATTCACCATGGCTGCATCTCTGGATATCACGGTATGGCTTCAACGCGACCATGTGAATTGTACTGACCGCAGCATGTGCAAACACAGTCCTTTCACAATGTCATCAACAACGATTTGACCTCCACTCCCTCCACGCGTCACAGCATCAACCCCGCCAATCGCCAACCCAACCCCCCAGTCCCCGTCTCGACCCAACAAGATCTCGATCGTGCGGTTCAGTGTGCCCGCGATGCATTCCAGAAGTGGTCCAAGACCTCCTTCGATGAGCGTCGAGCTGCCATCCTCAAATATGCCGACGCCATCGAGGCCAACGCGGACAGCTTGGCGCGTCTCTTGACGCAGGAACAGGGGAAACCACTCAGCCAGTCGACGACCGAAGTCGGCATGGCTGCCACATGGGCTCGAGGCTTGTCGAGTATCACCGTTCCCGAGACCGTCATACAGGATACGGAGGACTGCAAGGTGATTCAACGCTACACCCCGTTGGGCGTTTCCGGAGCCATCGTGCCGTGGAATTTCCCCGTGTTGCTGGCAATCGGGAAGATCATCCCGGCTGTGTACACGGGAAACACGGTCATCGTCAAGTCGTCTCCTTTCACTCCGTACTGCGGGCTGAAGCTGGCAGAATTGGCCACACGATGCTTTCCCCCCGGTGTGGTCCAGGCGTTGAGTGGCGGTGATGATCTGGGCCCGATGATTACGGAGCATCCGGGAATCGACAAGATCAGCTTCACGGGGTCGACCCTGACCGGAAAACGAGTCATGGCCAGTTGTGCAAAGACGCTGAAACGAGTCACTCTGGAGCTGGGGGGTAACGACCCGGCCATCATCTGCGACGATGTCGACATCGACGCCGTAATTCCCAAAGTGAGTCGGTTCATCCCTTGCATGCTGTGGCAAATACTAACTTGACAGGTCGGCATCCTCTCCTTCCTGTGCTCAGCCCAGATCTGCATGATGATCAAACGTCTCTACGTCCACGAGAAGATCTACGACGAGTTCCGAGACAAATTGGTGCAGTTCGTGCAGGCCCTCAAGGTGGGCGACGGCACCGAGTCCGATGTCTTCTTTGGTCCCGTTCAAAACGGCATGCAGTTCGACAAGGCTCGCGATCTTTTTGGCAGCATCACAACCGATGGGCTCAAGGCCGTCTTGGGTGGCACGATTGAAAACTCGGCTGGCTACTTCATCCACCCAACCATCATCGATAATCCGCCCGAAGACTCCCGCGTCGTGCAGGAAGAACCGTTTGCCCCCATTCTCCCGATCATGAAATGGTCCGACGAGGCCGACGTGTTGGCCCGAGCCAACGGTTCGGAGAGCGGATTGGGATCGTCTGTCTGGAGTAAGGATCTGCAACGAGCGATGCGGATGGCCGATCAGCTGCAGAGTGGCAGTGTGTGGGTGAACTCGCACTTTGAGGTGGCTCCCAATGTGCCGTTCGGAGGGCACAAGACGAGTGGAATTGGCACAGAATGGGGATTGAACGGACTGACATCGTATTGCAACTCGCAGTCGGTGTGGCTGCGCAAGGCTTGATTTGATGATTGACGTACATACATAACACGCGTCTATGATAATCTGTTTATTCCACTGGCCATCGAGGCTTGATCGTATCCTGCAAACCGGCTCTGATCACTACTTGCCGGCTTCGTATCTTTGCCTCTTCCACAATCTCCTGTTCGTTCATCGTCAAGAGTTGCCCGTCTCGGACCACCATCTGGCCGTCGACGACCACCACGTCGACATTGCGGCCTGTAGCAGTATACACAATAGCACTCACCGGGTTGAACCACGGCTGCGAGTGAATTTTCCGGACATCGATCGCCACAAAGTCGGCCTTCTTTCCAATCTCCAAACTGCCAATCCGGTCAGCCAGTCCCAGCGCTTTCGCACCGTTGATCGTAGCCATCTCCAGCACCGACTCGGCAGGAACGGCCGTGGGATCGTAAGCAATACTCTTGTGGATGATGCCTGCCAGCTTCATCTCCTGGAGGAGATCGCAGGTATTGTTGCACGGAGCACCGTCGGTTCCCAGCCCGACATTGACTCCTGCTGTCAGCAAATCGGGGACTCGACAGATCCCCGGGGCCAATTTGGCGTTGGAAGTCGGACAGTGAGCGACATGCGTGCCTGAAGCTGATAATGTGGCAATATCGGTGTCGTCGAGATGCACCATATGGGCCAGCACGGTGGATGGCGAGAGCAAACCCACTGCGTCGCAGTACGACATGGGCGAATGGCCGACCGAGGCGAAGAAATCGCGGTCGGCCTGCACTTCGGCGCAGTGCATCGTGATGGGGATGTTGTTCGCGCGCGACAAAGCGGTCATTTCGCGATACAATGCGTCCGAGACACTATCTGGTCAGATTCATCGATGCTGATGGGATCAAGAGATGCAAAAATACCCGCCTGGAGTGCGAGCTCCAAACCACACGCGGATGCGGTCGTTTGCCTGTCCGTTCCATTTCTCCCACATGCTCAACGCCCCCAGCAGCGACGTTTCACGGTTCTCGACGAGTCCCGGATGCATCGCCCAGGCATCATCTTGCGCGTAACGGGCAATGTCCATGACGATCTTGCCCAGACAGCCACGGATGCCGCTTTCTTCCACGGCCTGGCAGAGACCGTCGAAGCCGTATCGATCGGCAAACTGTCTCGTCAATATCACTTCATCTGTGGAGAAGTGCGATGCATACCATGCTCTCCAGGAAACAAGTCGTCCCCGACTTCAGCATCTCGCCGATACTCAAGCGTGCGGCAGCATAGCCATCATCTGCGGTGAAGTTGCCCTGCAGCACCCAGATGCGTTCGCAGAGCCACGAAACCAGTTCGAGATCGTCTGCTGCTCCCCGCAACAGCGTCTGGGCCGTGTGCATGTGCGTCGAGATGAGGCCGGGGATGACGATGCGGCCATCGAGGCTGTATTCCTCGTCTGCGGGGTATTGGCTGCGAAGACGGTCAGTTTTGCCGATGTCTGCGATGGAGTCATTCTGGACACGGATAGCACCGTCCTCGACGATGCGACGAGAGGCATCGACGGTGATGATGGTGGCGTGAGTGTACAGCATTGCGAGGATGATACTGGTTGTCTTGATGGGGTGCGATTCGATATATATGTCTCTTCGGAGACCGCCGATGTGCGAGATAAGAAAGGATCTGAATAACACAAACGGAACATCGCATTGAATCGACTGCAATCTATTCTATTCTATCCGCTCATCATCCAAATGCATCAATGCTTCTTCCCCACGGCAGAACCAAAGCGAACCAACAAGTCGCTGATGTCCTTCGGCTCGATGCAACATTCGAGGATCGCCAGTTTTTCCGGCTCGCGCTGGACGCGATTCAACGCCACCAACAGTTCGCCGTGGGTCTTGATCTGCATTGCAAACACGGATGGGTCCATCTCCTTCTGCTTCTCGGCGCTGGACAAGTACGGATTGTCGAGATCCTGAGTGTGGAACACGCCGCTCAGGCTGGACGTGAACGCGGCGTAGTTCCAGTTGCTGATGTAGTTGTACGGACCCTCATGGATGGCCGTCTGCTTGGTCAGAAAGACCCTCTTTGATTGAGATGATGCACATACCTCGATTCCATAGCCCAGGTTGTTGAAGATAAACACCACCGCGTTCATCCGCATCCGGATCATCGTGCTCACTTCCTGCGCCGTCATCTGAAAGCTGCCATCCCCGATCATCAACACTGTTCGCCCATCTGGCCGGGCCAATTGGCTGCCCATTGTCGCCGGCAAGCTCCATCCAATCGAGCCGTAAATCATCTGCATCTGAAAGTCGGTTCCATGCGGCAGTCGAATACGTTGAGCGTTGAACCAGCTGTCTCCCGTTTCGGCAATCAACGTATCCTGTGGTCGGAGCAGGTGCTCGATGCCACTGAGAATGCTAGCCACGGTCAATGTCGTATTATTCATGGACATTGGATGAGATTCCTGCTTAGTCAATTCCATGGCGATGGGTTTCTTCTTGATGTCCGACTTGACCAGCGCTGTGAGTGCCTGGGCCAGCGGGATGCCTTGAATGATGTGAGACTCGGGGGCCTGGATGTACTCATCCTGCAGGTCCAACACTCGATATGACTCTTTGGAAATATCCAGCGTGTCTCCCAGTGTGTGATAGTCACTCCACCGTCCACCGATCACCACCCACAAGTCCGAGTTCATTACCGTCTCCCCACACAACGCCGGCTCCAACGCCTTCGACCAGAAAGTGCCAGCAAACTGAGGATAATTCTCAGGAACCAGTGACTTTGCATCTGGTTGGCAAAAGACAGCGCAGCCGAGTTTGTCTAGCACGGCCACGAGTGTTTCGGGAAGGACGGATCGTGCCAGTGCGCCGATCAAGACAACGGGTCTGTGAGCCGAGTTCCACGCATCGGTCACGGCGTGGATTGCTTCTTGAAGCTGATTCGCAGGAGCCAAGTCGGGACGTTGAAATGCCAATGGCTGTGGTGAATCGCAGGGCATTTCGGAAATATCTGCAGGGATTTCGATATACACCGGCAACGAGTTTTCGACACATTGCACCAGCGTTTGGTCAAGCGTTTGGCGAGCACTCTTTTGGTCACGACTCAGCCGAACAGAGGCCGTGGTAACTTCTCGGTACATCCGCAGTGACTGGTCTCGGTCTGGGACGCCGAGGGTGTGGTGAATTACTCGATTCTGACCAAATGTGATGGACTTGGGGCAGCTGCAGACCACCACTACGCGCAGGCGATCCGAGTAGGCCCCGGCAATGGCATTCACGACAGAGAGACTACCGACCATGAATGTAACCATCACGACGGCCACGCGTGTCGGCGAGGACCGGGCGTATCCATCAGCGGCGTATCCGGCATTAAGTTCGTTGCAGCAACCCACCATGCGCAGGTACTCGCTCTTGAGTATCTGGTCGAGAAGGATCAAATTGAAGTCGCCTAATTTGGCGTCAGTGAGGACGGTAATGAAGGGATCGGAACTTACCCGGAACCACAAAGTAATCTCGGATCCCCAGCTCTTCCAGTCGGTATGCGAGATATGTTCCGATATTGTACTGGCTCTGACTGAACTCAGGCACTCTGGGGGACAAGGCAAAGGCACCGTCTGATGGATCGTCTTGGTGAGGTTCAGGAAGACTGAGAACCACTCGTTCTTGCAATTCGCCTGCCGAGTCAGTCTACGATCACAATCGAGTCAAGCCGCATACCTTTGTCTATTAATTCATGAATACCAGGAAGATCCTGCAACTCCAAAACGCGATGTGGAATGTTCAATTTGGCTTGGGTGACGACCCCGAGTGCCTCTGCTGTTTCGCTGCTGTTGGCAACACACGAGCCTTTGATGTTGACCATGCGCATCATCGGCACGAAAAGATCTGTCTGGATACCGCCAGCAGGAACACCCACTGCAACGACAGTCCCTCTTGGCCGAACAAACTGAATTGCTTGATGGAATAATGTCTCTTCTGCCGTGACAACCAACGTAGCATGGGGACCTCCACCGGTGACTGACTTCACCTCCGAAACAACGTCTGGAGAGAGACAGTCGACAAAGAAGGCCACTCCTAGCAGCTTCATCGCCGTCACGTTGGCTTCGTTGGCCAAGGCGAGTACTCGAAATCCACATGCCTTGGCAAGCTGACAAGCGAACGAAGTCAAGCCTCCTTGACCGGCGATGGCTTTCAATGTTAGACAGGCAAACTGGAAGGATGGATCAATAACTTACCGACAATCTGGCCCGGCTGGGCATTGCTCTCCTTGAGAGCTTTGTAAACGGTGCCACTGGAGCAAAGTATCTGGAAAGCATTATTAACGACGCTGTTCACTCAACCGAAATAAACTCACCGAAGCAGCTTCATCCAACGCAACATCATCAGGAATTCTGACGACGTGGGTAGCCTTGCATACAGCGTATTGCTGAAAGGTCCCATCCACCGTGTATCCTGAGAAGCGAGCATCAGGGCAAAGCGGCTCACATCCGCTGTGGCAGAAATCGCAGTTGCCACAGGATTGATTAGCCCACTGGATGAGGCATTAGCATTAGAATGAATGACGAAATAGAAGATTACCTGAACCCCCACTCGATCTGCCACGGCTAGATTGTCGACATTCTCTCCGACTGCCACGACCAGACCGGTTCCTTCGTGGCCACCTGGACAGCGTCAGTAAAGGCAGGTTGCCAAAAGATCCCACTCCCATACCGATGGGATGCGTCTTGGTCCAGGCTTCATCTTATTGTCTTGTCAGTGTGCTGTCTTATATTAAAAAGAGTATCGTACCTTTCCATGTCTCAGAGTGTTGATAGCAAACACCGGAAAACTTGATCTGGACAAGAACATCATCGGCTGCGATTGCTGGGACTGGTATCTGGATGTACTCGGGTTTTATGCTGCTCCCAGAGCTTCTTTTGGGCACAAGTGCCCACTGCATAGCAGGAACTGAATCAGAAATAGACAAAGAAGTCGGTGCCATGTCTGGAGAGAAAAAGCTCGTTTGATTCTTTTCAGTGAGTGGGAAAGGATGAATCCTTATGTACGCTCAAAGTACACCATGTGAACCAATGTCGGATTTCTGGTCTTAGTGCCCCCCTTCCCTGATTGTACATTGGAGTTGTAAAACAGAATACGCATCTGCCGTGATCACTGGAAAGGGACATCGAGGATCGAAGACCTTTGTTGTCCAGTCAGAATTCCATGCCATTCCGATTCCATATTGTGTGATGACGCCAGGAATGAACGGATTGCTTGAGGAAAAAAAAAAAAAAAAAAACTGGAAGCAGCATCTCGTGTGGCCAAAGCATATTGATGATGGTATCTGCAGTTTGTGTTACCGCACCGATGCCACAGCGTCCACCACAGCACGGTCTCGACAATATATTACGATCACTCTACAGTGAATCAACACTGGCTGTTAGCAATGCTGGTTATTTGCCTGAACCGGAATTACATGGGATTGCGTATCACAGCACCACTGCTTTTCACTTGTCGATCGGTGTATGCATGAGAGTGAAATAAGCAAGTGGCAATTCTCGACAAGGCAGCACTCTTCAATCTCGATGACTGCGTGTCTTCTGCTTGTTGCACAGGCTTATCGAAAGGCAAGGAGACGACATATGCCAAGCCCTTCATCGGGGCATCGGGTAGTTCTCCTTCGAGAACGATACATGAGGTGGGCTGTGCCACGAAGCCGTTACCGAGGCCAATTGGAACCGCCAAATGGAAGCCCTGCAAGAGTGTCCTTGCTGAAGTGGTGCAACTTTCATCGATACGATGTACTGAGTGACCAGTAATAAATTTGGTTTACTTTTCTGGTGGGTTTCTAATTTGCGTGAGATACTGTCCTTTTACCTCGTTGAGTCTGAAACGAACAGCATCTGATTGGCCAATGAGGGGCTTGGCACTCGGAGGATTCGTCCCGATCAGGAAAATCGACTGGCCCACGCATTTGATCAGATAATCGCGATTAGATTAGATTGGCTTCCGATTTCGTTTCATCCGTTTGGTCTCTCATCGTACTCCATGCATTCGTCTCTTTGTTGGCGTGGCTGGATGCAGAAGTCTGGCCGACAGCCATCCCCAATCCATCGAGTACTTTGCCGATATGCATCTTCTCTCGTTGGATCCAATTCTGGCCAGCAAAGTACGGTGCTCTTCCCAAAGACAATCGTCTGTCTGTCCTGCACACGTCAATCTGGGTCAACGGGCAATCGTCTACGTTGGTGGATGGGATCCTCGACGGGATGAGGCGTTGCTCTTCGACCAGCTATTACGGGAGAATACAATTCGTGTGTCTCCCGGACTCGCATAGATTCTGGACGGCATGCCGGAGTTGAAGGGTACGAAGGAATTGCAAAGAGGTTTGATCGAGAATAAAGCTCTGGTGAGATAATATGTCGTGAGGGATGCCAATTGTATATTCTATCGTCTATCTATAGATATGTCCGCAAATACTCGCCCAAAGCCATGATAGCCATAGCCTGTCCATACGGCATTGCTGTCAATGGAATCTTCTTGTAAAACTCCAGACTATCGCCCATCCCTGTGCCAAAGCTGGTATTCTGCAGCTCTCCCTTCTCATCCACAGCTCCCAACACTGCTGTGATGGCTGATTCTGCCACAGCTCGATACTGTGCTCCGATATATCGCTTGCGAACTGCTTTGAGGATTCCGTATGCAAACCCTGCTGTTGCGGATGCCTCGACATACGAGTCGGGATGATCGAGAAGGGTGTGCCAGAAGCCAGATGACGCCTGCATTCGTTGCAACGCTTGACACTGAGTCTCGAGGGTGTCGATGAGGTGGACTCGGATCGGATCGGTGGGTTCCAACTCGAGCAGCTCGATGATCTCGGGGATGACGATGGTCACCCAGCTGTTGCCCCGGGCCCAGCGAGCGTTAGCAAAGTTGTGCCCGCCGTCTTCAAAGGTCCAGCCGTGGTAGAAGAGGCCCGTCCGGGTATCGAACAGATACTTGATGTGCACGAGGAACTGCCGCTTCGCCTCGGCAATGTACTCGGGGCGGTTGAGCAAACGACCAATCTTGGCCAAGGGCATGACGGTCATCATTAGCGTGTCGTCCCACAGCTGCTGATAATTCTCCGTCACATACGTGGCGTGCTGCATGCCTCCGTACCGAGTACGTGGCAGATCATGCATCGCCCATTCCGCCCATGCGTCCAGCCAGGGAAGATAAGTCACGTTGCCCGTCTTCTCGTAGACATATGCCAGCGTCAGAAAGACGGCCATGGTGTTGATGTTCTTGGTGGTGCCTCCTTCGGCAAACCGGGCTGCAAACCAGTCCTCGATGATTTGGAGCAGTTTGGGATCGCCGGTCATTTCGTAGTATTTCCACACGCCATACAGGCCAATGCCGTGCGTCCACTCCCAGCCCTTCCAGCATTTGGTGTCGATCACACGGCCATCGTCCAGACGCAGGAGGAACTGGCCGGTGGCATCTTCGATGTTGACCAGATTGGAGATGAGAAGATTGATGGCGTCGTGGATCTGGGGGGAGGGGGGTTTGGAAGACATGATTGTGCTTTGTTTCTTTCCTGCTTCTCGAGCGAAACGGCGGGTTAATGAGGATTTGATACGCGGAAGAACTCGATGGGCTTCCCCGCGTGGCTCGGGCCATCCAGCGCCGACGAGGGCCGGGATTGGCCGCCGTCAGCCACCTCGGGCAGTTCTCCCCCGCAAGCCGACGCGTGGGGAAAAAGATGGGGAAAAGCCGGGGAAGTGCAGAAGTTGGGATATCAGGCGAGAGGGGAGGGGAGACGGGGCATAAAAGGCACTTCTGCGTCTTTGCTGGCATCCATCCGTCATTCTCCAGGACAGACGATTCGAATCAAGCCGAAATGGACAAGGACGATGCTGCCCATGTCGAACGGGTGCTCTCGCCCAGCGACAAGCTGGACAAGCCAGACTTGGCCGACTCAACACGGGTCGACCAGGAAGTGCAGGAATATGCCACGCGAGGGCGAGTCGAGGTCGACGATGCCACCAGTCGACGGCTGCGACGCATGATTGACCGTCGTGTGCTGGTCATCATGATATTTACGTATTTCCTGCAGGCACTCGACAAGGGCACCCTGTCTTTCTCCTCCATCATGGGATTGCCTGAAGATACGGGCTTGGTGGGACAGCAGGTAAGCTTATCACCGTATCTTCCAAGCGTTCGAAACTGACCATCTAGTACTCGTGGCTCACAACTTGCATCTACATCGCCGTCCTCGTCGTCGAATATCCAACCAACTGGATCATCCAACGCGTTCCCATCGCCAAATATCTCGGTGTCAACATCATTCTCTGGGGCGCTGTTCTGGCCCTGCACTCTGTCTGCAAGAACTTTGCCAGTCTCATCGTCGTCCGCATCCTGTTGGGTATCTTCGAGGCGTGTTGCCAACCTTCTTTTGTGTTGATGTCGGGCATGTGGTATAAACGAGAGGAACAGGCGGCCACGGTGACCTACTGGTGAGTATTCCGCTCCATCCACGCGGTCTCTGCTAAAGGCTTCAGGTACATGATGAACGGTGGCCAGCAGATCGTCGGTGGGTTGCTCGCCTACTGCTTCAGTCTCATCCAGGGCCGTGCCATCTACTCGTGGCAGGCTCTCTTCATCGCATACGGCTGTCTGTCGGTGCTTTGGGGTCTTTTCGTCATCTTCTGGATGCCCGATTCTCCCATGCGTGCCAAATGCTTCAACGAAGAGGACAAGCATCTGATGGTCGAACGAGTGCGTGCCAACCAGACCGGCTTGCAGAACAAGACCTTCCGCGCATACCAGATGTGGGAAGCCTTTCGTGATCCTCAGATGTGGTGTTATTGTGCCGTCCAGGTGTTTACGACGCTGCCCACCAGTGGACTGGGTGCTTTTGCCAATATCATCATCACCGGATTCGACTTTACCGTCCTGCAGACCCAGCTGTTGGCCATGGTGCTGGGCTTCTACATCATCATCGTCCTGCTGACCTCGGCCTGGCTGGTCAAGAGGACCGGACAGAATATCCTCGTCATGTTGGGCTTCATCATTCCGTATGTTCTTCCCTCCTCCATCTCGATTCCTGCTGACAGAAAATAGATCTTTTATCGGAACCATTGTCCTCATGACGGTTGAGAATCACAGCCTGTCCACCAAAGCCGGCCTACTCGTCAGTTACTATATCACACTCTCCTTCTGGTCTGCGCAGAATCTCGCGCTGTCCATGGTCTCGCGGAATATCGCCGGTGCCACGAAAAAGTCGACAGTCGTCGCAGCCACTTTTATCTCCTGGGCCGTAGGAAATGCCATTGGTATGTTCATTCGTCCATCGGCTATATCACTTTATCTGACAAGCACAGGTCCTCAAGTCTTTCTCTCGTGGGACGCCCCTCGCTACCTCATCGCCTTTGGTGTCCACCTGGGCTGCTACGCTGTCATGACCTGCTGCGTCATCTTCTTGCGCTTCTATCTCAAGCGTCAGAATGACAAGAAGGATGAAATTCTCCGGGCCAGAGGCCTGGACACTGCCGATCCCAACCTCGATCACGCCTTTGACGATATCACTGACCAGGAGAACTTGAATTTCCGCTATATCTACTAAAAGCCCTGCGTGGGTTGAATATTATTGTCAATAGTTAATGATGCAACGATAACTGTAATATATTTGCATCGTAATACTCATGAAATCACTTCCATCGGCCACTTCATTAGCGACACCAATTGACTATCACCCAAGCTCTGGACCAATGTGTTGATCTTTATAATCTCGTGTCGAAAGCTCTCCACGGCGTACCACACGTCTTCGAGCAAAGTAATAATCAAATATAAATGAGCCAGAATTGTAAAGGAATAACCCTGAACTACGCCAAACTCGTCTTGCTCGAGCTCCATGGAGCGAACAAAATTGTACGAAAGCGTCTGCGGCCAGGCCATCACCAGCGCATCTTCAATGTCCGCCTGCACATCCATCCGGTCCGTCCGCGTTTGTGGACTGGTTGCAAACTGCAACACAAACATAATACGCATGTAGTTCTCTTCCACTATCTCAAGCGCATGGCTCTGCTCTCGAAGAATATCACTGGGCGTCATCGGCCTGCCGGGCTCGGCCATCTCTTTTTCGGGGGATTCCGGAGCAACGGCCAGCTTCAGAGTGTTGGAAAACGTACGCAGATTCGACAAAGCCTGTTGTGCTCCACTGGCAAAACGGGTCAAATATTTGGAGCAGTGACATCGCGGTGGAACTGGTGTTGATGCCAAGTCTTCGGGGATCTCCTTCCAGGAATCACGGTTGTTGTTGAAGTTGAATATCGCGCGCAGTCGGCCCATGCGCAAAAATCTCCAGTGCTCGTGGACAATCGACGTTACACCACGAACAAGGTATATCCAATCCAGCCGGGGCTTCTTTTGTTGAGGCGGTAAGAATCCTGAACTTTCATCAGATATACCAGGCGGGTTTAAGCCGTGTATACGGAGGGAACCAAAAGCAAAGGCTACGATCAAGAGAGATCCGGCAAACATTGCTTCTGCATTGGCAACAGACATGACTGCCAGCTGCTCTCTGAATCCTTGTAATCCCCGTTGATGATACTCGATCACCGTCTCCAAATCCACGGCGTTACTCGAGCCGGACGACTCAACCCCAGCCGGGCCGTTCTCTTCGCTCGGAGATTGAGAGTTTGATGTTGAATCTGTCCATCTCTGTGAGTTAGTAGGCCAGTTTGGATGTTCGCACGCACGTTCCTTTGTTGTTTGGTCTTCTGAAAGCAGATCCAGGCCCGCCAATGCCAGTACCAGATGCATCAGGAACTCGTTCGTCGCCGCAATTTCCGGTATGACCTTTTCCCAGACCAAAGTTTTGGTCGGATTCAGCGACATGCGATGTGAAAGACGCAAGATGAAATGCTGTAGCAGTCGCAGATCAAGCATGTTTAGCCCCTCGTGATGCTGTGGCGGTCGTGAGACAACCGTCCTACTAAACTCCAGAGGTCGCAACGGGATCGATGTCGGATGTTCAACGGGTCCTGTAGACCATGGAACGGATTCATCATGTAATGAAGCTTCTCGATAAGCTCTGTTCGGATGAGAGGATCTGCCTTGCTCCGCGGTGGGTGTTTTCTTCCGAGGTGCTTGCCTGCGTGGAGGATTTCTGGTTTGGCTGAGAAACTCGCACCGATCGCCTCGGAGGGAACATGCACCACAGATTGGACGGACTTCGTCACACTTTGCGAAGTTGGTTTCAAACGAATAACCGTCTTGGAGGAGAACATACCTTCACGCGGCGGGCTTTACAGGTCTGACAGCCATTGCGGGACTTGGTGTGACTGGCTCGGGACTTGAGCCGGACACGCGGGGTGGAATTGGAATCCGGAGTGGCTGGAGAGTGCGGAGATGGGGACATTTGTGCATACGCATACGAGAAGAGAATGATGGTTGCTTTGTTTGCCTTATGGGATTCGAGTTCGCGATGAAGCCTCGTGTTCGTATTGCGTGCTGAGTCATACATGCACGTGATAGAGGCAGATATGCTCGTCGACAAAGTCCACCAGGAATATACTTTGGGTTTTCTGATCCTTTATTGTACAAGTCACGATAGATGCTCAGTAGAATCTTACTCTTCACATTAGAATCAATCGATTTTTAGTGCATCTAAAGCTGCACTTTGAATACGGAGAGGGAAGGTCTCAACTACTACTTTACGTTTAGTTGAATTGAATTTCATGTGGTGCTGCTTTCTTCTGGCTGGATAAAAAAATAAAAAAGCGTCAATAACAATAGGCATTGCTAGTGATGCCAAGATACTACTCTAAACACCGTCAAATTCAGTTGCAACTGCCACTGTTCATCATGATATCCAAGTAATTGCAATCCATTCCGTACTCCATACTCCGTCTCATAAAATCATGTATCATTTTTGATTCTGCATCACTTCAGAATCCTCCGTCGGCGACAGTTGCATTTCACTGTCTGTCTTATTCCTAGCACCAGCTTCTAGATATGCTCCGGGAAATACTACCACCAAGACGATACCCGTAAGGGCCATCAGTAGCGCATCGAAGATGTACAGCAGATACTCCCGCTTCATGATGAATCCGTCGTTGCCCTGCACAAACTCCACGACACGAAAGATTGATCGGATCAAGATAAGCACACACGCAACGTACAGTGCCCACATCACTGACTCCCAGCTCACGGAATGGGGAAATGCACCGGGTCGTGAGGTATCTTGTGTAACCATATATTTCGGATTCTTCTTGACTCGGTAATGAAACAGAGATGCAACAAAGACGAAGAAGCTGAAGAAGAGGAGTTGCACCGCTAATCCACCGATGACGACGTACTCGCCTATCTGCATCGCATTCACCGAACCTGCTGCCATGTACCCACCCCCTGTACGAATGAGCATGTGGAAGCGGCAGCAAAATAACCGGGAGAAATACCTGAGCACTGCATAAGAAAGGATATCACATCACCCAGCACGAAGATCTTGGTCAGCCATTTCACCCGAATAATGGAAGCATTTTCCGCGTGAAGCTGCACAATGACCCTTCCGAGCGTCATGTATATCGAGGCGGCGAAAACAGGAGGCGCGACAAGGATGAGCATCGTTTGGACTATATACGGCCCTAAGGCGTTCTTGTCGTGGTGGGAGAAAATGCGTGCAACATATCCGGCAAGTTCGACTGAACTGTTAGCATGACTCGGATGTGCAGATGCAATGCAACGTACAGATGAGGCCAATGACAAACGCGATAAAAAACCAAGTCCGATTTCGATACAGCCGAATCGAATGTAAAACGGTCAAAATCGCAAAACAGGCGACGAAGATGGCAGCAGCAGGGACGGAGGGGGTATATCGGTAGAGGACAAAGCTGCTGGCATCCTGGGAATCGGCCATGATGGAGGTGCTGAGAAGAAGAATGAAACCATGATGGGTCTTGTGGTAAACGGTCTCCATTTAAATCAATCGAGATAAGAATTTTCTGCCTCGTGGTAATTCTAAATTATTATTAGAATCTTCATCCAAACCCGATCAGAAATACGAACACGAAAAACAACAGCCACTATGCGAACACGACGCGGGGAAATAGGGGAATTTCTGCTCGTATTCTCGCATTCTCGTATACTCGGATTCTCATGGCCAAGTGGATTCGGGATCCAGTGGGTACGGTGGAGCATCGCTGAAAGCCATTCGCCCTTCTGTTTGGTCCATCTTGTCGCCAGCACACCTTCTGGCCTCTTATCTTGTACTTCTATTGTCATGGTTTCTTTTCATGTCCGTTTGAGCGTCATCTCTCGTGCCCGAAGTAGAATCAAATTATCTTCATATGATGGGGATCCACGATTCTATCATTGCATATACCGAAAGAAAAGCAGGAAAGGAAAAAGGAAATTCGAATGCCAAAAGTTGCAAGTCGTATTCATCAATGACAGTCATAAATCATATGTACAATCAAAAAACCCAAAATCGCCATCACAGCATCACGGTCGCTGTGCCATGTTGAGATCGTACTCCCGAATGAGAATATCTGCGCACGTCGCTCCTGTCACATAAGCAGTAGCCTGGGTGTGGTTGTTAGTCAACACCGGCACAACGCTCAAGTCGGCGACCCGAAGGTTATCTATGCCAAACACTCGGAATCGCTTGTCTACCGCCGCATCAATATCACCCGGTTTCCCCATTTTGGCCGTTCCCATCATGTGCCAGCCCGATGCCAGGTTGTTCTTCCAAAACTCGAGAATATCCTCGTCTGATTCCGAGGCTGGGGCGATGAGTGTCGATACAGTGTCTTTGCTGAAAGCAGGGTGTTTGGATATTTCTAGAACGTGTCGGTAAATCTCAATACAAGCTCGACGATCGAATGGGTGAGACAAAAACTTCGGGTCAAAAAGAAGAGGATCGTCTGGGTTGGACGACTGCAAGCGCACTTCACCATTTGACTGCTCATTCATCAAAAAGACCGACAGACATACATAGCTATAGTCCGGGACAGCTTCAGGAAAGATGAGGTGCAGTGGAAAGTGAGTCACAAGTTCATAGTGTGGCACGGTTTCCCGCTGCAAAAAATCCTGCTCTGCCAGTGGCAGTGCCTTGAACTCGGTCGACGCCGTAACGCGATCCGATTTGAGCCAACCTGCGCCAAGTTGACACGAGTGCCGCGTCCAAGGGCCAGTTCTGTCTTTCTTCCACTGCTCTAAAGCGGCATCCATTGCAGCTGGGTTACGGAAGAAGGCGTTTCGGTCATTGGTCTCAGGCTTGCGCTGGAAACATAAGGGAACGAAGAAATGGTCTCGGAGTCCTTGGCCAATAGCTGGCAGGTTCTGCACGACGGGAATGTGGAATTCTCTTAGCTGATCTGCTGGACCAATTCCCGAATGCATGAGAATCTTGGGCGTATCTTGAGCGCCGGTGGTCAAAATAACTTCTTGGTTGGCGATGTCTGCAGGTATCAGCATCTGGTCTCAGATATTCAAAGAGCAGAAAGGTAAAAGGCAAAAACGAACATTGCTTCCCCCGAGACTCCACACCGATTGCCTTCTTTCCCTGAAGCAGCACTCGCTGAACTGGTGCTTCTGTGATGACAGTCAAATTGTCCGGGGCGCCGAGTAGCAGATCAGCTGCAGTGGTTCTTTGGCCCTGGTGAGCGGAATTGATTACCAAGGCCATTCCAATCGGGTCACCCGAATTGTGATCTGGATTGCGAGCGAGACCTGCTTGTTCGAAGATATCCATCATGAGCGGCAGGTCCTGTTCCCATTCATTCGCATATCCCACTCGAAGATTTCCCTGAGAACCGTGGTCTGCTGGTTTTGGCGTCGCGTATTTGGCATTTTTGGTATTCGGGATGACTCCATTGAAATTTTCCAGCTTCTTAAATCGAGCCTTCATGCGATCCCACCGGAAAGTTTCATCTCCCACAATGGCTGCCCACTGGTCATAGTCGTCGCGAGCGCCCACAGTGTAGAAACCGAAATTAATGGCGCTGCTGCCGCCCAATACTTTTCCCCGTGAATAGTCGATTTCTCGGCCATTGCAGTGCTCCTGAGGAGTAGTCTTATACCCCCAATTTAGCTCGCCATTCAAGAAGGTAGTCCAGCGCTGACCATCCACTCGTAGAGATTTGTCATCATTCTTTGCTTCAGCCTCTAATAGTAATACCTGAGGACGTTTGTCTGAGCGAGCCAATGTTGCTGCGAGATTGCATCCAGCAGGGCCACCTGCAGAGGTAAATCAGTAGTGAATGTGAGACAGGATCTGTTCCAACTAACCACCCACGATAACAAAATCCCACGATTGCGTTGATTCCATCATTTGAAAGCAAGAGTGCCTCAATGCTCCGGCAGAATCATAGTATGAAGAGGAGGTGCGATAGACATCGCCGATGGGGTTGAATGACTTTATATGCAGCGAGTCAACAATGATGAGAGGGTGGCATTTCACATCGGGGAAACATGGATGCCTGAACTCTGAAAGGCAGTGTCAGGATACTACAACAAGCATTCTGAATAGATCCGAGTGTCTAGAAACTGTCAAATGGGATGCGACATCGCACGTGGTCGACGAAAGCATCATCCCGCAGTCCAGTCCCGCACCGGCCTCGCCCAACTACCGTGGTCACAACCCAGCTGTCATTGCATCAGAGACGCATGCGGAATCTCAAAATTCAATCATGGCGTTTTGAATCCGCTCTAATGATCGACTGTTGATTCATGACTGTTCCCCGCACTCTGATGTTCCCCGCATATCCTTCATGGCAGGCTGTGGCGTTTGCTCACTTGCTGGGTTGTAAAGCATCGCTCGCATCACAATCCCCGAGACCAGTTCCCCCTCGTTCACTGTGCAGAATCCCAGCTGCTCGTATAGCCGTGTCCCTTTGGCGCTGGCCTCGAGCCCAACGGGCACTTGATCACGGCTGGCCTGCTCCAGTCCCCATCCGACCAGTTTCCGACCGATGCCTTGTCGTTGGTGGGAGGGATCGACCGCTAGGGAGGACAAATACCAGAGCTCCGGATGGTCATCGAACGGGAAGCAGTCTGTTGCGCTGGCTTGGTTGTAGAGAGCAAGTCGGGCGCTGTCGACGCTGCGATCGGGATACATTCGGGAGGTAAATCGGTCGGTGATGCTCACGAGCATCCGCTCTAGCGCTGTAAATTATCGAGCCATTAGTTATTATATTAATTCCAATCCATAGATGACGACTCTCACCATCCCACCATCCACTCTTTGTCTCTCTCCACCGCGTCGCGGACGCGTCCGTTCCGATCCTCTCCCAGACACCGTACCCAACCAGTTCTGCGCCCGTGATCGGCGAGTCCTTTATCGCAACCATCACCACCCATCCAGGAGTTGCATGCTTCATCTGGAGTCTTCGTAGAAAGCCATCGCGATAGTCGGAGTAATACTCTCTTCGTTGGGGGCAGAGAAACGCAAAGAGTTCGTCGTCGATCATGGCCTGCGCAGCCACGGCGGCGGCGGAGGGGAGGTCTTGCGACACGGCGGGTCGAACAGAAATCATCGCCCAGGCTTCCGGGTCTCGATCAAGAAGAGGTGAAATAATAATATAATTTTCTGTGTCTTGGGTGCGATTGCGGGTCGATTGGAGTTGTGACAAATTGATTCAACGGGTGGAGTTGAAGAAACGTCGGAGTTTGAAGTTCTCGGGATTCGTGCGACTTGATGATGCTACAATATCTCAGCTGTCGACTGTGTACATGGCAAGGGCTTTGATATGTAGGAATCCTTTATTACAGTCCTATTCTATCATGCATTGTACCCAATAACTTGTATCTAAGTTGCTGCTATTCTCTCCCGAGCGCATTATATGTCTTTCTCTCCGAGTCTCAACCATCAGCACAACACCATAAATTCCACAAAAAAGCACCGTAAACCGGGATCACTCAGACTGATACTTGATGGCCCCATAGAATATATCCCAGCACCCCGGTGCTTTTTTCTCTGTATAGCAATCACGGCCGTATCAATCTGATGGGGTTAGGAGTACTGACTACTGAGTGCAGACTTGGATTCGGACAGTGTCCGCGCAGGGCCCGCAGTCTTATTCTCGCTGTGGAGAATCCAGATCAAAGTGAAAAAAAAAAAAAGCGTCATTTTCAGGGCACCAAGAGAAACATATCTCTCTTGATCACGAGGGTCTGGCTGGGTGCATAGCAGCTTCATGGAGAGAGTGTGTCTTGTTGGTTTCTTCGGTATTTGCTTGTGATAAGATCAGATATTGCGATGCCGAAGCCCCCCAGTGACTAGTTCCAAATATGGATTTTCCCGAGAGTGAATAATGTAAACAAAAGAGCATGGAACTAGGGAACTGGAAGAGAAGTGCCATCAGTCATGAAACGAGTCTCCAGAATGCTTCCAGATCTTATCTGATGAAGACGCCCGTCGGACTCTGTCCGATTGTCTCGGCATTCCGTCTAGTGTCGCCATCCCAGCGTCAAAGGAACCAAGCTAGGTTAAACACAATTAAAATCTAAAATGCATGGGTGGATGCCCCTCAGTCCACCGGCTTATCTGATCGGTGATCTGCTCCACCAAAACGTTGAGCATTTCTCGTGTTTCTTTTTCTCCCAGTCCATCCTGTCCGCATAAATACGACAGCAGATCCCCCTTGGATTTGATCTTCAAGCTTTGGAAAAAATCTCTTGCCGGCTGTCCTCAATATCACTGAAAAGTGAAGTGGCAAAATGGAAGCAGATAAAGCAGCCTCCAAGTCCGTCGTGCATGCGGTATCGGAGGAGCCATCCACCACAAACAGTCCTTCCATCTCTGACCAACAGTCCATCCCCGAGCAAGACGATGGAAAGCAACCACCTCCATTGGTGGCCAAGCTGTTCGCAGTCCTGTTGATCTCGTGTATCAGCTTCGGTTCGCACTGGAGCTCTGGTGTCACAGGGGCTATGAAGAGTACCATAAAAAAGGTACCAGTTGAGATCATCGCAATCCTTTGAATCACCGCAAACTGACCATTTTGCTTTTTCTTGCTAGCAAATGCACATCGATAACACCCAGTTCTCGCTCTTGGAAGCTAGCGAGGATTTCATGGCCACGGTCTTGCTCCTTATCAGTGGTATTGTCACGGATCGAGTCGGAGGCGCTGGTGAGTGCCATCCATGATCCCACGATGGATAACGCCCTCATGAATAATACAGAAATGATCGTTTATGGAAACATCGTCTATACCATCGGGTCGATCCTCGTTGCCGCTGCCACAACAGTGCGCTCATTCAAATTCATGATCGGAGGTCGAGTCGTGCTCGCGCTCGGCGACATCGCCACACAGATTGCTCAGTATAAGATGTTCTCTTCATGGTTTCCTCCCAGCAACGGATTTGCGTCTACCCTCGGCTTCGAGCTGGCCATTGGAAAGGTTTGCGGTCGTATTATGAATATTCTCGTGCTCGTGGCTGATTGTCTTTAGATTGGTGGATTTGTTGGGAAATCCACGGCCAATGTCATTGCCAAGGTATGTACCGTCCAGGAAGACTCCAGTGTGAAAGAAAAAATGCTGACATTGGAACTGTTTGATTCTAGAACACAGGAAATTTCGCCTGGGTCTTTTGGACTTCGGTCTTTATGAATCTCTTCACCAATGTAGCCACTGCCGTATTCTGGTTCTTCACCCGTTACTGCAATCGCCACTATAGCGGACGACAGGACACGGCCACCCAAGAAAAGCTGACGGAGAAGAACAAAAAGTTCGAGTTTCAAAAGATGTTCCAGCTGCCATGGATGTTCTGGGCCGTTCTGCTCTTCTCCCTGTTCCAAACGAGTGCTGCTTCGGTCTTTAGTCAAAATGCCACGGAGCTGGCCGAGAAGCGATTCAATGTCGATGCCATCAAGGCAGGATGGTACAGTTCCCTGTCTCAGTATGCCGGTATGTTGGTTTCCGATTCATCGGGAGTTCCGCAGGCTTATCGTTTCGCCAGGTTTCTTCCTCGTCCCTTGTTTGGGGGTTTTTATTGATGTGCTAGGAAATCGGGCGACTGTTTGTAAGTAAACTCCTGCCAGAGACCGAGTAATACTGGAAAAAGACTGGCTAACCGTGATGCAGTGTTCACCTGTGGAACTGGGATGCTTCTGAGTATGGTCTTGATCAACTTTGCTACGTCCAAGGCGGGCACGGGCGCTGCATTTGGAATCTATGCGATCGCCATGTCCCTGGGCCCAACCTCGGTGATCGATAGCATTCGCACAACTCTTTGGCATCAGTCCGTCTTTGGCTCAGCGTACGCGTTGAAAGTCACCATGAACAACGCGTAAGGATCCATGCCCAGTCTTTGCTGAAAACCCACTTACCGTGTATGTACAGGATGAGCATCATTGTTCGTATCATCACCGGAGCTCTCCAAGACGCCGATAACGATTCCTACCGCCGGGTGGTCCGGGTGTACCTCTTCCTGGGTGCAGCTGCCATGGTCGTTGGCCTGGGTCTCTTGATCGGCTCGACCGTGAGCGACAATCTCGCCCCGTTGCAGTGGACTCGGAAACGACGCTTGACCTCGGGGGCAGAGATCATCCAGGCCATGCGAGAACGGAGCCTGGTCACCAACAAGCGGCGTACCATGCGGATTTCGACCGTGTGCTTTGGCGCATTGATGTTGTTGACTCTTGGGAGCTGGGCGGCGTATATCTGGGGGGCTGTGACGGGGCACAACTCGTAGAGTTCAACCTCGAGTATGTTGCGACATCTTGCATTTAGAATCCTATTGACGTTCGGGCCAGTATGATAATATAATAATCAAACATTCCAGTCCATGTTTTGCATAGCATCCAGGGGAAATTGGACTGTTGAAGTTTCCCCAGCCGTCATCTTCACTAGTGCTGCAAGACTCGGTCCGATTCAGCTGTCATCGCTTGGCGGGGTCTCGGCAAATGAAATGAAGCCTGGGCTCATAATGGCTTTTCGTTGAGTTTGCAATTTGCATCCAATACGATCCTTCGGTGAACTCTGAATGCATCCTGCCTCCCTTGACGGCTGTGCTGCTGATGAACCCAACCTGCAAACCCCTCGAGGCAGAGGACTCGGACCGCCACGAACCGTGTTCCTGGGATCTGGGCAGGGCGATGATTGCCCGATCGGGACGGCACCGATGGGTCTGGGACCACTCCATTCCATACTCGGTTAGGCGCACTTACCCAGTATGGACTAGCGTACTCGTCCCCAATTGGCAATGACGACTCGATGATCCCTGTTCTCGTCCGAATTCGCGGCCTGGCCCCACTGGCCCAGCCTCTCTGATTGGCCAGTATCCGTTCGGGCTAGCGGCAGACAGGCCCCCCTCCCCCATAGAATGGCTTACAAAAAAAACGAGTCGACCCCGGATGTCGCATGGCCGTGGTGTGTTCCACCCGATCTATTTCTCCTTCTGCTGTGCAGATTCCAGCAGCAGGAGGCCTGTCGTTCAATTCTTCATGCAGCTGCTCATTCGACTCTGTTCGCTCTGATTCTTCTGACAGTCGCAGTGGCGTTCGTTCTATATCCTTCCCGTGCCAGTCTTTCTCATCCAATAACGTTCATTTACCGATCTGTTCCGAGGCAGAATTCGTCAACCATCTCTTCGCCACAGCCAGCCTCCGCGACACCACGAGATTGCCATCTGATGCTGGGGAAGTGTTGAGAAATCCAATATCACGCTCTGTCAGTGTTGATCGAGACAGCCAACTACCAATCGCGACAAGGGAATTACCATTTGACGATTGACGGAATCGAGACGGGACCATCGGGTGCAGTCGCCCTTGGGAAACGGCGGGCGAGAATGACTTGCGCCTCATCATTTGAAATACCGGTTATATCAACTTCAGTCATGGTTTTTATCAACGGTCGTATTGTCAAGAATTGGGTTTGAACTGCCATGGCGCTGGTTCTGTTCAACTGGAAGAAGCAGCTTGGAATACTGGGAAACGTTGGGTTCCATCTTCATCTCATCCCTCAAAGCCTCACAGTGCCGGATCGGGCATTGCAGTGTGCGTCGCACACCATCCCTTCTGATTGTTCGTCTTGCAACTTTTCCCCAATTTCACCATTATGACGATACCATCGCTGTCCCACGTCCCCGAGGGACTCGTGGGAGGGTACCAAGGCAACAGCCTGCCCATTCGAATCTTGATGGTTGTCTTCACCTCGATTGCATTGTACAACGCCACTGAGCTTGTCATCCTCATCTTCCTCACTTTCAACCGTTACAGCGGGCTCTACTTCTGGACCATGCTTCTTTCCGATGTCTTTGGGGTCATCCCCCATGCCATTGGCTACCTCCTCGAGTTCTTTTCTATCGGTCCCATTTGGCTGGCCATCACGCTGTCCACCATCGGCTTCTACCTCATGGTTCCCGGCCAATCCATCGTCCTCTACTCACGTCTTCACCTCGTCGTGCAAAACCCCTATCTCCTGCGACGCGTACTCTTCCTGATCATCTTCGACGCCGTCATCCTACTCGTCCCTACCACGATTCTCACCTACTCCACCGTATACGTCGGAACCGAACCCATCATTCGCGCATACAATGTCATGGAGCGTATGCAGTTGGCCTGGTTTTGCGCGCAAGAGTTTGTGATCTCGGGAATCTACATCTGGGAGACAATCCGGTTGCTTCGTCTCCGCCCAGACAAGGACCGGGGCCGGCACAAAATCATGTACGAGTTGATTGCCATCAACTTTGTCATTATTCTCATGGACATTGCACTCTTGGTCCTCGAATACCTGGGCTTCTACACTTTGCAAACCACCCTCAAAGGGGCTGTTTACAGCGTCAAGCTCAAGCTCGAATTTGGTGTGCTAGGCAAGTTGGTCGCATTGGTTCACACTCACACCTCTGAGCCCAACTCCACCGAAAACGAGGAGTTTCCTAATTTCGTCAACCCGGCCCAACTCACGACCGATGTCACTCACGCCGCCCCGACTGACTCCCGATGGGCGCATCCCCGACGGGCATGGGGTGCTATCTCCATGGACAGCCTTGCTCCGTCAGAACGGCAAGATCCTCCTTCTTATTCCCTCGACAGCTCTCGGCCTCCATGATATGCAATTCCGCACAGCATGCTTACGTCAAACACTCAGCTGGATTCTAAACCGTGTTGATAATGTGATCTCGGTCTGTTGAGTCCTCGTATCTTTCAGAAGAAAGGTAGATACTTTAAATCAATCGCCTCCGTGCCCATTTCATGGATGGTATCCAGGCGTCCGCTGTGACCGGTCTGCGTGATTCAGATCGGAGCAGGACGGCCCGCCTGTTTGTTGATCAATCCGCGGCAGTCGCAACATTGATTGTCTTCCAAAGCTGTTAAAAGCTGTTAAAACCTCCTGGTTTGCAGCTGGGTTGGATCTACCGATTCCATACTGATCAACTTGTACAATGTACCATGTCACTGGAAGTCTAATGTTTCACATGCTGAGTAGCAACAATGATGTACATATGATGTATCTACATAGTGATTGACATGCGATATGATTGTGAATATTATCAAAAATAGAAATCCTGCCCTGTAGTCCGTAGTATGTACAGTCGAGGTGAGCTGCCCGTGGAGGACAGTCGGCCGAAGCACAGCCACAGTAATTGCCATCGGGTGGCGCATTCTCCACAGAAGCGTCGTCGGAAGAGAAAAAAAAAAAAAAAAGACACCAACGCCTGTCGGATCCATAAAATGAACCACAAAAATGCGATCAAGAATTTCAAAGGAAAAAAGAAAGGTCCTGCCCGGGATCGAACCGGGATTAGTGGAATCAGAATCCACTGTGATGACCATTACACTACAGAACCACGTGAGTGGTCGATGTTGGGACTCTTGGCTTTATATTTGATGCCTTGTAGCCACCTCGAAGTCGTCCTTTGCTGGCTGACATTCGCTACATTCGGTTGCCATTCCGTGGCCCTCTTTCCGAGTCTCCGGGCTGTCATACTACAGTGGATAGAGTCAGTTCATGCTGAGGGTACAGTGCTGAAAACTACGATGAAGGGCCACAGACGACGGATTGTCACTTTCATGAGTACTCCTTAGTCCAACGGTATGCATTCCAAACTTGATTAGGTTGGGCCCGCGTTAAGCATTGATATCGATGATTTGGAGGAATTGAGAATATGGGGTGTGCACGATCAAATGGTATGATCTAGGAGCTCAAAGAGAGAATACCGGATTGAGGCTGGCTTCCACAAAACCCGTGGCTGAAGCAAAAGTGTCGATAATATTTGGCAGTCTCATGTGGTGACGTCATGTCGAGATACTTCATATGATAGTACGAGAACGATGCGAAACGAATTCGCCCACTGTGGATATTTCCAACGACTTTTCGGCTCTCGCTTCAGCGGAAATAATACCCAGGCATCACTTGATAATATCCATCCATGGCTGGTCTGTCGCAACGTCCCGGAAATCAGGCGCCCTCTCTGATTGGCCGCTGCCAACTTCTGTCCCTCCAGCTCCCACTCTGCGGCATCCAGACAGTCGCCGGCCCTGTTTCCCTCAATCACAGCCAGTTTTCGCGCATTTTTGACTCTCAATGTCCGCCGGTTAGTCATCGCCGTTCATTGGCTCTGCTGGCATCGCATCCGATTTGTCTTTCGCTCCCCGTCGAGTTGGTGATGGTCCACGATGGTTTCTCTTCTTTTTGACCCTAGCCAGCCCCTCCAAGTGCCGCTCCGCCAGACGTCGCAGCTGCAATTGATCTTGTTCGTGTCTTGCGCTCTCTGTCATAGCTTCCACAAAGAATACCTGCTAACTGGATGGCTCACCAGTTTCTGATCTGACCCCTTGCCGACCAGATACACGCGCCCCTCTGTCGCACGAGGGGTCATCTCCCTTCGTCACTTTCGACAAAGTCGCGCCTTTCAAATATTCCCTGTCCTTACATTCCTACGATCGATCCTCCGAATTTTTTGGTCGCGCGACGAATAGAAAATAGCCTTGTCAAGAAATCGTCATCTGGTCAAGTCACAAATGCACCGATAATCAAATCGAACCGCATGGCAGAGTTCTGTTACACTCGTGCAAACATTCTTTGCTATCGACATGATGCCAAACAGGGACTCCACACCCCACGAAAGCCCCCCCGACGATCATGCGACGCCCGATCAGTCAGATCTCAATCGCGATTCCAGCTTCGATGGCACCGATCGCGTTTATCCGATTCGATCGGTCATCTCGGCCGATCCCTCGATCTCTGTTCCAAGTTCCGATCCACAGACTCCGACGGTTCCTCTCTCGCCTACAAGGGAAGGTGCACGGGAATACTCCATTATTGATGCGGAAACCTGGAATCGAATGCGGTCCAATTCCAAGCCGGAGGGTCGGCCCATCAGTGATTTAGACAAAGCCTCACAACCGTCACCAGGAGGGTCTCCAAAACCATACTCCCCCAAGTCAAATGATGGACGTTTGCGAAGCTCCAGCTTTGCTCAGAAGGACTCTGGTGGAAATCATATGTCGGGGCAACAACCAACGGGAGGGGATGAATCGCGAGATCTGGTCACCACGCGTTTCCAGCACATAGTCACGGATGGTGGTCACGCCGTGATCACTGGCAGAGATCGAAATGGATTCAAATCATGCGAAGATGAGCCGATTCGCATCCCCGGAGCAGTGCAGAGCTTCGGGGCCCTTGTCGCGTTTCGCGAGGAATCAGATGGTAAATTGGTTGTTAGGGTGGTTAGCGAGAATTCTACGGCCATTATTGGTTATTCCCCGAAGGACCTCTTCGCCCTGGACAGCTTCTGTGATATTCTCAAGGATGATCAAGCGGATACTCTTCTGGATCACGTCGACTTCATCCGGGATGATGCCGACCCTGGTGTAGACGGCCCCGAGGTGTTCATCTTATCTGTCAAACCGCCCAAGGGATCGTCTCGGAAGTTCTGGTGCGCCATCCACTCCGTACCAGGCGATAGCGATATGATCGTTTGCGAATTCGAGCCCGAGGACGACCGGGTAAACCCCTTGAACGTGTCTGGGCAGACAACGCCAACGGCGCCCGCCGATACCCTTGGGATCCAGCCTACGCCAGAACAGATGGCCGGCAGCACAATAAATATCAGCCAACCACTGCGGGTGCTGCGTAATGCGCGCAGAAGAAGAGGAGAAGCCGCGGCTATGGAGGTTTTCAGTATCTTAACTCAAATCCAAGATCAAATGGCACGGGCTGAAACGCTGGATTCGCTACTCAACATAACGGCTGGACTGGTCAAAGAACTGACTGGATTCCATCGCGTTCTGATTTATCAATTTGATACCAATTGGAACGGAATGGTCGTGGCTGAGCTGCTTGACCCCAGAACTACCAAAGATGTGTACAAGGGCCTTCACTTCCCTGCCTCGGATATTCCGAAACAAGCCCGTGACCTCTATCGCATTAACAAAGTTCGCCTTTTGTATGATCGTGATCAGGTCACATCGCGACTGGTCTGCCGGACTGTGGAAGATTTGGAGACTCCTCTCGACATGACACATGCCTATCTGCGGGCCATGTCCCCAATCCATGTCAAGTACCTAGCCAACATGGCAGTGCGGGCATCAATGTCCATCAGCATAAACGGTTTCAACGAACTATGGGGTCTCATCTCCTGCCACTCCTATGGGCAAGCTGGGATGAGAGTCTCCTTCCCTATTCGAAAAATGTGTCGTCTAATCGGCGATACTGTGTCGCGAAACATTGAACGTCTTTCATATGCATCCCGTCTTCAGGCTCGCAAGTTGATCAACACCGTTCCCACAGACGCCAACCCATCCGGTTACATCATCGCCTCATCAGACGACCTACTGAAGCTGTTTGATGCAGATTATGGGGCGTTGTCAATCCGGGACGAGACCAAGATTCTGGGAAAGCCGATTCATTCCCAGGAGGTCCTTGCGCTCGTGGAATACTTACGAATGCGTGAGATCAACTCAGTCCTTGCCTCGCACAACGTGGCCAAAGACTTCCCGGATTTGCGATATCCGCCTGGTTTTAAATCTATATCAGGGATACTCTATGTGCCCTTGTCCGCGGGCGGAACGGATTTCATCGTTTTTTTTCGTCGAGGCCAACTGACCGAGATCAAGTGGGCTGGCAATCCCTACGAAAAGAAATTCACCCAGGGAAATCTGGAACCTCGCAGAAGCTTTGAGACCTGGCGAGAGACGGTTCTCGACCAGTCTCGTGAATGGACCGAATCGGATGTTGAAACGGCTGCCGTCTTGTGCCTGGTGTATGGCAAATTCATCAAGGTGTGGCGACAGAAGGAAGCTGCCATGCAGAGTTCGCAACTGACGAAACTTCTTCTCGCCAACTCCGCCCACGAGGTACGAACACCGTTGAATGCCATCGTGAATTACCTAGAGATTGCTCTGGAGGGCGCTCTTGACAATGAAACCCGCGACAATCTCACCAAGTCCTATTCCGCATCCAAGTCTCTGATCTACGTAATCAACGATCTTCTCGATCTCACCAATGCCGAAAAGGGCCAAAACCTCATCAAGGATGAGTGTTTCGACCTACCAGTCACCTTCAAAGAAGCAACTGATATGTTTGAAGGTGAAGCCAAACGGAAGAACGTCGATTTTACTGCTGAGATTCACCCAGGGGTTCCTAACACGGTGATTGGTGACCAGCGGCGAGTTCGTCAGGTGATTTCTAATCTGATTTCAAATGCCATTCAACATACGTCTACCGGAAAGATTGCTGTTCAGATGTGGCGTTCTCCTATTCAACCGGATTCGGAAAATGTCGAGATACAGATTACTGTTCTAGACACAGGCTCCGGTATGTCCCAGGGTACACTTGAGGCTTTGTTCCAAGGTCTCGAGCAAGTATCTACCGAAGATGAAAGCCACAATTTTGTTGATCCGGAGGATCAAAGCTCTCTACCTGCGCTCACGGATGGACAAGAGAGACAGGTGCTGGGCTTGGGATTGGCGTTGGTGGCCCGGATTGTTCGCAATATGCATGGGCAACTCAGCGTGCGGTCAGAGGAAGGCAAAGGTAGCCGCTTTAAAATTTCCCTCCGGTTTCCTGTGCCAGACAATGTGGGACCTCTGGAATCAGAAGAGTCCCGCCCTGTGGACTTGAACACCGGGCCTGTAAATCCACTCCCAAAGCAGAGCGAGTTCATGCTTGTTGATGGAAATCAGAAGCGGCGATCTCATGATGGACGACGGCAAAGCAACGAAAGCAATCGCAGCGGAAATAGCTTCAACAGCTCACGCAGCGGCAGGAGCGAAGCTGATCGCCTTATTAGTGCCATGCAGGAAGGCCCACTGATCACTCGCAGTACTAGTGAAGGTTCTGATATCAGAAGACTGAACCAAGGCAGTCCGAACAGTACTGCAAGTGACAAGCCATCAAAGTCAAGCATTTTCTCAACACTAGCGAGAACTCAGAGCACCCTTTCACAACATGGCACCCAAGGGTTTGCTGCGAGTCAACCAATACGCTCATCGGTGCCTCTTATGTCTCCTGCGGCACCGGGCCAGGCGCCCGTTACTGATTCTGGAGTACCAGTCAGTGCCGTGCGGATACCCGAGCAGGCCGTGGAGCGGCCAACCTCACCCACCAGGCAAGCTGTGGAAAATCAAGCCAGCCCCCCGGTATTGCCGCCTTCCTCACAGCAATTGCCCAATGAAGAGTCCCAACCCTCACCTCCGGGGACTTCATCGAAAATTTCAGACACACTCCGCGTTCTAGTTGCCGAGGATGATCCGATCAACGGTAAAATCGTGCAGAAGCGGCTTGGGAAACTCGGCCACAGCGTTTGCTTGACTAAAAACGGCGAGGAGTGTGCGGGGGCGTATCGAGCGGACTGCAACAGCTACGACGTCGTGTTGATGGACATACAGGTACGTTATCCAATGACGGTATGTATGAGTCTTCAGAATAAACTAACCATGAGAAAGATGCCTATCGTTGATGGGATGGGCTCTACCAAAATGATACGCGATTTCGAGCAGGAGTTACCTGATGGTAGTTTGTCGGAGATCGCGAAGATGCATGGTCGAGTACCTATTTTTGCAGTTTCTGCATCTTTGTTCGAAAAGGATGCCCAAAAGTACATTGATACCGGTTTCGATGGGTGGATTATGAAGCCAATCGATTTCAATAGACTAAATGTGCTCCTTGACGGGCTTCAGCTTGAAGATGTCAGACGCAGCACGAACTACCAAGCAGGCAGCTGGGAAAAGGGTGGCTGGTTTGTACGAGAAAAAGCCTAGTGCATACACATTGAGCCTTTTTCAAGACCAGGGGTCGTCTTGAGTGGGGAACCACGATCGATATGATCGAGATACCTGGTTTCCTTTGCGCATAAATCGCGCTGCCTTCGAGGATAGCTACCTCGAATTCCGAAAAACAAAACCCCTTTTGCGCCGCTCTGGATATGCCTCATATTGCTATCTTGTCTGGTGCTATTTCTTCTACCATATACCCCATTGCCAAAAGTTTTTTCTTCTTTTCTTTTTATCCCCGATATATGCAACTTCTTTTGTTCTCTATCAATGTATTATGTCCTGATGTTTCATGCCGAGATGTGCCATTTTTTGATAATGTTTTGACCCTTGGCACATCCTGATTTCTATACTTCTAGCATAATTTTGGCGCAGTCAGAGGGCCCAGGTCTTTGCATTTGTCTTTTATTATACGGTTTACAGGGCCAGGCGCGAACACGGAATGCTTGGGCGACTGGTTTAGGCTTATTTGAATACGACTTTAGTTTCCTGCCAGGCATATGAAGGGGCGGGATTCCATGCAAATTATTGTCCTTTTAATAAAAGCACCCTCCTTTCACCCTGTATGACTTGCAACGTCTGATGTGCTAGTGTCGATCCGGGCGAGGTTGAGGCGGTTCGAGTGACCTTCAACTAGACGAACGAATTGTCTTCATTCTCCATCTTGTCTACAACCCAGCCAACGCCATCATCATGGACAAACTGCCTGACGAGTTGATCCAGCAGATCCTCAATTATGTTATGATTGAGGATGTTCCTTTCTGCATAGAGGACTGTATCCGTGCGGTCGGAGAAGCCGCCGCAGGTGAGCCGAACAGCAGACAATACACAACGCCCTGCTGAGCAAAGCTGACAACGCCCAGAGCGATATTTGGAGTATGAAATCAACGACTACGTTGAACAAATGCTTCCTCTGATTGTCCGAAACGCAGATCCCTCCCAAGTCGAACATCTTTATGACTGGATCCTTGTGAACGGTACCTGCAGACGGTTCCGCAACACGGGAAAACGGAGCTTCTTCGCCCACAAGACGTTTGCCATGACGCCGCAGTTTGCGCACCGGCTGCGATACTATGAAGTCAGGCAGTTCAGCTACGAGGGTCAGGAAATGGCACTCCGATGCATCCAGTCCGTCGTCTTCATGCAGCCTGTGCATCTCCCCAGCGCCATATTAAAACTATCTGAGCGCGTGTCGTTATTTCCTCGTCTTAAACGGATAAATTTTGTCTTTGAAGGGAATATTGAGAAATGACTCAGTGTCTTGGTTCGCCATTCGCGCTTTCGACGAGAATTACCTTCGATGCTGGTTGAACTGTTGCTTTCCATTGACTTCCCGGTGGATCGATTCGAGCTGGGGGTAATCGACAGGGGAATATATGTATCTGTGTGTGATGAGTATCTCAAAAGACAGAATGGACAGGCAATGGAAGAATGCACTACACAGGGTGACAATCGATCGTATGGTCCACTGCAAAGACCGGAATGAGTATCTTTTGTATTGCACATATCGATTATTTGTCGATACTGTCCTCAAAACATCATTGCGGGCTCTGATTGGTCGGCCACAGACAGCATCACGTGTTCATCTAGAGGCGCACTCCTCTGCGAGCATCAACAACACATCCCATTCAAGACCCGCGAGCTCAATATGGAACGTCTTAGGTTATTATTGACTCATCTCACTTTCATCAGGTCAGCTCCACTGCCCAGCGACGTGGCCACCGTGGCTGCTCACCAATGGACGTTGTGTTCTGGTCGATCTACACAGCCCCGCCAGGCTGCAAAGAGCCATCACAAAATCGCCCTCGACCGAATTCATTTGCACCCAGAATATTCAATTTTAAAGTTTCACACAGTTTAATTGAGCGAATGCGATGGTCGAGTTGAACGCCATGACCGATAAACAATACACCACCCACCCTAGTCCTCCAAGAGGACTGTTGGACCTGCCCGACGAGTTACTCCTCCTTATCGCAGAGCATTTATCTACTTGTTCACTGAATGCCTTGGTACAAACATCGAGAAGAACATGGTGTGCTTTGAACAGGAATCTCTTTAAACTTGCCTTCAAGGATCCGGGGTCCAGATATGAAACAACCTTCAACTGGGCAGCACGACTTGGCCCGGTCGCGAGTTTGAGAGCGATTCTGGACCATGCACCCCCCGACTGCATTGGCGCATATGAAAAATTTCTTGCTCTCTATGATGCGATCAGCAACGGTCGTGAAGAGGTTGTTCGTATCCTCTTGGATCTCGGCGTTGAACTTGACGTGCCCTATGAAGTCAGAGAAGATATCAATATCTCGTATGGTGCCCAGCCGCTGTACTTTGCTGCTTTCAAGGAGCAGACCAGAATAGTGGAAGCGCTTCTTGATGCTGGCGCCGATGTTTCAGCAACACAACCCGATGGAGATACTGCTTTGTCCACTGCCGTGACAGCAAAAGGGACTGCACTCGCTGAGTTGCTCATTCATCGGGGAGCTGATATCAATTCACCCTCGTGGAGAGGATTTACGCCCCTGCACTTCGCAGTTGCCAATGAGAAAATTGACACTGTTCGATTACTGCTGGAACATAAGGCCGATGTTGACCGTCGGGATGCGGACGGGATGTCGCCGCTACACAGGGTCTATTATAAGAAATATACCAAACGTATCCAGTGCGTGGAAATCGCCAAGTTATTGCTTGAGGCTGGAGCCAGTGCCACGGCTACCAGCAATAGCGACTTAACACCATTGCATGCTGCGGCGGAGGATGGAGAGGTGGAGGTTATTCGACTTTTGTTGGAGCACGGGGCGGATATCAACGCAAGAACAGCACGAGGGGAGACGCCGCTGCACATTGCCGCCAAACCTGACGGGCGGTCCGACGCTGTTCAAGCGCTTCTGGATGCGGGGGCAGATTATTCGATTTTTGACAACGACCAAAAAACCCCGTTGGTCAACGCAATGTGGAATGCAACTCAGAAAATGACCCAGGAAAAAACTCGGATGCTCGTTGACGCGGGCGCGACGCGTTGCCCATCGGTGCTTATTCCAGGTGTACTGATACGTGCTGCAACCAATGCCGACTGGGATATAATGCAGCGGCTGCTGGAAGATGGAGTCGATGTGGATGCAGCTTTCGGACCGCGTTGCGTCGCCGAGGCCCTGATGAGGTCTACCAACTGCAAAAGAACGGAGTTCTTCAAAATGTTACTGGACAGGACTACAGCGGATACTATCAACCAGTCTGGGGGCGGAGTAATCTTGCATGCTGCTCTACGGGGTAACGTGGAAATGCTTTGTCTTCTGATCGAGAGAGGGGCATCTTTTGACGTTGTTGACAATCAGGGAAGGACACCGCTAATCTGTGCCATTCAAAGCAGGAGTGATGAAGCGGTTTCTCTGCTGTTGGAGTCCATGAACAATGAAATGGACGTTGCACCAGGTCATGGCAAGCAGCCTTTGTTGCATGCGATCGACACCCGTAAAAATTCAACCATCAAGATGGTGCTCGAGAGAACCACTCTTTTTGATGCACCAGATCACAATGGTCGCACTCCATTCTTACTCGCTGTCTTCAACATGAATGTGTCGGCTGCTAAGATGCTACTGGACAGATCAGCTAATATCGAAGCCAGATTCGGGTCGACTCAGCAAACGGCGCTGATGGCCGCGGTCGGACGAGGCGACAGGGCCATGGTCAGGGCCTTGCTGGAGAGGAACGCCAATGTGCACGCCCAGGACAGTTCAGGCTCGACACCAATTGGGATCGCTGCAAAGGGAGGCGACCAGAAGCTCGCTTTACTGCTCCTGAAACACGGTGCAAACATTGAAGACAAAGACAGGGATCAGTGCACCCCACTGATGATTGCGACACACTGCGAACACGATTGGATTGTGAAACTGCTCCTCGCTAAGGGTGCTAATACTGAAGCCAAAAGCGAGGCTGGACAGACCGCGTTATGCTGGGCAGCCTATAATGGTGATCTAGCAACGATGGCATTGCTCCTTGACAAGGGCGCTTGCATCGAAACTCGAGACTCTCGCGGTCGAACGCCATTGATGCAGGCCTGTTTGCGAGGTCACCTGGAAGCATTTAATCTGCTTGTCTCCCGGTCTGCGGACGTACACGCCGCAGATTGTGATCGCCAGACCCCTCTAAGCATGGCAGCAAAGACGAATCACGTCGATATTTTGGATGCACTTCTCCAGCAAAATATTGAGATTGACCGAAGGGACAGCGACGGCCGGACTGCCCTTTCGTGGGCTGCGGGGAAGGGCCACGCCGAGGTTGCAGAGAGGCTGGTGCGAGCTGGGGCGGACGTGGCCAAGGGGGACAAGAGGGGCCATACGCCCTTGTGGTGGGCGGACAACGCCGGGCATGAACACATTGTAAAATATCTGATTTGAAGCCTTTTATGGCAGTTGATTTCGTGTATCTGGTCGGAGTCCGAGTTGGCCCCAAAGGCCGAGCCGGTGGGGGCGATTGACTCATTCAAAGCCGAGGCGGGGATTCAAAAACATTCTGTATTCCAGTCATCCAAATTTTTTCTTTTTTCTTCTCGTATCTTTTTCATCTTCTCTTCATCATGACTGCTCTTGTACGTGCTGAACATCTGGGTTCTCTGCTTCGGCCGCGAGAATTGCTGGAATATCCCAACGTGGCCAGCGAACAGACAAAACGACAGCAACTGGAGGATGACGAAATCACCAAAGTGATCGAGAAGCAGCTCGACTTGGGCTTTGCGTCCATCACGGACGGTGAATACAGACGGTCTTGTAAGTGAACTTAGCTTGCTCATCGCAAAGTCTCATGGAGAATAGTATTCTGGGGATCTTTCTTCGAAGGCCTCGAAGGCTTCGACCAAGTGCCGTTTGACGAGAAGGTTCTCCGCACGTATTTCCCCAGCATCAAAGCCCTTTTGGAATCCGGATACCGTCCAGGAGGTTCGCTTTTGTGCACCGGCAAGATCAAACATCCGGGGACCAACAGCAGCCACCGTCGCGAATTCGAAGCCTTGAAGAGATTGGTGCCGACGGAGGATATTCCCAAGATCAAATTGACCATTCCCGCTCCGAGTTGGTATCATATGCGATTTAAGCACGGCCAGGCATATCTCCCGGGTGTGTATCCATCGGATAAAGAGTATTTTGCCGATTTGGCCGTGGTGTATCAGACGGAGTTGCGTGATTTATATGATGCCGGGTTGAGACGCGTCCAAATAGACGATCCGCAGCTGTCTTGTATGTGATACTGATGGGAGAATGTGCACATCTGCTGACGAGGGTAGATTTCTGCTCTGACGAAATCACTGAAAGCTGGCGAAATGACCCGATCGATAAGGCCCAAGACCCCGACGAACTGCTTGATGGGTACATCCAATGGTACAACCAGTGTTTGAGTCAAGTCCCACCCGACATGCACATCGGCATTCACATCTGTCGAGGCAACTTCACAGACGGTCGGTACTGGTCAAGCGGTGGCTATGACCAGATTGCCAGCAAGCTGTTCAAGTATCTCAACGTCAACACCTACTACTTGGAGTACGATTCCCCACGAGCAGGCGGTTTTGAACCTCTCGGCGACCTTCCTTTGGACAAGAATGCCATTCTGGGCGTAGTGACGACCAAGTCAGCAGAGTTGGAGGCAATTGAAGAGCTTCGTGAGCGAGTCTTGGGAGCAGCGACTGTTATTGCCAAGGGCAACAATGTCTCTGTGGAGGAGGGACTGCAGCGGTTGGGAGTCAGTCCGCAATGCGGGTTTGCGAGTCACTGTCGGGAGGATCGTCTGACGAGGGAGGAGATGTGGGCGAAACTGCAGCTGGTGCGGACATTGGCTGATTCGATTTGGCCAGGGGAGGCTTGAATATAAGTGCTGATTTTGTGTAAATGGTGTTGAGTCTGTATACAGTCTACAAAGCGTAACCCCGCGCTAACCATATCCGGTTAGTGTATGGTAGCCAGGCCAAAATGCCAAAATGAATGAAATCTTCGTCGACACAATTCATAATGAAACCGATAATATTCGTCACTGGCAACCACAACAAGGTCGCCGAGGTCAAGGCCATTCTTGGTGATGCTATCCCAGTGCAGAACCTAGCACTGGATATCCCGGAGATCCAAGGGACGCTGGAGGAGATTGCAAGAGACAAATGCCAACGGGCTGCTCAGATTGTATGCGTTTGTCCCGATTTGTATAGATTTATATTAATTAACATGCATAGATCAATGGACCAGTAGTGATTGAAGATTCCGCCTTGGAGTTTAATGCCATGAAAGGACTGCCAGGTCCATATATGTATGGTCATTCGTGATAATAACATTCATCAATGCTGATGCTTGCGAAGCAAATATTTCCTCGAATCACTGGGCAACGATGGTTTGAATAAACTGCTGGATCCGTATGAAGATAGAAGTGCAGAAGCAGTGTGTACATTTGCCTTTTCTGCAGGACCGGGAAAAGAGCCATTGCTGTTTCAAGGCCGGTTAAAGGTGCGAGACAATTGACTTTAAAATTGGGGTTTGCTGAATTTCAACAGGGCAAGATTGTTCCGTCGCGTGGTCCGCCTATATTTGGTATGTCTTTGTTTGGAATATAATTTCATTATATACTAATGTGGATAGGATGGGAGCCAATCTTTGAGCATCAAGGGGAAACACTGGCTGAGATGGAGCACGATAAGAAGGTACGATCATCGGGATTATTCGATATGATGTCAACTGACGAAGCAGAACAAATTGTCCCATCGATACCAGGCTCTGTTCGAATTCCAGCAATGGCTGAGCCAGGAGGAACCGGTTCGCCTACTTGAATAATTAACCAATAGAACGTAGCGAGTTGAAATTGAGATGGCATCATTTCTGTCTATATTAATCTAATACCATAGAGTCAAAATCAGTTGCTTTTCTAACAAGTCCATGGCTGTCATCAAGGCAAGAAGCCCCACTGTCAATGCAGAACCGGCAAATATCAAAATCACCACCAAGGCAAACATCGCAGTGAAAGTGATGATCGCTTTTTGATATCCTCACGAGGCATATATCGCAAAAAGCATGGCCATGGTTCATTTTTGATTCCATCGTATCCGAAGAGATAGCACAAGTCTTTGTATCGGTAGTGATGCCCCTGCCCAAGAGAAGATTCACTATATCTCCATGCCCCCTTATTTGCGCCTCAAAGAGCGCATCGCGGCCGTATATATCTCGATCGCTTGTATTGACAGTATTCGTACTAAGCAGTATACGAGCTATCGCCAAGTGTCCTGCGGCTGCAGCACCCATCAACGGTGTTCTGCCAAATCTGTCTCTGGAATTTGGGTCCGAGGCAGTTTCCAAAAGGAGCTTTGTGACCTTCTCATGGCCATTTGCCGTAGAATATGATAGAGGGGTTCGACCGTGATGATTCCTATAATGCGGATCACATCCGGAGTTGAGTAGCAGCTTGAATATTGTCTCGCGGCCTTTTTCCGCCGCCAGCAGAAGAGGAGTGAGGTCATATTTGGGATCGCGAAACTCTATATCAGCTCCATTTCTTACTAGAAATTCGACTACAGCTTCATGGCCTATCATGACTGCCCACCCTAATGGGGTTAGGCCATGTCCAGGATTCGTAGATTGCAAATTAGCACCATGCTTCAACAAGAGCTGGACCATGTCTTCGTTACCGTTATAAGTGGCGTATAACAGCGGTCTTTGGCCATCACCATCTTCTTGGTCTGGATGAGCCCCATGGTCAAGGAGAGATTGAACGACTTCTTCATGACCATTATCAACCGCCCATGAAAGTGGGGTCCGGCCATGATTATCCTGGCTTTCTAGATCAACACCTTTTGACAATAAGAGCATGACTACTTCGTCATGACCGTTGCCAGCTGCCCAACTAAGTGCAGTCCAACCAGACTCAGTATCCTTGGTTTCGGGATCGGCATTGAACTCGAGCAAGACATTGACAGTGGAGACATGGCCATTTGCAGCCGCCAATGCCAACGGGGTTCGACCGGCGTTATCTTCGGAGTTTGGATCGGCGCCTTCTTCCAAAAGCATCTTGACTACCTCATCATGGCCGTTTTCAGATGTAAGTGCTAGTGCAGTTAGGCCGTCATTGTCCTTGGAGTCGGGATCATGGAATCGGTCTAGCAACAGCCGAACTACTTTCACTTGGCCATTTTTTGCTGCCCAGGACAATGGCATCTGCCCAGTAGAATCGGGAGAATTGCATATACTTTCGTTTGCAATTAAATATCTCAGAGTAGTCTCCAGTCCAAAATGTGCTGCCAGATGAACTCCTGTTACACTTCTTGGTGCTTGGTGGATTCGTCTAATCACTTGTGGGTACCCGATTAATGTGACGAGGGCTTGAGCACAAGAAGATACTTTGCCTTCGTCAACCAGAAGATTGAGGATCCATTCTTGCTCGACAGCCTGCATGCGTGTGTGGTAGCCCCAATACTGCGAGCAATAGTCGTACAGTGGATATTCCTGTAGGCGGTTTTCGAAATCATGATCGGTTGCACATAGTCCAGACTCAAAAACATCATAAGACAGATATGCGATGCACACCCGTGTAATGCCATAGTGGGCACTAGAGAACCACCTTATCCATGTTCGTTCGAAATATTCCTGGGTAGTATAGTGAACTAGTCGAATGACGCAGCTTTCTTCATCAATTGTTACCAGACCAGCGCAGGCATTTAATATGTCTTCGGCATCAGGGAGGTTGTCTTGGTCAAATTCTGACTCTTCAATTTCAACGGCTAGTGCGTGTTGAAGTTCGAATATGGTCAGTGGCCTTTGCGCACAAGTGATCCACGAAAGAACTTGATTTGCCATTTCTTTTTGGTCTGTAACCTGACACTCGATTCTTTGCATAGCGTCTTCATAGGCAACATCATATGCGTCTGTTCCACATGGTAGCTTGTTGAGTGTATTCTTGATAGCCTTGGGTGACCGTTTTCCAATAAGTGAGGAAAGATGGAGATGGGCGAGGAGAAACCTGTAAGATCAGTTTGGAACTGCTGCAGGGATAGAGAATACTCACATTCCATCTACAGATTCACTGATCGCTTCAATAATTTCATTCTGCAGCTGGCTATTTCGCGATACAAAAGAAGGTAGCTGGTGTAGATGGCTTAGCAGATATGACTGCACATCCTCATTTCTGGCACGGATCTCCTGGATCAAACTGTTTTCGAAGGCCGACTGAATTACTGGATTGTGCCTTGATGTTGCAAAGAGGTTTATATTATGCTTCGATTGCATGTTGAACAGCTCTGTTAGGAATTTGGTCAACGATCCACTGGTCATGTTATATTCATCCAAGGCATCGACCATAATGAAGACCCGTGAGTAACTGGCAGTAACAGAATACAGGATCCTCAACAATTCATCCAGACTTGGGCGCGTTCCTGTATTTCGATGATGGTTATAAAGCGATCTCACAGTGTCGGGGAAAAGTGGTTGTCTCTGGGCCAACTGTTTCAGTAAGCTTGCAGCAAGATCTTCCAGCCTCTGCTCATGATGCCGTCGGAAGTTGCAGTATAGGTATGCAATTCCAATACTCGGATTGTGACTGAATTTCTTTTCAAGATGGTCAATTACAACTGACGTGAGAACTGTTTTTCCTGCCCCGGGAATGCCGGGACAAAAGAGCGTCTGCTTTTCGTTATCCAACCACTGCTTGAATACCTTGGTGTTTAATAGCCATTGCCCAGTGCCTGCTTGTCGCCGATTCAGAATATCACTCTGCTGGGCGGCATAACTGATTGGGGCGAGCCAGTTGATGATCTCTTGTCGAACTTGGTTGTCCAGTGTGTTGTTGATTTGATCGACTCCCTCCTGAATGGCAAAAACGACATGGCTATGCAGTCAGTATATTAACAGGAATCAAAATCAGATTGCATACCTGGTGAGACCAGCAAGAAAGAGATTGAACACTTTAATATTCCCGTGTATCCGTTGCTGAACCGAATTGATCTCGGATTGATCCCACTTTATTCGCTTCCATACTCGTCGCGAAGTGCCAGCCAACCCTTTGTCGGGGCCTAATTCCTGGTATCGGTCGAGAACGTCCTCGAGTTCTTGCAAGACGCAGTGACAGTCATGGGAGATATTATTCAAATGCTTCTGTTGCCGATCGTCGAGGCCAGCTTCGAAATGGAAATCCTCGATGTCGCGAAGGACATTGGACAGAGTCTTTGTGCTGCGCTGGTGAGAATCTACTCTTTGAACCTGGGACATCACCTACTCGTCTGAGACCGCCTTGAATTGTGCTGGCGCATTGATGAAACGCTTTCTCACATTGTTGGTAAGCTTCAAAATCGCAAGGAAATCGCCAACTCCGTAGCCAAAACTCATTGTTGATGGACAGTGTTGAAGGTCAAGAAGTGGCAGTTGGGGACGTCGCGATGCGGGGTAAAAAACGCCGCCATCTTCTGTCGACAAACCACGAACGCGATCTCTTTTGCCCCTCCATCTCACTCTATCCCGACTGTCAGACTTCAACTGCATTACTTCGGAATCCCGCAATTTCTGATGTTGACTTCAAAAACTGAATTCGCATGTTAGGCTCCCAGACGGACCTCCGAGTAACTAGCGCATAGAGCCAATATGAGAACGGAATGGCTTCAGCGACGGCGTTTGGCCCGAGAAGCCCGATGAAGGATCTCCTGGATTGGCGACATGAACAGCCTACGCGGAATTCAACAAGTCTATTGAGAGACTTCCACTGGAAACGTCCGTCTTATTGAACTCTGAGACTGCAACGCCATGCCGACGGCGGCCTTTTGAAATCGTGCCCAGTGTTGGTCATATACTGTACCATGGGAGGGTCCAGGCTACGTAGAAGATCCGTGGGCTGAGGGGCCCCAACAGTACTATCCCGGTCTATTCCAGATCAAATTGGAATGTGTTCTGAATGTGCTACGCTGTGCTGCTAACCAGGCCACGCAGTAGATGCTAGTGCTTCGGCTTATGGTACTCAATGCTGAACCCCATGTTATGTATCGGCTGTGGTGTGTTCGTTGTTAGGTAAAATCCCCGACATCGGTTTCGATATAAAACAGCCAAATACACGGCCACATGTGTTGGTTCAGTGGAGTTTCAACCTTCGGATGGTATTCTGAATTGCTGGAGAAAGGCCGCGACTAAATACGGAAATGCCAGCCTAGATGGTGAGGTTAGTTGTGTCTATTTCTGGCCGAAACATGAAGTGACTGGCAGCTGTCAACATGATCGAATGCCGGATTCTCCTTCTGTCCTGGGACAGAGGAATAGGACGGCGCTATATCTGACGCGCAGTAGAGAAACGAGAGGGGATATCCAACTTGACACCATTTTCGTCATTGTTGCCTTGATTCGCCCTCACTTCTCTGTTACTATCTCTACCAACTATTGTTTGCTCTCTTTCACTATTTTCTCATTGTAAACAGCAGCATCGCCCAGTGTGGAAAGCTGCCTGGGACCTTTGTGTTCCCCAGCAACAAGTGAATAAACCAACACAACACAACACAACCTCTTTCTTTTCGACTTCTTCTACCTCCTCTTTTATCTCTCCGACTATCTCTCCCTTTCTTTATCCTTTGACATCCTCTTCTGTTTCCCTCTTCATCCCTATTTTTCTACTCTTCACAATCCTTCCATTCTCTTTGTTTATCATCTACAACCCTATACCCCGTACTCCTCCTCCCAAACCTCGACTCATTGCAGATCAACTAGCAAAATGCGCTGGACTCAGGAGAACGAACAGATTGTATTTCCCCTCTACCCTGACTACCAGTTCAAATCTAACGTGAACCAGCTCTGGAAAACAATATTCGAAACCCAAAGCTTCCACATTGATTTGGACAAACTCTCCAAGGCCTGGCGTAAGTCTTTCGCTACTTCATACCAACAAAAATACTGACATTGATTCCAGCCGGCGAAGACAAGCCCAGCCCCAAAGCCCTCGAGGGCCAGCTCTCGAAGTACCGCAAGAATCTCAAGGGAGACAATACAATCACGTTCAGCTTGGGTTCCAAGCGCTCTGCAAATTCCGAGTCGGGTCCTCCCCGCAAGCGACGCGCGACCAAGAAAGCCGTGGCGCAGGCAGAGGATATTGCGAAGGAGACTTCGAATAATGCCGAGGATTTCTAGATCGGATTTGGCCGAGATGGAGGGCGGGATCGGCAATTAACTTCTTTTTGTTTTATTTTTCGTTTTTTCGGTGTCTAGGACTGGATCCTACAAGGCAGGAGATCTTCCCGGTGAGAAATGAGCAGGGCTAGAGTGAAGAGAACTTATAATGAAGCACGTATCTACAGTTTGAATGCAAGTTGATCAGGATGCGTTCGAATTATTCCACGTCGTCATCTGCTGAAAGACCGTAGCCGTCACTGTCCTAACAAGACGGATAAACTAGCCACCCACTTGCAAACTTCCAAAGACCAGCACTGCCCTAGATCTCATCTTCACACTCCTCCTTGATTCCAGCCTTGGTATCCTTGCCCTCTTCCTTCTTCACAAACCCAGCTACATCATTCGAGTCAACATCCTCCTCGGTGTCGACATTCTTCTGCTTCTTCGACGAAGCACCAGCGGGACAACCGGGTTTGCGCTTCAAAGGTGTACCAGCAAGCACAGGAGCAGGAGAACCATCACCTTCACTGGCAGCGCCGGGGGAAGAGGACTCTTCGGCCTGCTTCCTAAGGCGTACGATGCGGTTCTTGACGGCGCCGACGAGACAGTCTGTTCTTTTGTTAGCCTGGCATGATCTTGTAAGATGTTCGAAATACATACCTGGGCCCATGAATTCAGCAAGTTTGGCGTAGTCGATGTTCAATTTGGCATCTTTGAGCTGGTTGAGGACACCAAGGAAGAGCTGGAGGAGTTCTGTGTTAGTCGAAGATGGCAGACGCTGGGGTGGTACGTACCTTGGCATCGGCATCGGAATTCCAGATCACCATGATGACAGTTGATCTGAGGTTCAATATGGGTGATTCGAGAGTATCTCGGTTTGAGGAGTTGGTATAAATGTGTGTTGGGTGTGAGTTGTAGTTGTAGGAAGAGAGAAGGTGTGGTGTGTTGATGGGCAAAGGCCAAAGGTGTTTTGTTTATGTGGGGAAACAATGGGAGAGATGCGACAAAGGAAGAGAGGAGAGATCGCAGGCAACTATTTGTATCTGCCAAAAAAACAATGAGAGTCAAGGGGATTTAATGATATCAAGTGGAGAATATCTAAAGAATCCTCCCGCTAGTGAGGGTGTGCTCTCTCACTTGTAGTCTGGCAATGGGTTGAGTATCATTGAGTGTACACCGCTGGTGATGGTTCAGTTCCAGGTCAAGATAAAATGGATTGCCTTGTTTTGATATTCTCAGCCTGCTTTCATATGTGATCAAGGAGAGACTCGAGTTGGGATTTACTTTACCGCTGTCCGATTCGGCCACACTGCTATCGTTGGCATCAAATCAGTAGACAGGGAATAAACATACAATCACACATGCAATGGCCAGAGTGACCACATTGACAATCAACAGGCAAACCTTGCTAGGCAATGAGAACCAGCGGTCTTCAATCATGACCAGCCAGAATATAGCAGAAAGTCCATCTCTTGAGATCTGTTGGCGTGCAAAACGAGGCCATAGTATTTACAACTGAACCAACTGCCAAAGAGCGAAACTCTACATAAAGTCAGCGATGCGATCAGGCTTTCGAAATGAAAATAGAAATAAGTGGTTGTGGATGGGATATAGGATTGGATGTGACAAGTCCACGTGGCAAAGAATAAACATAAAATCTGTTTATAAAACGGGTTCAACCAATCCATCTCCATCCGCAATGCAAGTATCGAGAATGGGATCATCGTTGTTAGACAACCTGCCTGCAGAGATAAAAACATATATTTTCTATCACATTCCAGATTTTCCCTCCCTCAAATCCCTGGTTCTTTCCTCTCCCTCATTCCACGCAATCTATCGATCTCAACGAAAACACTTTTTATCCACTGTGATTCAGAGATGCGTTCAACTGCCCGTCATGGTCGATGCCATCGCTTTCCTGACTGCCTTACGAGGCCAACAAGAACGAACACGCCTCGTCATTCCCCCTCGCAAAGCACTCGATGACTTTTTATCCCACTACCATCTACTGCGTGCAGTACTTCAGGCACCAGTGTCCCTGATCGAACACGAATACAAGGGCCCGGAAGTGAATACCTCCGATGTTTTTCCAAATCTGGCTGAAGATGACTTGATCGAGATGGCTCACCTTCACCACATTGTACTCTTCCTGACTTCTAAGATGGCCAACGACTGTTGTCAACATAGACCGAATGCAGAAACTCTTGATGAAGGTAGTATAATACTGGCACCATCTGAATCATTCCGTATCCAACGCGCTTTCTATCGACTGGAGATCTTCCGCCTGCTATTTAACACTCAAGGTCTGGTGTTGAATGATGGGGAGCCATTCTCAAAAGAAGAGGTTTTGAGTCCATCAGACCAATCCGATCTATTTCTTACGATTTTCAGTCCATGGGAGATGGAAGAGATTCAATGCATTCGAGAGTTCATATACCGGGTGTATGAAACCCTTCCAGGGGCATCCGACATGGAAACTGAGTTTGAAAAGAAGCACTTTCCTGGTGCGATCCCAGATGAGTGTATGTATAGTTCTTTTACTATGGTCCACATATACTAACTGGCTTAGTTGTCATTGATGACCGCCATAGAGAGTGCGTGATGAGTTTTGGACTTGAATTTCTGCATCGTTGGATCCGTGTATCTCAAATCCCCAACCCAGAGGAACGACTGGAAGAACAGTTCAGAATGGTCCGCGGTCAAGTGACGGGGCTTTCCCCATTCTCGCTAAATGAAGCCTTTCGAACTCCGCTTCCCGCTGAATATTACATCTACTACGCCATGGAGGCAGATGGCAAAACATTTGTATCCGATGCAGACTGGAATAGCCCCAATCTGGCATGGACATGGGCTGTCGATGGCGATAATGAAGATGCATCTATTGATCTTTTGCGGTCTTGTGATTTTAAGCTTCGACGTTGGGGATATGTGTTTTGGGGAAAGGATCGCCTAAGGGAGTGGGATGTAGAGGAGAGGGTGAGGAAAGAATATGCATGGCTCAACTATTAACAAAAGTCTCTTCATTTCGCTGCATTAAACGCCTGATTGAACACTTTGCAGATGCCGACCATGTCTGTCATGGCACTGACCATGTGGAATCCTCTGTTTGCATATTCCTTTGCCTGTTCGCCAGTGTCACAGTATATTCCCGTCGCTTTCCCAGCTTCTTGAGCAGCTTCGTGAATGGATTGAATTGCATCAACAAGCTCCTGGTCCATCTCATCCGGACTGGAGATAGGATGGCCGATATTCATCCCCAGATCGAAAGGTCCAATGAACAACACATCGATCCCCGGCACTGCAGCGATTTCCTTGACATTCTCCAACGCCCCTTTGGTCTCGATCTGTACGGCAATGACGAGTGAATCGTTGGCCTGCTGTGCGTATTCTCTGCCGGTCAACTGCCTCACATTGCCACCGTGCGGATGCTGCTCGACAAACTTTTCCACAGCCAGTAGACTCTCAAACCCTCGGTTACCAGTGGGAGGTAACTTGGAGTATCGCGCGATGTTCTTTGCATCATCAACTGTTTCCAAAACAGGGACAAGAATGCCATGCGCTCCGGAATCCAAGGCACGTTTGATCATCCAGTGTTGTCCTTCGGGGACGCGTACAATAGGCGAGACGCCACACGCTGCGGCAGCAGCCACAATCTCATGCATCGAATCGTCTGAGAGATTCCCGTGTTCGAGGTCTATCAAAAGCCAGTCGATGTTCGGTGCAGATCGGCAGATGACTCTGGTGAGGTTCGTGCCAGGGAGCATCTGCCAGGCGCCAAAGGAGGGAGTGCCCTTTCTGAGGGATTTCTGGAGGCGATTCGCTGCTTGCATTGTGAGGATGTTCAATGAGAAGTTTTCTGGAATGAGAGTAAACTATAACAGAATGGCTTTTGTAACTGGTCTGGCAGACAATACAAGGGAGAACTTGGAGGTGTGGTCCATCCCCTTTGTATATTCTCTCATCATTGGTGCTCATGCATCGGCTATTTCGGGTTGCCTCATTATCTACACTACAATCGGATTGCCTTCCCGAATCCACCAACACATCAGTGTATACGGGTTCTACATGTTGTGTCTTTTCTCGGAGATACATGACAGAACCTCACGTCCGAGCCGACCGAGCCGACCGAATATGCAACTTTTGATGTATCGCTTCTTTTGGCCATATTCGTGCACTTTCCATGGCTGGGAACGATCGAGTTTCAGGTTGTTTAGTCTTGGTATTATTATCCTCTTCAACGTATTCGATTATCCTCGATTATCCAGATAGATAGAGTGGATCACAACTTTGTCAGCCAGATGTTAGGCGTGTATAACTAGCTAGCATTGCACCTGGGTAGGAAGTTTTCTTGACACAGAGACAGAGTATGAGTGACATGAGAGGTAGAACATTAGGATTTGATATTATAGATCCCAACGATGGATTATGAATGAAGTTGATTTGGATAACACTACTTTTATACCAAAGAGCACTCGTTGGGTTACTTGTAACATCACCATTATCATCATGACTAGAATTCAAACAATTCAATCAATACATCATCAAGATAACAACATCCAAGCTATACAAGAAGCTCTGCAATCGTAGAATCCATAAAGTCCCTCTGCTCCTTCAGAATCCTCTTGACTTCCACCGTGTCAAACGGACGGTTGGCTCTCTCCCGCTGTCTTTCCTTCTTCTGCAACTCTCGAAGCCTTTCCTGCAGAATCTCAACTCGATACTCGATGAACTGGGCATACAGTTCCGATGCATTACTGATGGGACGCACACCAGTCAGCACGCTTTCGTCTTTGATAAATGGCGACTTTGGCCGGAACGAGGTGATCATGCTGATACGCTCACGGCCACCGAGTGCTTTGAGTGCTTGATGTTCGATATATCGTCCTTGCATGACAACAGCAGTTCCCTGTAGACAGTGAGATATGGATATTTTGAATAGATTCAGAAAGTACATACCATTGCAGGACCGCGCACTTTCATAATCTCCCCGCTGGCCGTCTTCAGGGCAGTCTCTCCACCCGTCATACCGGTGCAGTCAGAGAGCATGGTGACACAGACAAAAGGATAGCTATCGCGGTGCCACGCAAAAACTGGCAGTCCATCATCAGAGTCAGATGTACCGTTGTTTGTAATTGCTACAGTTTGATCGTTCACGGAGATATTGATGGCAGCGATTTCATAATCCATCGCGGGAATAAGGTCAACACCAGCCACTTCGGACATTCTGGCAAGAAGATCGGACGAGTTCCAGGCATCACAGGTGAATGGTGCTCGCCTTAAACAAGAGAGAATCAGCGGTTGCCGTCAATACACAGGATCAGTGACATACGCAGGACCCATTCCCCGAATGGTATTCTTGATAAAAGGCGATGTATATCGACAGTTCTCCAAAACAGGGAGACTGAAGATCTCCGCTCTCATCTGTCGAATGGCTTCTTCCGTAAAGAGCTGGAAAGGCGCCGTCACTGCAGTAGGGGAGATTCCCTGGCCATCCAGTCCGATCTCTTCCATGGTGTAGATTTTGCTGGGAGGACTGAAGTTGAGGTGCTTCTTCGGGTCAAAGCATTGTTTGTCTGCTATCTGGGCCTCGTCAACTAAGAACTGGGGCATTTTGTTTGTTGGGCGAATGGCTCTTTGTGTCGTTGTCAAGTGAGCCACTTGAGGCGGTGCTGATACGACTGCGGTCTGCGTCATGTTGTACGGGATAGAGTAAGATATCTTTGAATATGAATTGATGGTTTAGTTGATTTGTCTTGATATGAGATATTGAGTGGTAGATATATCCCTTTTGAGTCCGAGAATCATGCCTCATCTGCTATATCGACAGCATATCGATCCTGTCCTCGTGGCCATCTGGACCCGATATTCCCGAATCTTCTCACTGCCATACCCTCGGCTTTCTGAATATCAATCGGATACGACAGATCGGTCTTCTCGGATGGAACGAGAGACGTGACCAGATACACTGAAAGAAGTAGACTCTCCACCGCAAAACATATACAAACACAGTTAGAACCCTCGGTGAAAGATGCGCTTGAGCCATCTTGACTCGCTGGAGATATCCAACCTGGGTGCTCCGAAGATGTGGCTGATCTCCATGGCTATAAATCAGTGGCTTCCTCCTACTGCAGTATCTGTTCTCAGAGGCAAAGCATCCTCGAGTCTACGTGAAAAGCGCATTCATCACCGTCTTCTGGCGCTTCTTCTTCTTCTACATCATGGGCGCCCTCTGTGTTGGCGTGCTCATCGCATACAACGACCCAACCCTCGTGTCCATCTTTATCACCAACGCCAGCGATGGCGCTGAGGGATCCTCGCCATTCATCATTGCAATGCAGAATCTCAATATGAGTGGACTGCCACACCTGACGAATGCACTTCTCGTGACGACCATCTTCTCCGCTGGCAACAGCTACATGTACGCCGCCAGTCGCAGTCTGTATGGCCTCGCGGTGGACGGCAGAGCTCCACACTTTCTGGCCAAATGCACCAAGAAAGGAGTGCCCATATACTGCGTCATGGTCGTGATGTGCTTCCCTCTGCTGTCGCTGCTTCAACTGGGCAACGGATCCTCGCAAGCACTCACCTGGCTCACCAATCTCATTACTGCCGGGGGCATCATCAACTATATTGTCGTCTCGGTGACGTATATCTTCTTCTACTGGGCCTGTCAGACACAAAACGTCGATCGCGCCAAGTTCCCATACTACGGACGATTCCAGCCATACAGCGCCTGGATCGGACTGGTTGGGGAGTCGCTGATTGTGATTTTCTACGGTTACGCCAGCTTCACCCCGTGGGATGTCTCCAACTTTTTCACGCATTACGCGATGCTCATCGTGGCTGTTATTACGTATTCCTTCTGGAAACTCGCCTATCGCACCAAGGTTGCGAGGGCCCAAGAGGCAGATTTGATCTGGGAGCGACCGCTGGTTGATGCTTATGAGGCGGTGGTAACATCGCCTCCTGTTGGGTTCTGGGCTGAGATACTTCAGATGGTTGGATGGAAAGATCCCAAGAGGCAGAGTGGAGATACAGCCTAGTATTCAGTGCGCATTGCAATCCCAGATGTCACTAGTATGACGCATCATCCGAAGAACCCGAGATAAGAGAGACTTTCGGATCTATCGGGTGTGATAGTCGTAGACGGTAATATCTCCAATTGTTATCTTCCCCTCATTGTTTGGTCAAGTGCGGGGTCGACAAGGACCGGAGATAGCTTCATTTCCCAAACAATGTCCATCTTTCAACCTCATTCTTCCTGCTTCTATAGCTGCTTGATAAAATGCAGACAGACCGTCGCAAAGCAAGAAGGACGTCAAATGCGTAAGCGCTTACCATCAACAATCTTCGCGGCATGGAGAGCTGACATAATGGCAGATGCATCGCATGCAGGCATAGCAAGATCAAATGCTCTGGAAATGAGCCCTGCAACAACTGCCAGCGGCGAATGATACACTGCGAGTTTGCTGAAGGAGTCAACAAGATTATCGTGTCAGAAAGGTTCGTCGCTTGGACCTTTACCACGATGGATGATAACACATCCAGATATCTTCGGGAATTGGAGAGACAGGTTCAAGAGCATCAAAAGAACAATCACAATGTTCCTTCTCCGTCATTATCGCAATCAGATACAATCGACACTGCTGGGATGCCTTTGGATGTTGCAGAAGAATCACCACCGGCCACTGGCTATGCGCGTAGTATCTGGACGAATCCATTTACATTACCCTCAACGACGATTAAAAACACAAAACCAAACAGACGACACTGGAGTAAGTCATCGTATTGATGTTTCTTCAGGTACTGACAAACAGTCTGGCTGGCTCCGTCGTCCACCTGGTCGTTTACTGCTCGCCTCACCATCATGATGACCGAAAAGCTGCACAACAAGTATCCAGATCACGCCCCTGTCCTGTTAGAAAGAGAGATCTATCCTCTCCAGCTGTCTCGATGTGCCGCAAATGATCCTCCAGATACCAGTCGTCTTCCTTCTCTCGACCACGCTTTGTATCTGTTCAATATAGCAAAATTCCACCTCGGCCAGAACTATCAATTCTTCAATGAGGGGCTGTTTGTCAGCCGTCTTCGGGAATTTTATCACGGCGACGCTGCCAGTATCGTGAATGAAGATAGACTCTGGTTTATTCAACTGTTGTTGGTTTTTGCTTTTGGGACAGCATTTCGTCTGGGATCACGAAACAAAGACCCGCCAGGTTCGACCTTTTTTGTCCGTGCCATGTCGCTGATGCCAGAACATATCTCCTTGTGGAAGCATAGTGTGGTGGCGATCGAGGTTCTCGCCTTGGCTGGGTTGTATCTATACTCCATCGACCAAAGAGAAGCGGCGCATATATATGCAAGTGATCTTTCTCTTCTGATGATACCTGCTAACTCAGACAGGTCGGCCAGGCAGTCCGAATAGCACAGTTTGAAGGCCTTCACACCCAGCTCCCTGACGATCAACTCGGTGCTGAAACAGTGACCCGATGTCGTAATCTGTGGTGGACGTTGTACATCATGGACAGCCATTTCTCCTCATCGGTCGGGCTTCCCACGACGACGCAGGATAGCGATATCAGCACTTCGATTGAGCCGTCGAGTAGATGCTCTCATAAGGAGGTTATTCTCAGTCTCCAGGCGAAACTGTCGCGGTTACTATCGTTTATCATGGCCAGTAGGTTCAGTCAGCGTCCATTCAAGTACTATGTCTAACATTATTCAGCGGTATACAAATCGGAAAAGACTCAATTGGGAGTGTTTCTAGATACGACACGGTCTATTCTACACTCGCTGGCTGGGCATGCTGAAGAGGTTGAGAGGATGGTCCATTCCAGATTTCGAAACTCCGTTGATAGAACACCGAATGGGACGAGGCATATCACCCTGCTATATCACCAGGTCAGTAAAGTAATCCTACACAATGGCTCATTCTAATTATAAAAAGTGTGTAATTGTCGCCACACGCCCTCTTCTTCTCTCTGTTCTCAAAGAGTGGTTTGAGAATGACAGCCACGAGAGAGAAGATTGGCAGGACTTTCTCACTCCCACAGAGACATTGATTTCGATCGGCATTAAATCAGCCGACAAGACACTCCAGATATTATCTGAAGATGATGGCCTTCTTGGTTAGTTCTTCTCCTCTGTCGTTAATATCTGCTAACTGAACAGAGGTATTCCTGCCATACGACCTCGAATTCACATACGCAGCCACTCTCCATCTGGCCATTGCCAACACCCTCTTCCCAAAGGGTAACGACCACGCATACAGCCAAAAGGCCCATCTAATATTGGACGAGATGATAGCCAAAGGAAACAAAGTAGCCGAAGTGCGCAAGGCGGAATTGTCTCACCTTGAAGCTCTCCTTGAGCAATTGGCTGCGCGTGCAAAATCACAAGGCTTTCAGACTCTGACGTTGTCCAATAGTCCAAGGGCGGAGCAGGAAAATCACACTGGTGATGGTGAAATTAATGCTTCGGTGATAGAGAGTGAGGCCTTGCGGACAGATGCGCTGTCAAGTGATATTGAGTTTCTCAACGATATTGGCATTTCGTCGTATGAGTTTTATTCCATCGTGGATCAAATCGCAAATCCGGATTTGCCATTCAGTATTCTGGATTCCAGGCCGAGTGGGGAGTCATAACGTATGTGTATAGTATCATAATTATATATTATCTTTTAAGCATACAAATAAATCCAGAAAATCTATCCCCACAGCTTCGACCGTCTGTGGTTGGTGATCAGCTCCAATAGGGCAGTCTGCAGTCGAGATGCGCCATCTTCCGAAGTCTGATGATGGAAGACCAGTCGGCCATTAGGGAACGCTGAAAGCCCATGCTTTTTACAATAATTGACGATCTGTTCTCCAGGGAGATCCATCTTCTTCAGGTCCAGCACGATCATGTTGGTATTGACAGGCAGCAAGAACTCATATCCGATTCCACAGAGATAGTCAGCCACTCGGCGAGTCAGGGTGTGCACTCGAGGGAGCTCAGGGAGATTGTGATCCAGCGCAGCCGAGGCAGCAGCAGCCATCATGCCAGCCTGTCTGGTGGCACCGCCAAACATCTTGCGGAACCAGACAGCGCGGTTGATGAATTCTCTGGATCCAACAATGATGCTGCCAATAGGGGCTCCCACGCCCTTGGAGAGACAGAGACTGGCGGTGTCAAAGTTGGCAAGGTAGTCTCTCATATCGACTCCTTCGGCCGCCACTGCTTCGAATAGTCTGGCGCCGTCAAGGTGCATAGCGATTCGTGGCCGGCCTGGTGGAACGGGGACACTGCGCACATGGTTGGAGATGGAGCGGGCGTCTTGGATGGGGAGGATGGTGCCGCTCAGGGTGTTCTCGAGGGAGACAACGCGGGTGGGTGGGAAATGGACTGAGAGCGTTAGACCTGACAAGACAGTGGATGAAGGAACATACAGTTATCTTCTAGAACGATGCGGTCTCTTATATCCTCCAGCGTCAGATGCACTCCGTTCTTAGGCTCGACTCCAGTCACAGTGGCCTGCGAGAGAACAGGAATGGCGCCTGTCTCCCAGCACTGGACATGGGCACGATAGTCGAGCAGGATGGTATGAGGGGGCTGGTGCAGATGAGTGCGCAGGCATATCTGGTTGCCCATCGTGCCAGACGGTACAAACAGCGCTGCTCCTTTGCCTGTCATCCGGGCGATCTTGTCTTGCAACTCGTTAACTGCGGAATCGCCGTTCTCATCGTAGATGTTGTCTCCAAAGGTGGCAGCGTTTACAATTGCCTAGAATTCGATCATCAACATCAACTCATCTATATAAACAGTAGACTCACCTGCATAACTGGCTCAGTTGGAACAGTCACCGTGTCTGAACGGAAATCGCCTCCAGCCTTCTCAATGGCCTGCTGGAGAGTCGGCGACACGACATTGCCGGGTTTGCCAGGCTGGTAGAGACTGGGTGTTTCCGGATCTCTCAGACCGGGGCGCTCAGGATATCTGGATAGCTGGTCTCCGATCTTCAACACGGCTCGACCTTGCATTTGGCCTGACAACTGTTAGTGATGGACTCCCATATATTGTTCGAACATGCCTCGGTCCATCATTTCAAAGATACGGGGGAGCTCTGCAAAGCCGACCACCTTGGGCTGCACTTTGATTCCCACCCGAGCAAGAACTGCCAGTGCCTCTTCTGTTTCTTGTCGGTTGCCACCATAGGATCCTTTGATGTTGACCTTGGAAGTCACCATGGAAAAGATATCAGTCGACATTTTGCCTGGAGGGAGGCCAACTGCGACGACAGTGCCTCCAGGGCGAATGTACTAGAGCCAGTCAGTATACAATTGCATACTTGGATCATGGAGTTGTACACCCAATGCTTGGCGAAACGGCTCTTCCACCGAAGACACAATGACAGCAGCATGGGGTCCTCCATTGGTGATACTCTTCACCTCACTGACCACATCTGGGGATCTATAGTCAGCATAGTAGTCTACTCCCAGCTCACCCAGACACATCGCTCTCTTTGCCGTTCCAGACGACAGGGCCAGCACCTTGTATCCCATCCCTTTGGCATACTGGCAGGCCAATGCTCCCAGTCCTCCGCCGGCACCGATAATGGCTGATATCGTCAGTAAGAGAATCATGCAGGTCACTGCAAGGTGGCTGCTTACCGACAGTTTGTCCCGGTTTGAGATCTGCCTCGAGCAGAGCTTTGTAGACAGTGATACCCGCACAAAGGACCTTATTCCGTAATTAGTATCGAGTAGATATCATATTAGAAAGAACCCACTGGAGCCGCAGTTTCCAACGGAATACCAACGGGAATGCGGACTGTATTCTCTGCTTTGGCAATGGCGTACTGTTGAAAGGTGCCGTCGACGTTGCATCCAGACAGTTGCGTTCCCGGACACAGAGGCTGGTTGCCTGCGATACAGAACTCGCAGGAGCCGCAGGTTCTATTAAGCCACTATATCTGTATCAATATGGCAATGTCATAAGGATGGTATAGTCTCACCGGGATTCCCACTGCATCTCCAATCCGGAGATCATAGACTCTGGATCCTACTGCAGCGACATAGCCTGCGCCCTCATGGCCACCTATATCGTGAGGATTGAATACTACATGCAAGAGAATGAAGACTTACCCACGCAAAAATCCTTTGGTATCACCGGCCAGTCGCCTAGAAGAGTCAGCAATATCCAAATAAGACGGGATTACCAATGAACCTTTCCACGCATGCAAATCGGTGTGACAGACACCCGAGTACTCGATCTTCACCAAGACCTCGTCGGGGGCTGGTTTTGCAACGTGGATTTGCTTCAATTCGATGGCTATATGAGTCAGTCCATGTCTTTCATATCTTTCAATTCGCTTACCGGTGTTGCCAGCATTGGAGACCTGCGCCCACTGGATGGTTGGGGGAGGATATCTACTAGACTGAAGAGTCAGGTTTCCAGCCCATTGGCCTGCTGGCTGGTTGTGGATCATAGTCTCGTTCGATTGAAAGGACATGTTGGCGAGAAGATCCGGGTAGTCGACGAGTATCCAAGCGTAGGATGGTAACTGATTTACCAGTGAAGAACAAATTAATATGAGTCGACCAGTGTTTCAATAGTCTGAATAGCTTCAGCTCATCTATCTTCCCATCCGTCTGGATGCTGTGCGTTTTCCCAAAGCAGCGACTATCTGCCCTCTGCCGATCGTGGATTTCTATGCATCTCTTATGTTTGAATTGTGGCTTAGCTTGGTCTATCATACCAATTGTGTATAGCTGATGTCATACAACCGACTGCTACATTTCAGCGAGGGACGATCATTCTTTGGCCAGGCAATGATGCTGTGTAACACGAGTGAAGAGTAGTCACTCGTATCAGGCATCACCAGTCAGGCATTTCCGATCTATTCCATCCCTACTCGTCTTGGAAGCGCCGCAGATGCATCATCCACGAGGCACCGCGTAAGGGAGCAGCCTGCAGATGATCACAAAACTCCATTTGAATCTCCATCCTGTGACACCATCGTAATATGGATACTGTGCAACACACCAAGCTGTAAAACCGGTTCCCTGCTGCTGTTGTGGGCAGACAGTAGGCCCGTTCCGACACTCAATGCAGTCATCCCTTTGAAACTGTGTAACCGGTATACTTCCCCATCGAGCCAGATACATCATCCAAAGTCCAATGAAAGAAGGCGATCAAAAGAATGCAAAATAGCTTTGAACAAGGATTTATCTTTACCAGTACATTTGTAGCACGATGTAATATAGATCACCATCCCTTGCTCAATATATCCTATGCGTCATATCCATTCTATATCCACTCCGATAAAATAGATAATGTCACACTACAAACTCTTCTCTCCCCCCTCACTGACCCCCCATTCGACTCTATATCCATTCCCGGCCAAATACCGCTTCCACGCTTCATCGCCATTATCCAACCGATCATCCACATCACCCAGAACAAACCACGCAACCAACGCTCCAACAACCGCAAACCCAGACCCAATCAGAAAGACCGCCTGCGTCCCGTGAAAAGAATCATCTCCCCAACTGGCCAGAATCGGCTTGAACACAGCAGTCCCAATCGATGCCCCGGCTTTGCTCCATGCAGCAGCGAACCCGACCGCGTGGCCGCGAAGTGCGGTGGGAAAGCTCTCGCTGGCTGTTAGCACGATGGTCGAGCCGGGTCCGATTTCGCCGAGAGTAAGGAAGATGCCATAGAGGATGATGAAGGCAGGGAGGTGAGGTTGGATTTTGTCCAGTGCGCCGCCGAGGATGAAGCCGAGGATGGCTTGTAGAAGGAAGCCCAGGGCCATGGTGCGGCGTCGTCCGATCTTGTCGGAGAGAAAACCGCCGATGAAAGCGCCGGGGATGTAGAAGCAGTTGATGAGCGTTCCCCAGGCCATGTTGAGAGTGAGTGAAGAGGTTGGGTTGACCCGTTCGGTGATGGTCGTTGAAAATAGCCCGAAAGGGTAGGAGATGTAGTTATAACTGTTCAGTCAGATGCGCCCAAATACAAGTAGAGAGGTACACACATAAACCACGACGCACAAACACCCAGAAGAGGCCGCCAGTACTTCTTCACAGCCAGCCAGTAGGGAATGCGCTGCTTCTGCATCGCACTCTTCTTGTACGCTGAGCTCATCGCCATTCGATAGCGGAACCAAAAGATCGACAAGGGCGGAATCACTCCCAGTGCGAGTGAAATACGCCAGACGGCCTCATAGTGCTGGACGTTATTATGGAAGCAGAGCAGCAGGATCAGAGGCACCAGCGATCCAAAGGCAAAGCCTAACGACGCTGATAAATCGCCAATCATGGCGAAGATGAAGCCGCGTTTGTTTCGCACGCCGGGAGTCTCGTCGGTTGCTTCGACGGCACCAGCACCGGCGACAGGATATTCTCTGGCCGTGTCAATAGTGAAGATAGATAGAGGAAGGCATTCTCACCCTCCTGCACCGACTCCGGCAATGCCTCGAGCAATAATCAGCATCCAGAACATGCCATCGCGAGTGACTCCGCTGGCACCAGCACTGAGAGCGATGCCAATCACCAGCACACTCGTCGTCAGGACAGCGCCAGCTTTCCGTCCTACTTTGTCTGAAATATAACCAAATGAAAGCATGCCAATAATCATACCGACCATAAAAGCATTCGACAGACGAGAAGCGACTTCTGTTGTTAATGCTTGGGGGTAGATGACGGCCATGATGAGCTCCAGGTTGCCGATGATGGATGCATTGAAGCCATCGGACCCGATGGCGAGGCCAGAGAAAACGACCATCAAAACAACAGATATTCTTGAGTAACCTCTATTGGAGTCATGTTGGATGTCGCTTTCGTCGACTTTGGTCTGTTGTTTTTCCTCGACTGGCGTCGGAGTTTCCACTGCAGTGATATCAGCCATCTTTGTTAGTCAAACTAACTCGGACACGATAATGAAGACATGCCTTATATATGAGAAATATCCATATCAGTGCACTTCCATTGGCTTCATTGAACAGCGACATGGGACGGCAATGATATCCATGCAAGATCCCTGTCTGTCTTATCAGTGGACAGCCAAAGCGGGGAAAGCCAACTGAGGGGAAATAAAATGGCATTTCACAACTGCCGATGCAGAATCCATCTATCTTTCATTCAAACATCCTGGTTCATTCACAATGTCGAAAAGGGACAGTCTGTTGATGGATAATTCTGATAAATATCAATATCAGAAAAGACCGCATCATCGACTGCTGCATCTTTTGGCAGCCTTTCTGCTGCTCACTGGAGGTTATTTTTATTTCTTTCAGGACTATGGCTATCATCACCTCCAAACTTTATCAAAGCTGGAACAATTCCAACAATGCTCTATCAACAATCTACTCGACACTGGCCTGTACTTTTTGGACAACGCCTCTCCTGCCACAGTGGAGGATTACGAAGAGCGTCGCATTCGCCTAGCCAAAGCTCTTGTGCAAGACAATGTCGATGCCTTTACAGTCGAACCTGGCTACACATTCAAGTATTATGCCAACGTCAGTCAGCCCGAGTGGGAGGTTTGGGAGGTGTGTATCTTCTAATCTCACTATAAATATCAGCCCTAAATAATATCAGCCAGAAGAACGACCGTTTCTTATGATTGTTCGTCCATATATACAACCCCAAACTGGCGAGATCACTGCTCAGACTTCATTTCTCTGTCCATCCTTCGAGGCAGAACGAGCTCGTCTTCTAGGAATGCCTTTTGTTGATTCTATCGACATTATTCCATGGGAAGAGCACTGGAACCCATACAAAACTCTCAAATTATCGAATATCTTCACAGACCTACAGCACACCCCTCGATTGATGGTCGATGAAGAAATGCGCGACTTTATCCAGCGTGGCTTATCACACGCTGGCTTTGAAGTTAGTGGACTGCAAGGCAACGTCGAGGCAGTGAGACAGATCAAGTCAGATCGCGAACTGGGCATCTTGCAGGCAGTCAATACGGGCACGGTGGAAGCTGTGAGACAGATGAGAAAGTGTCTCTATCCTGGACTGACGGAGAGTGAAATTGCCCAAGTCTTGGATAATACGCTTTCTGCTGTTGGCCTGGAGCCATTCTTTGATATTGTTCTGTTTGGTACTATATTCCATCCTTTATTAACTTCAAGCTAATGGATACAGATGAGAATGCTGCAAATCCTCATGGAGGCACGAATGGAAGTAAAGTCCTCGAGGCGGACACGTTTGTTTTGATCGATGTTGGGTATGTAGCCCCCCATTCTGGTGTCTCTTCTAACATCAGCAGAGCACATCTTTATGGCTATTCGTCCGATATCTGTCGCACATTCTTTCCGCCATTCTTCCCCAAGCCATCTGACGAGACGGAGTTGTCTATCTCAGTCAAAGAGAAGCTAAAGGCAAGTAACATTCTCCCACGTTCACGCCATTATACTAATAAAAATTGCAAGGTCTGGGATGTTGTCTTCGAAGCCCAAACACAGTCAATCAAGCAGTTCCACACCAACTCCACCGCAGCCAGTGTAGACATTGCTGCTCGTCAGGTCATCACAGAGGCCGGATACGGAGAAGCATTTACTCACCGTGTTGGCCATGGAATTGGAATCAAAGGTGAGATGATACCATGATTTTTTGAACTCAGCTGACAGATCTTGAGCCCACGAAAGCCCCTATCTCAACCAAGGCAATGTCGGCACTATTCTTAGAGCTGGTATGGCCTTTACCTCGGAGCCGGGTATCTACTTGGTGGATAAGTTTGGTGCCAGGCATGAAGATATTTTTGTTGTGCAGGATGACGGCATAGAACCTTTGCTTTTGACTGGAAGACGTGCTCAGGGGCCGTGGGATCCTTGATTTGCCATTTTATATATCTAATACATGGATGTGTTTATTTATCTTCCAAGTTGGGGATCTTCTGCTTAAATATATAGTAGATCCATTCAACTGGAAACTGAAAAGGGGTTTCGACCACACCCGAGTGGCTGGTGATCCTCTCGCGATGCAGCACAGAGGGACATCTCTTCAAAGTGAGATCCCGGATATTATATCCGTCCATGATCGTTGGTGCATGCGACAAGGTCAGAATCAAGTGTTCCATTGGAAAATATTATTAGACAAATTGTATCTAAAAAGAATAATCGGCAACTCTATTCAACTTGGAAAGATAAACAATATTAGAAAGAGATGAGCACCGGCATATGCATTCTATGTTCCCAGACAACCAATTCTTATGCCTTGTAGAACAGGGGATTGTTAGGTTCACAGACGGTGCCCGGATTTGGCAGCGTTCCATTCAAGAAATAATTCTGGATGTAATTGATCGTGCAGTTGGATGGCTGCGCAATGGACATGTGCTGTGGATGCGTTAGTATCATCAAATTGAAGGGATTAAGTGTAACTTACGCCATAGCTGTTCTGCTGCAACACAACGCTACCTTCAAATCCAGCACTGACATTGCGAGCCGACACAAGAGGCGTGACAGGATCATATGTGTTTCCGATAATCAAGAGTGGGTTCTTGGTTTTCGCCTGGAAATTGCCCTGGTATCGCTCTTTGGCAGCCATTCCCCACCGCGTGCATTGCAGGATGGTGGTTCCAGCAACATCTCCAAACCACTTGATCGATTGGAGCTGGTGGTCAATGATCGGGGTGATTGCGGACAGGCTGGATGCTCGCGTGGATTTATCACCGCATTTAATACCAGCGAGGGCTTCATTCGCGATCGGTGCAGGTGCAGCCAGGGTTGTGGTCCAGAGATCTGCTTGTGCGGTGACGTTTCCAGTGACGAGGCTGTCTAGGAGAGCGGCTAGGGTAGGATAAGAGCTGGGATAGTAGAGAGTGCTGAAGATATGACTTTTGAGGAAGGTGTAGTCGATCAGGGACTGGCCGAATTGGACGGGCTGGTATTTGATCGAGTCGAACAGCTTGGCCATGCTCTTTTTCAGGCTGGCTGTGGTTGCGTTTCCACGAGCCAACGCGCAGTTCTTGGGCGATTTCACGCAGCCGGACAGGAAGCCTTCAAAGGTTGCGTCGGTGTCGGTGAACGTTTCGATCTCGCTGTTCTCTGTCAGTTCCATCACCGTATGCATGTTGACATTCGAATACATACTATCCGCGGTAGTATTCGTGGGGATTCTGCACGCCATCCAGAATGACCTTGTCCATGCGATCCGGGAACATGGAAGCAACCGTTGCACCGAGAACAGTTCCGTATGAAACACCTACTATAATCAGCAACTATTATCAGACGATGCTGTGAAGCTCTTACCCCAGTATCTGAGCTTGCCATCTTCACCCAGAGCATCGACAATCTGCATCATATCTCTCGCGACAAAGGCAGTACCAACAAGGCTGCTGTTTCCCTTCAACCGACCCAGACAGGTATCCGAAAGCACCTTTCCGGCTGCCCATGTTCTTCCCACAGCTGTATCCGATGAATTGACCAATTCCTGCTTGAGGTTCAGCGTGCTGACGGTTCTCGTGAGGGTGTCGTTGTAGCAGGAGAAGGTGAGGGTGTTTCCTGTTCCTCTGCTCATTGTCAGTACAGTGCAATGCAATGCAGACAAAGCAGTTTGTCTTACCTGGGGTCGAAGCTGATCAGATCGTGGTAGCCACCAGTCATACTAGTATATAGTGAGCTTTTTGCCCATTTTGCCGTAGGATGTGCTACTTACGCCTGCATCGCACTCGCGATCGATGCCAGATTCTGCTGTCCATCTCCACCCGGACCACCAAAGTTGAATAAGATGCTTCCTCTGGATGGCTTGTGGGCAGTAGGGGCCTTGATAACGTTAAGGGTCAAGGTTGCTTTGGATGATTTGTCGGTATAGTCCAGGGGAACGGATAGATTGCCGCACACGATGGGCAAAGTGCCGTTGAAGCCGCAGGGACCCCATTTGATCTTCTGAGTCGCTGCAGAATCACGGGCAGGAATCACGCTGGCCGAAGCCGCAGCGATTAATGAAAATGGAAGAAGAGCTTGAGTGAAGTGCATGTTGAACGATGATCAACTTGTTTGTTGAATAGCACAAAATGGGATCATTGGTGATATATATACTTTCACCAGACAACTCCCACGTAGCTAGCCAAGAGCCAATTCCAAGGAAACGACATGCCATAATGGCCCCCAAAAAGAGTCTCGTATTGACAGCTACAAGAATAACGTGGTTTACCGTCACGATGCAGATCTCCAGCGCGCTGATTGCCCCAAAAACGACGAACGTAGGCCAAGCCCTGCGCCGGGGCGCAACCGAGCGGTGCATTTCGCCGGAAAGGGAGTGCCAAGAGGAACATCATCAGGAGGCTGAGGGTCTTCATAATTCCAAGGATCGAACGGTCAACCACGAGAAGATCAGATCGAGAGGAAGCGGAAGAATTGGAGGCTGATCGATCATCGCGCTTGTGGGGAGCGCCAGATAGAACCAAATGCGGTTAGCGCCACTGCAGCACAGCCTGTCTATTTTCAGCGTGGGATGTGATTGGCCGGTAGGTTCTTGGGAAAGCAGAAGGAAAAGCCCAAGTCAGGCTCAAAATGTCACTTGGCAGAATTGAATTCTGGCCTTACTCTATCGTGTTGGTTGTCTAGAATATAGAAAGTATCTCAGTTATCGACAATTTAATGAATAGACATGCAGTTTTTACACTTTGAGACTGTTTCATGCTCTCTGATTGGCCAGATAGCCCCACCGCCCTTTGCTGCCACCCGTCTGCGCAGAGACCCTTATCACTGGAATTAGAAGTACAGGTAATGCGACTTTTTCGTTGTTTATGATATAGAGCTATTATGACTATACTGTGCTATTTATTTATATATGACTAAACCTACTGCTTTGCATGCTCTGAAATTTCATGCTCCAAGCTGGCCAGCACGAATGCCGCAGTTCCATGGACGCTATTATACAGCAAAGGCTGCGTGATATAGTACTGGAGATGAAGGTTAGCTCTACACTGAAGCAACTGTTCATACACCACTCACCTCATAAGTAGCAGACGAATTCAAACTGCAGACAGACACAGTCCCATTATAACCGAGGGTTCCATTCTTGTTATCCACCACAAAGCTGTCGACCAGATGGTTCCGGCACTGGTTCGCAGTGTCGGATGACTTTCCACTTAATCTGTCTGGAAGATACCCCAGTCGCGCACTCTTGTATAGCGCGTAGGTAAACATGGCTGAACCACTTGACTCGATATAGTTTCCCTCTCGACCGGGGTAGTTCATTGCCTGCCACCAACACCCGGTTTCAGGATCAGCAGCTGCGACAACAGAAGCTGTGAGCTCGACAAGACGCCGGTGCAGATATTCCTTTAGTTCGTGCGGAAATCCCGGGGTCATTGACTCCAGTGTATCAACGAGAGCCATGAGATACCACCCCAACGAGCGACCCCAAACGATAGGACTACCTCCGGTGACAGGATTCGCCCAACTGGCATTCTTAGACGCATCGTATCCATGCACAAGAAGCCCTGTGCTGTTGTGCCGACAGTGCGACCAGAGCAGATCGAGTTGGTGGATGATATCCCCCGCTACAGCAGAGCTGTTGGTGGAATCAAAGTTGGTGGTGTAATAGGAAAGAAACGGCACAAGAGAGTAGATTCCATCCAGGTAGCTCCACTCTGGATAGGTGAAGTACCAATATCCGCCGAATTGATTTCGGGGCTGAAGGTTGATGGACTCTCGCAATGCGTTCTCGGCTGAATTAGCAGTGATGTTGCCTGCTTGTTTGTACCTGAATTATAATTAGCATGCTGAGTGGATAAAAGGCAGACAGACATACTGATATGTAAGACCTCTCCCAGTCGAAAGTCTGTCTAGTGGATATTCGGTGTCGTGCGTGGCATTCAGGAGAAAAGGGGCGATGCTGTCGGTGCTCGTTCTGAGATACTCCTCCCAGTCACTTTGCGCACATGCCGATTCAGGAGTGTCATAATACTCCTTCAACCGGAGAATTGCAGTTTGGAAAAAGCCTATCTGCAAATATGTTGAAGCCGATGGTTTATCCCCAGGGGCGACTGTTGCTTGACCACGACCAATCACACTGTCTGCCATCCAGGCTGAGTATGGGCGAGCATCACATGTTGATGCTATAATTTGTGGGAATAGCCCAAGGAGGCCGAGTGGGAGATATGGGAGCATGCGCAACATGATGGTTGTTTGTGTACTGATGCATCAGGAAATTAGTTCACAATAGCCGTGGATATCAGGTGTGAACCTTGGCCGTGAAGATCATTTCCATGTCTGGAGCGGATTCCGATCCGAGGAGCAAAAGAGATGTGGTCAGCGGATGTTCCGGGCATTTTGTCAAGCTGGGGAAGAAAAAAGAAAAAAAAAATGTCGACACCAGTCGGACTCGAACCGACGCCCCCGAAGAGAACAGCTTTCTAGGCTGCCGCCTTAGACCGCTCGGCCATAGTGTCTATTGACGATCACTTATTCGTGATAAGACTACTTGAACCTAGACAGCTACCATCACTAAAACTCATGCCTCGGTTATCCTCCAATATTCCCAACGCAATGCATGGCCGCGGAGACCATTCTCTCCTCAACTGCATAACAAAGCGCCAACCTTCCATTTCTGCATACAACCCATCGCCCCATAACCATCTATAGATTTCCTATCGTTCATACTGATACTGCGAAATTCATTGGGTGGTCACCAGGATGTAGTGGAATATTGATAGATATATATCGTTGCTATTACGTTGATTTGGCTTCATTCAGCTACACATCTACACCCCATTTATCTTTCTCCTCTACTATCAGAACTATATCAAGGCTTAATATGTTCAGTTCAATCAAGGGCCCAATGAATCGACAGAACATCAATCCTGTCGGGGTTATTGCATGACTTATGTTCCTTCAAACACACAATGAATAAACATATATCGATCAGGAACGTGGCTTATCGACCCATTTTTTCCTTCGATTGACAGGCTACTCAGATGCAAAGCTGGGTGGATGATCTACAGGGACGGTATCTCTAAATTGGAAGTTGTGGAATTGTTTTACCAGTTGGGCTTCGTTTATGCAGGAGAACGTTGGATAACGTGATTTCATACAGATATATAAAGGAATGGATACAACTATCTATCGACAGATTGCGGCTTGTATACAAGCAAAGAGTGCCATGCGTGCATCAACATACAGGCGTATTTTCGTCCATCGTCAGCCATGGATCTCGGATCAGTCCCAATGTCCTGCACTCGGACAGTCATGTTGATCTAGACAGTTAGTATAATCTTCAATCTGTGAGATCAGTGGACATACCTAGTTCTCCTTGGCGCACTGCTTGGCGAAGTTGTCAATGTAGCCAGGAAGAGTCTTCTGCCAGATGGCCTGGTCAGAGTCGAGCTCCTTGACCTTCTCGCACTTCTCATCAGACAGCTTGACAGCGCCGGAGAGATCCTTGATGTGCTTCTCGATGATGGGCTGGTAAGCCTTGAAGGCACAGGTACCCCAGTTGAAGGCACCCTGGAGGTCGTTGCAGAGGGGCTTCTCGCCCTGGGAAGAGCAGCTCTTCTTGACGGCGGCGACGATCTCAGTGTGGGTCTGGTTGAACAGCTTCTGGTCGCTGGCGGAGACACCGAGCTTCTGGTTCACGTCCTGCATGATCTGGGGGTAGACAGAGGTCTCGAGGTACTGGTTGTGCTCGTTGATGGTGGCGGAGCAGTTCTTCTCGCAGACCTGGGTGTGGAAGTAGTGCATGAGCTTGAGGGGCTTGTCGCCGACCACTTGGGGGATCTCGAGGCAGCTCTTGGGGATGTCGAAGAGGTTGGCGATCTCAGGCGAGCCAGAGGGAGAGGGGGCGACGCTGGCAGCGGAGGCGACGGCGGCAGAAGCCACGACCATGGAGAGGGAGAACTTCATTTTGAGTGGTTGATTGGGATAGAGAGAAGAGAAGAGTAGAGTAGATGATTGTTGATGTTATTTTTGATGGCTGTAGTTGTGGTGAGGATGATGCTTATATAGCTGGACTGTATAGGCAGAATCGCATGTTTGGGAAAACAAAGTTCGATGAGTGTTTGACAAACTGCAAAAGATCCACAATCAATGCTCAATCTTGGGGAAAACAGGCACGCATGGCTTGTTGTTCGCCCATATATCAGGAGTTTCATCATTGCTCCACCACAACAACCCAAAAATTGGCCCCAGGAATCATCCGCCAACCCTCGTCATTATCAGATCACCGGCTTTCCCGGCCATTCAGACCCTCGAACTATCATTCGATTGTTCTCGTTTCAACACCATGCAGGAACGACTCGAGAAATTGCCAGCTGGATGATCGTCGTTCTTCTCGAATCCTTCATCAAACCCCCGGCGTTATACCGGATTTCCCGATCCCTCACACATGCATTTATTCTCCGCGAACCAAAGTAAAAAGCCTGCATTCCTGCGCACTCATGATGCCTCCATCCCAGTTGAGGCACTGGTCCGAGCCTGAAAAATCATCCGCCACGTTGTTGGACACGCCAAACCTGCATCTCGAATCCTACCACGAGCAGCCACAATCGATTGTTATTTGCGCATTTCCATCTCATCTGAGGAGCCAATAATTGATCTGCCCAATTCTCGGGGGAATCTATCGAATCTCATGGAAACTCCCTGCGTCCCAGCCTCTATGGCTGTCGATTCAGCGAATACTTTCTACCATACATACAACCTGGAATAAACAAAATAAACCGGTTACTATCGTCATACTGAACAACACAACCAATCCAGGTACCTGGACTGCAACAGACGCCCTCCTCGACAGGCATTTGAAACCAGCAAGTGTTCGAGCGAGTGTCGATCTTTCGATATCCAGCTGAACAGTCCGATGTTCCGATTACTAGTCATGTTACTGCGTCATCCCGATTCCCGAATTGTTCTTGATCAGTCCGGGAAATCATCGGATATCCTCAATTACATGAAGCGTGTGCCTGAAGAATTCCATTTACGATATCAAAATCAGAACGGCAGGAATTTGGCAGACTGAGAGCATCGACAATGGCAGTGGGCGACACGATGAACCAGTGGCCCAAAGAGGGAGGAGTCGTCGATCAAGTTACCGTTTGGGGATCTTGGAAATCTGGATATGCTGAATAACCTCTAGTTTCTGCTATCTCAGGACGGCATTCATAATCAAGCCCGATACCGACATCCGATGATACTCCGGAGAACCCAATTTCAGGGCATTTATGGTGGATTAATCCAATTCCCTACAATCATTTGGTGTACATGGAATTGTGATGATTGAGTGGCTTTTCATGACTCGAGATGATGGAATTCTTTGTGTTTCATTCATATCCACTGCATCTATACAACTTCGTACTCTTGGGTCTGACAGGAATTGTCGCAAATACCACAATCGAGCCTACAGGGCAATCATATCTGTAAAAATGACAGAGATTAAATAGAAAGCATTTGTATATTGAACAATCGAGGATTACATAGAATAAATGAACATGGATAATAAACGAATGGTTATATACCGCAATTTCAGAAGTATTCACTAACATGTCACTTTTAGTTCAGTGGTAGTTGTCCTCGCACACATGGGAGGGGATGTGTTGGAGAAGCCACTCGAGTAACCGCGCCATGTGTTCTTTTTTGTCTTGTGTTTTTATTTATCGTTTGTTCTTCTTCTACATGCTCTACAGAGTATTCTGAAGTCGTTCTCGTATATGCGACCGTGGTGTTGTCTACTGGCTACGCTCAGATCTACAGCAGTAAATGAACGTTCATTCTGCCTGCATAATTGCCTTTTGCAATAAGGCAATTGACAAATCCCTTTGATCGACCGGTCGCAAACATCTAGATCATATATCCAGATTGCGATAAGTTATCAACATGGTTCTCTTTAGCCGAATGTGCGGACAAATCTGGCGCGGTTCCTTCGGCGAGTTCTTCCTTTTACTCATAACCTCTCGAACTGATGCTATACGCTACCTCCACTCTCACAAGCATGCCTTGGTGCTGTCCAGGCTGCCTACTTTGGTCACATACTTTGCACATACTTTCTCTTTATTTATGCCGTGTGTAGGTCATAAGCCGTTGGACTAACCTCGCATTCGCCTGAGCTGTGATTACGCTGTACAATGAGGGGTTCTTCAGCTAACGCCATTTCAGACCAAGTGGTGGAAAAGAAATGCTTAGTCGCGATAGAGGATGTGACGATGCACTGCAGCAGGAATATCACACTGCGCAGATGACCAATTAAATCACCGGTAATAACGCAGAAGATGCGACCAGAATGATCATCTTCAGCTTACTCCGTGATGGCTTCCGATTGCCGCATTTGGACTCCGACTCCGCACTCCATACAGATGTGTTGACAGGAACCTGAATACATCATCCTCACGTAGTCGGTGTACCCAATCTGTCGGACTGGATCTGAATAATCCCCAAAAGGAAAGACGGAGTCATTTTAACTCGACTAGTGCGTGGGTTGGAATGCGCCTTGTTACACAGATGTGATGGGCCATGACCACGCAAGAAGAGTGCCACAACTTACCGAATTTCCCTTGAGCTGAAGGGCTGCACAAGTCCAGACGAACTGCTCTATCATTGACGGACGCTGATTTGTCCACGATGAGCGATAAGATGGAGGCAGCGGCAGTCGATCGCTTTAAAGCCGAATTGAGTGTGATGGGCTGCAGGGCTGGGCATGTCAGCTTCAGCCGGGCGATCCACGATGCGTCTGATTTGCTGCTGATCGAGCAGGTTGCAGGCGATAGTCCTGATCTGACTGCATCGTGTAACGTCAAGGGCCAGGTGTGCCGACTATTGCAGTCTAGTGCGTGTCGATCAAGGCTTTGCTGGCCGCGCTGGTTTGAGCCGAGTTGGAGAGGAATCTGGATTAGCGAGAGTGTAAGACGTGATGCAATGAGGGGTATTAATAGATAAGAGGCAGACAATGGCGTTGCCAGTTCTTCATCGCCATTCTATTCCACGATGCATCCTGTGTTACACCTCATCTGCGCGGCCGTGCTCGCTCTCTGGGACGGGCTGCTGTTCATCCTCAGTCCCAAGTCATGGCCTTTCTCGTGGCATGTATGTATCTCTCCCCATCCTTCCTGCCATCCAATCTAATGGAATAGTGCCGTCTTCTCTTCACCTATGCCCGCCACTACTGCATATGCCGCGATAAGCCCATCGTCCCCTCCACCGTCGACCACATCACCCTCTTCCAGCCCTCCACATACAAAACCACCACCTCCGCCGGCGAGATCGACATGTTCGGCCACAAGTCCAATGCAACCTACTTCACCGACCTCGACATAGCACGAGCATCCCACCTCTTCAGCATCCTCCGGGAGGGCATGCGCTCATTCGAAATTGAAAGCAACAACATGCTCGCCCACGAGATGACAGAAAAGGTGCGCGACGTCGAACGCGGCCGGGGAATTTCCAGCAGCGGACTCCTGCGCTTCGGCATGGGCGGGGTATCGTGCAATTTCAAAAAGGAAATTAAGCCAGGCCAGAGGTATGAGGTTTGGACCAGGGTGTGTTCGTGGGACGAGAAGTGGGTATATATCATTTCTCATTTTGTGAGCAGAAGGGGAAGGGCTGCAGAGGGTGGTCGGCCGAGGAGTGACTCGGTGACGCCGTTGCTGGACGAGAAAGATCCAACTGCGCCTGTCATCCATGCGGTTGCTCTATCCAAGTTTGTGTTCAAGGAGGGGAGGAGGACACTGCGTCCTCGGGAGTTCTTTCAGCGCTGCCGGCTGATTCCGGAAGATGGCATGGTGTCGCCAGAGGATATCGCACTGAAGAACGCAATCGAGATGAAACGGCACAAGGGAGTGAAGATGGCACAGAACATGGCCGCACTGGAAGAGGGATTCTCATTCTTTGAAACGAACCAAAGTAGATATTACTAGATATCCACGTTATGACTGACGCTACAATGGTATATATAAAATCAAGTACAAATGAAATAAAACACATCACCAAGAAGACCGTCCTTGCTCAGCCGCCTCTTCCCGGCTCTCATACTGCACCGTCACATTGTCTGTCCTCCGAATCTGGCCCAGATTATGCGCGTCCGTTCCATGCAAGATATTCTCCTGGCTGTCGACGCCGGTGATGGTGAGGTCGGTGGGTTGCTTGCGAGCGGTGGAGCGCTTGCTTCGGTCAAAGGAGGAGGTGTTCACGTATCCGCCGTTTTTGTATTTGTTGCGACTGTTGTTGTAGGAGGATAGTTCGCGTTTGCCGAGCAGCAGTTCGAGGAGGGGTTGGAGGGTGGGGATGCACGAGGCGATGATGACGACGTTGGATTCGATACTGTTATATTAGCTTGAGCTGAGCAGGGAATGGATACGACTTACTTGGTCCACATGACGAGATCGGCCGTTCCATAGGTATAGTCGGACTTGTCGGCCAGGTACTTGAGCTGGGTGCACTTGACAATCGCCATGGCAGAGGCACTGGAAGGTCAGTATAGCCTCGAGGGAGGTTGAGGATACTTACATCGAACCGAGACCCAAAGCAGCACACAGAGCCATTCTCTTTCGCAGCGACATGTGCAACTTCATCAACACCGTGGTCGGATAAAAGGCCAGATAGAGATCCACAACCGCAGAGAGGGCTGTCGAGTCAGTCATGGCCATGGAGTTGCAGGGACTACTCACCTCCCGTGAAGATGGCATAGTCGATCAGCATCGTCGTGCTTTTACATGTCGCGCCCTCCATCATGAGATGTGTCTGCCACAACGCTTTCGGTGGATTGCACATGGTGAACAGGATGATAATGCAGATACACGAGACCGTGGCCGCTGAGCCAGTCAGAAACCACAGGATGCAGCGATGCAGTGTGGTCGGGTTGAGAATGCGATTCAGCATCGCCGTCACAGCCAGTTTTGGCAGCGTAAAAGAGAGAATGCCAATGAGGAAGCTGAGATTGTTCAGCAGCATGATCCTCTCCAGCGTACTCTGGCTGATCAAGTAGGCATGCTTGCCATAGCCCAGAGCCACGTTGGCCGAGGTGATGCCACAGTATCCCAGCCCCAGCACCATCGACACGGCGATGAGATAGTCGTCCAGACCCATGTTGCGCAGCATCTTGCTGCGAATAAACAGCCTGGCGATGACCATGATGGCGGTCAGCCCCGTCAGCGTCCATAGCACCGCGAGGATCTTGGGGCCTTTGTCGTCGCTGGCATTTGCCTCTGTGAGAGCCATGGCGATGGATTGTCTCCTGGGGATGTCAAAGAAAGTACTCCGTGTCGTCCATGCGAATAGGGGACGGATGCTATATGAGCAGGGGCATCACACGAATTTTCTTCAGCGACGATCTATCACATTTCTATTCCCATTCTTCCTCGAAACCGGGGGCGTTGACCGAGACAAGGTAAAATCCTTCGCTGAATGACCGGGATTGTCTTGATCCTGGTCGACAATAAAAGTACGATAATACGAGTTCAATAATAGCACCAAAAACACGGCATGGCCAACGAATCGATGCACGATAGTTCCAGCCAAGTGGAGCCGTCCAAGCTGCCACGCAGGGCCACCAAACGGTCGCCCCAACCTTCCTCTGCTTCCGGATTCCGCGCGACTCCATCGGCTGATCCGATCCCCTATTAGGGCTTTCGTGCTCTTGTTCCGAGCAAATGCCATGTTTGGGGGCGGATTTGGATGTCTCCGGCTGTCATTTAACGAGGCCCACTTGAAGAAGACGCAGCAATCGGAAGGCCGGACGCAGATGATCACTGCCTATACAGAACACGCTAAAATAACGCCAGATGGACGCTAGCATTTGACAGCTCGGCTTGTGTGAATCCTTTGACGGGCCGTTGGATTATGAATAGGCTTGTTTTCATAATGGAGTGACGGCGGCAGGGGCGATCTTTATCCTGCATTCTCAACATTTACCCTGTACTTTACAATTGATGCATTCAACCACATCATCCACATAATCTGCGTGAACACGCATGAACACTTCTCCATCTGTATAGACCATCGGTTCACGCACGGCCACTCCAGTCTATGTGAAACACTCGAACCGAACTCTCAATCGCCACGGCATCAATGCTCTCATTCGTCGGCTTATCCACTCCTCCCCGGCTTTCTTCCACATGACGATCTTCTTTCTCCGTCCATCTCCTTGCACTATGCCTGGTCCGGTAGATGCAACCGTCCACCGTTGGATCCAGAACTAGCAAGGACAAGAAGTTAAATCCTGAATCCTTCCAGGATATTCGGTAAGACCGTTGTGTTATCTCCACATCTTCAACGCCTCATTGCCCCTGGCATTGCCGACCAACCATGTCCCCTTTCTCTTATCCCGTCTTCTTCGTACAGCAAGATCATGGAGGAATAGGGGCTCGACGTAGTATAATAAGGCTCGCACGTCCAGCCTGTCTGGTGTCTTGCAACGATATCCACAATCGTGAATGACTCTCTTTGATCTCTTTCGCAAAATGGTTTACACCAACGACGCTCCGGCCACTGGCACCGCTGCCCCCGTGGCAAAGCCGGCTGAGGCCGTCAATGTGGCTGTCAGTGAAGTCGTTGAGCCTGTTGCCAACGGCACACATGAAGGGCAAGCCTTCTTTGATGACCGCGTTGGCGTTTCTCCTAATGCCCGCGAAGAGATTCCTGATCTCCTTGCGCAGGTCGCTTCGCATGGTATCTCCTTCATTGGCAACAAGGAGAACGAAAAGACCCGCGCCACTTTGTTGGACGCTGCTCGATCCCTTGTGTATGCGTTGGAGACGCCTCGTGAGGCTATTATCCGATACTGCTGGTCTCAGGTGAGTCTCTTTTACTTGCCGAGTGTCGTGTACTGACTCCACAGGCAACCACATTTGCTGCTCTCGAGACCGGTGTTGATGTTGGACTCTTCACTGCTCTATCCAAGGATGACAGGCCAAAGACTGCGACGGAGCTGGCTGAGGCCACTGGTTCTGACCCAGTCATGCTGGGTATGTAGAATTCTCTTCAACGATGTTCAATTCTAATTCTTCCAGCACGTATCTGCAAACACCTCAGCACCATGAGCATTATCAAGGAGACAGGTCCTGACACTTATCGTCGCACCGGTGTGTCGACTTCGTTGACCCAGCAGCGCTACAGCGATGCTTATCCTTGCATGTAAGCTCATCCTATCCCACTGATCGACCCAACAACTAACAGCCCAGCGATGGCTGTATCAATGCAGGTGTCCTTGCCCTCCCCGCCGACCTCAAGAACAACGGCTATCGCAACCCCAGCGATGGCACCAACTGCGCATTCCAACGCGGCTTCAACACCAAGAACCACTTCTTCGACTTCCTCAAGGAACACCCTGACCACGCCGCCCAGTTCAACAACCACATGTCGGTCTACCACCAGGGCCGACCCAGCTGGATGGACAACGGCTTCTACCCCGTCCCGAAGCTCGTCCAGGGCGCTGAAATCCGCGAGACGGACGCCCTGCTCGTCGATATGGGCGGCAGTGTTGGCCATGATCTGTCTGAGTTCCAGCGCAAGTGGCCCAGTCTGCCTGGTCGCTTGGTGCTGCAGGACCTGCCTGAAGTCGTCGAACAGGCCAAGGGATCTCAATTGCACTCGTCCATCGAGTTGATGCCTCATAACTTTTTCACCGAGCAGCCAGTCAAGGGTATGTCGCATCATCTTATTCACAGTCCGCAAAGCTAACCGTCCAGGCGCACGCGCATACTACATGCACTCCATTCTCCACGACTGGACCGACGACAACTGCCGCAAGATCCTCTCCAACATTGTCCCTGCCATGAAACGCGGACACAGCAAGGTTCTGATCAACGAGAACGTGATTCCCGACACCAACGCGTACTGGGAAACCACCAGTCTCGACCTGATCATGATGTCGTGTTTCGCGTCGACGGAGCGGACCGAGCGACACTGGCACGCGCTGGTGGAGTCGGCTGGGCTGAAAATCACCAAGATCTGGACTGCGCAGCGAGGCGTGGAGAGTCTGATTGAGTGTGAATTGGCCTGATGGGATAATGTCATGTTGGAACCTGCTGGAACGGGACTTGTATATATAGTTGGTATTATGATAATTTTTTCACTTTTTTCGACTCTTCGTGTTGGAATGGCATCGAATTGATGCTGGATTAGGTTAAATAGGAGAAATCCGATAAAGCGGCGATTGATCTGACTGGCTGTTACTGACATCCCACGTGAATTGTACATGCCGCGAAATAGAATTATCTCCAAATGGCTTTCAAGAGGCTATTCACCTCATTGGACCGGATATGGATTTTTTTCCACGACTCGGATATCTTCACTTGCACTTATTTATACATTCGCTAGGCCATACAGACAACTCGTATTCATCATCATTCTTACTACTGACTACTAAATCTTTATCAACATGGCTCCCTCCATCGACGAAACCAAGGCTACCACAAACAGCAAGATAGAAAACCCACCTCAAGTACAAGTCCTGGGCAAGACCAAGACCGGCAAAACGTTGAAGATCCGGAAATATCCCCGGTTTGACAATTTAGAAGACGAACGACTCTATCGTAAACAGCATCTCGCCGCTGCATTCCGAATTTTTGCGGATCGGGGATTCGACGAGGGTGTTGCCGGCCATATTTCCGTTCGAGATCCGATTCTGACTGATCATTTCTGTATGTATCTTCTATCTGCCTGTGAAATATAATCTGATATATCAGGGATCAGCCCCCTCTCCGCCCACTTCTCCCTCATCAAAGTATCCGATCTCATCCTGGTCGACGAGGATGGAAATGTCGTCGAAGGCGATGAGCCCATCAATCTGCCCGCTTTTGCCATCCATTCTGAAATCCACAAAGCCCGACCAGACGTGAATGCAGCCTGCCACGCTCACAGTGTCGCCGGCAAGGCCTTTTCCTGCTTCGGACGGGAGTTAGACATGATCACGCAAGACGCCCTACGTTTCTACAAAAGCCACGCTGTCTACCGCGCGTTCCGGGGCGTGATTATCGACGCAGAAGAAGGACGGCGAATTGCTAGTGCACTGGGAAATGGGAAAGCTGCTATTCTGCAGAACCATGGGCTTCTCACGGTGGGAGGCAGCGTCGATGAAGCAGCGTTTTGGTTCATCAGTCTGGACAAGACGTGTCATGCACAGTTGCTTGCGGATGCTGCGTCTGCTGGTAGTGGATATAAGAAGATCATCATCGATGAAGATGAAGCTGCCCACACGGCGATTCAGGTTGGGGGACCGGAGAAGGGATGGCTGGCTTTTCAGCCGTATTACGATGAACAGGTGGCGAAAACAAAGGGTGAATTTCTTTTGTAGATATTATCTATACTAGAAGATGGCAAATGCGTTGGGGGGACTTGCGACTCCTCCAATGACCTATATTCATTAGCTAGATTCGGTACATTATGCATGAGTCTTACCTTTAGTGGCATACTGGATAGAAAGAATGAATATCTCCCTGTCTCCTTGCAATGTTGCGATAGCCTCTCCAGATCGAACAGTTCACCAATCGGACATCCCCAGCCAGCCAACACCCATTCATGAAGATTATATCGAGGATCCGCATGGCTGCCTCGAATCGGCGCTCGTTCAAAACTTGTCGAATCTCCCGCGATGGCAGCAAATTGATGCCCCCACAGCCAACGAAGCGTCTCTTCCGTTGCCTCTACACCGATAAAGTCTGGCGTTGGTCTGTTTGCGAGTGCCTTTCTTTCTTCGTCGGAGAGCTTGTTATATGCAGCTGTGAATCCAGTCCGGACGAATAGAATATCACCAGGATGGAAGTCGATGTTGTAGTCTTTGACTAGCTGTTTGATATCGGCGATGGTGATTGCTGTTGATGATAGTGCTTCAACGGTGATATTCTTGGATTCAGCCCAGCTGGCATAATCCAACAGGACACCACGGCCGGTGATTCCTCCAGCGTCGGCGACAACTGATGCTGTTAGACTGTATAATCAATGATAGGCAGACATACCATGAAGACCAATCACATCCGACGTCTCGATCTCCTCCTGCGTATGATTATTATAAAACCGCTTCATCTTCTGATTCGCTACGACAATCAGCCCACATCCTATCCCAAAATGGTATATACACACCATAATGCCGAAACCCATCCCACTGCGTTGACCCCTGCGAGTTGAACGTCAAAATATCATCATTGATACAGTTCGTCTTCTGAGGCACAATCTCCTGTTTCATCGGACTCCGCCCGAAACTCGGATACGTGGGCATGCTCAACGGCCAGTCGAGCGATATGCGCACTCCGGTCTGGATCTCACGGGCTGCCTGGACAATCACGGCCGGAGTGAGGAGATTCAGACTGCCCAGTTCGTCTTGGGGACCGAATCTGCCCCATGCGTTGCCGGGAGGGCCATTGGGGTCTAGGGAGAGGGAGTCGAAGGGGATGCAGGTAGACATGGTATGTTGTGGTTGGCTTGGAAATGGTGGTTCTACTGCATTTATAACGAGGGGAATCGGTCGATCTTGCACCGAGCAGACAATGATATAAGAATGATTAGACTATGGAAAGCTTGTTCAAATGCGGGGTTGACTTTTCCACCGGATAAATACCCGATGCATTTCCGCAACAACAACATCTAACAAAACAGAATTCCCTCATTTACCATGATAAAAGGCAATATCAGTCCACTGATGTGTTGCCAGCTAGATCATATATCGGAATCCCCTCTGCTGGGCCCTCGCCATCGCAATATCAATCCCCCCAATCTCCGCCGTCCTCCTCAGACTCTCCATATCCGCCTCGGACAACGGCGCATCTTCATTCTCCAACTTCTCCAGCCGTCTATTCTCCACCTCCAACACCCACCGTAGAGTGACACCCATCAAAGCGGCAAGTATCTGCAGCGCAAGACTGATTCCGAACGCAGTGCGATAGTACGGCGCCTGATTCTCGGTAAAGGTGTACGGCGTCCAGATGGAGGCGGAGTTGCCCACTGCGTTGATGATAGCGAATGCTGCGGCACGTTTGCTGGAGGACGAGGGATGGACGAGGCGATCCAGCTGTAGATGGTGCTGTTCATGGCGAAGATGAATATGACGAGGAAGAAGGAAAAGTATCGCGGTCCAAAGGTGGTGCAGTTCATGAAGATGATGGACCCGATTATCGTGATCGGCACGGGATACATGTAGAACCTGATGGGTTAGATTGCTGATCATCTAGAAGGACTGACATACCAGAATGGCCTCTTGCATCTATCCGCAATGACACCGTGGGCATACGTCCAGAAGGTCATAAAGACATACGGAGGCGCAACCAGCAACAGCGAGACGATATGGTCATAGCCAAGCGTATCTGTAAGCGTTGGGAAAAAATTCTGAAATCCCCCTGCACCAGCCATGGCCATGTATCCAATTGCCAAAATCCACGTCTTGATGTCCATGACAGCCAGCTTCAACCCTCGCAGTTGAGACATTCCCTTGCCATCATCTGTATCGGCATTTGCAGCTTCAAGGGCCATGCGACGATTAGCCACATGCTTTTCCTGCTCGCTGAGAAGGCGCCATGTATGTGGAAAGTCCGGGAGGATTGCACAGATGATCAACCCGATAAAGACGGTGATAGAGCCTTCGATGATATACAGCCATTGCCATGCTGCTAATCCACGCTTTCCTGCGAGGCCATTCAAGATACCCGCGGCGATTAAATTACCAAAAGCACCAGATATCAGAGATCCGGAATAAAAGATAGCCATGCGAAGAGTAAGTTCGTCCTGGGTATACCATTTAGACAGATAGAAAAGAGCACCGGAAAAGAATGGAGCTTCAACAAGGCCAAGGATAAATCGACATGCCACGATACCTCCATAGCCTTTGACTTGCGATGTTAAAACAGAGACAAGACCCCATGCCGTAACAAAGAAGCCGAGATATAGAGACGGTCGGCCACAGTAGTTGAGAAATAGGTTAGATGGCACTTGGGTGAGAAGATAGCTCACAAAGAGAATGGCAAGGCCGGTTTGGTATTGATTGCCTTGGAGATTGAGGTCGGTCTCAAGGCCTTGCAGTCGAGCAGCTGCGTAATTATTCCTACAATGATTAGAAACAGACTATATTTCATAAAGGAGAATACCTGTCAATGTAGTTCATCAGATAGACCAGAATGACCAGTGGCATGATAAGCAGATCAATCCGTCGAACCAGCTTCTTTGCAACGACTTGCTCCTCTTCACTGAGACCAACAATATCTGCGATGTCTTCATGGTGGGCAGCAAGCTTAACATCGTCGAGGTCGTTGGATGTCTCTTTATTGAATGCCATTCTGTATGAAAGAGATGATAAGAAAGATTGATAGTATAAGACAAGCTTTGACAAGACAATGGTGAAATTGGCAAACTACAAGACTTCAGCTTTTATAACATCTGCCACCGGATATGGTGGAGAATGACAGTTCCACTTAACCCCACAGGAAAATCCGGGGAAACCCCCACGTCGTCATGTTGAATTGCACCAGATGACCTCCTACCAAGTCAATCCTTGATAATGTGGGTGGGTGATTGGTTGTAGAGAGTGGAAGATCGACCTGGAATGCGGGGTGCAGCATTGCTGGCAGGCGATGTGGCAGTCTGATACAGTGGAACAGAAGTGGAACAGGAATGGGATTCAGTTTCCTTGCATATTGCGGGGTTCTTTTGTGCTGTCTTCATGTCACATATAGCAGATATCCCCGGCAATAGTTCTATTGGCAATGACTATCTACTTGGCCTATGACTGTCATACACGATGATCATGGGCAATCGCCTCCTCCGACACTGCAAGCTGCAATCCCCAGACACCTTCTGCGATTGCCTTGCCATAGCGCTTCACCAAAATGCCAACAGCGATCGGTCCAATAATCGTGTTGAGCAGAATAGCCCACACACAAGTGATGAACCCCTCCTGGCTGACATACGATGTCTGGTTGTAACCAATCTCGATGATGAGAAGACCAATCTCGCCACGCGCCACCATTGCAGACCCTAGAAGTAAACCGGATAGCCAGGTGGTACGATAATCGGAAGACCTGTTTTTCTGGGTGTTTTGGCGATTTGCTTCTTTGGAGGTCACTCGTCCGTCTTGTGAGTTTTTCATAAACAGATACGACCAGAGGGGAATCCAGATTCCAACGACAAACTAACACTGTCAGCAACTCTCTATCATCCATATGAGTGAACATACCTTTGCAAAGACCATGAGCAGCGTAAACAAAACACCCCTCCAGATGCGCTCTCCCGTCCAGAGTTCCACAAACGGCACCGCAAATCCAATACTCGCAAAGAACAACGGCTCCATGAGATATTTTTGCACACCCCAAAGATACGCCTCAAAGGTATGCAGGAATTTTGGGCTCTTGTCTTCATTTTCCTCCCCCTCCTTCCGACTCTCCACGGTGAAAGGACTGTTGGGGCCCGTGCTGGGCAAGGACGTGAGGAACGTGCCGGCCAGAAACGCCCCGAAAAGAACCGAGGTGCCACTATACGCAGCGATGGTAATAAAGGCGCAGAGAACTAGTACCATCAAGATGATGTTGGAAATATGGTCGAATCGAGCAAAACGAGGCTCAATGTAGGGTTTCCGGAAGATCGGGGCGAAGATGTAGACGGATGCGATGGGAGTGAGGATGGCCATGGCTATCGAGGCGACAATTGGGCGTCCAATGAGCCATCCGAGATTGACGTTTCCTCCTTCTGACAGTTGGCCTAGATTGCCAATTACACTGTCCATGTTAGATGAATCGGACGGGATGGATGTTGATCACTCACCTGGACATGACGAGACCGCTCACATCATCAATCACAGCAGCGCCCACAAGAACAGCACCGACTTTCGTCTGAGCAAGATCGATCGTACTGGATGCCGAAGAGATCACCGCAAAGGTCGTTCCTATACAGACATGAGAAGATGAACAATCGATAGATGGAGAAAATTACCCAAAGAGGTAGCGGACAGGGCCGCGCCAATGATGAACGTCTCCACCGCGCCTACAGATATGCATGTTAGCCAAGAACAGATATACACGTCGGCCCAAAGAATGACTCACCATATCCAAACCCAAGGTACAGCAGCAGATAGGCAAGTCCAATGGGAAAGCAAACGCCTGTGGCGGCTCCGACCAGGCTGAGGACGAGATTGCGCATGAGGAGATCAATCCGAGCACCAAGACCGCCTGGAAGAACATTAGTAGGTGATGGAAAAAATGGGAGATTATCATACCCTGAAAAATGATAAGAATCAAACCAACATATCCAAGAGCAAGGAATGTCTTTTGCCATCCTTCTTCGAGAATATCAGCCAGCGGTGTCCCGTAGACGATGCCAACAGCGATGGGGCCGATGATGCCAGCACGAATAATCTTGGCCGACACGCTTTCTGCCAGCGACAGGATGAAAAAGAACGAGATGATCACGAGAATTTCCACGACTATCTGGTCAGTATCGATGATCGAATTGCCATATTTTCAACAAGACTCACTTTCCGGCTCGTGGTACGGGAGAAAGCCACCAGCCATGACGAGTTGCGCGACGCAAAGAATGTGAAAAGAGATCAAGTCCACACGTGGAACTGGCGACACGATATTTGTAGCCTTTGCAGATCCATCTTGAAGCCGGCTACGAACGGTGAGATATTCCTGTTCACGTTTTCAGCTGAACGAAAATCGGTGGGTCTATCCAGCTAAGACTGTTCTTGGCCAGCGTGTCTGCCGTGTGAGAGATCCAGTGCCTATTTGATTCGGCCAATCAGGTCGTCAGGTTCCTATGACTCAATTGAGTGACTGACTATTGACTTTTTCTATGTTGAATGAGTGCTGATGACTGATTTTCTCGCACATTTTCTGTATGCGTATCCCGTCTCGTTTATTTAACCGATTCGAGTATAGAGCACCTCGTGTTTAGACCGTGTCGCGAATGGTGGCTAGAACTCAGATCATCTTACCAACTTATGGCGTTTATCTATGAACACATCAATATACCATAGTAACTTCTAACGCCGATCATCGCCCAAGAAGGATGGTTTCACCACCTGGGAAAGCAGATCATCAAATTCACTTGGTGTGTTGTCAAGATGAAACTGTATGCCGAGTCGAATTGGAAATTCCGACCTGTGGGTAATGATTACCCACTCATTACCAGATCGATCACTATTTTATATGATATATTACATATATTACGCACTCATTGGTAAGAATACACACTGGTATGACACGCTATTTCCGAAGAACCCAGTAGAACGAAACATTAACTAACAAGAATATAAACGTCTAGTTAAGGTAAGATAATCATCTCTTACCGATATCAGCGATACAAAACGACCCATCCTTAGTATATACCTAATATAGCAAAATCCAAAGTACAGACAGAATAATCCTAGGATAGATCCATCATAAAAGGCGGAGAGGATCTGTAGACGTCCACGTCACGTAGGGCCACGATATAGCTTGTTCCAAACAGCGCTAATCGATTAGCTTTGGTTCTTGCATTCCTGGCTGGATTTGTCTTGTCATTAGAATCTGGCTATAGTTCCTCATTCTTAAGTATCTAGCCTCCTAACATCTCCCAACATTCTATTACAATCATGGCAGGTATGGTTTGATATATTTGCAATGAAGTATATAATTTTCTATCATGTTGTGTCTAGTACATACGACCACAGGGTGTGGAGAACAGGGCTTCCCGTCCGCTCAGCCGTACTTAAGCCACACGCCGGCAGGTTAGTAGTTGGGTGGGTGACCACCAGCGAATCCCTGCTGTTGTATGTTTTTGATTTTTTTCTATATTTAGTGTTTTTATCAAATATCAAGCTTACCTAGTCGTTAGGAAGCAGATATTCAAGATTTACTTTATGAGAACTAAAAGTATAACATATCTGGTACGCATGACAGATGTCATGATGAACTTTAATGCTAAATATGTCACCACTTTCAGCATCACGGCACCTGATTGGTTGATCAGACCTGTAGCAGTTAAATATTATCCACCACTCCTTAAGCTTATTTTATGACAGCATGACATTCCAGAGAAATAGACGACCGGTCAACTGGTATGACTAGTTGCGGTGTTCCTTAGATCGGTTACCTTAGATCCTGATGAGCGAATATGACCAATCTACCGAACAATACTTTAACGGTTGGACCAAGGTTCTATAGTTAGGTAGCTTGATACAGCCCAGAGAAATTGACTCGGTGCCATATTCACAGTGCTGCTTCTCCGCAACGCCATGCAAACTATAAAATAATGTTGCATAACTCTCTTGCGATTGCTTGCACACGCAAACGGCAAACAGACGCGCCCAGACTCAACCAATTCTGTGGTTTGCGGAGGTTATAGTAGTTCATCAAAGGTCTTAGCTACCTAGCAGAAAACTAACAGTGCTCTCCGCCATACGATGTCTTCGGTCAATGTCTGGTTAGAAGCCTGATCAACTCACTACTAGGATCCCAGCTTCCGCTTCTAGAATGTACCACATCAAACTTTCATGGTCCTAGGAAACCCAACCGGCCTTGCAAATACTGACATATGAAGCAGACATGATGTATGGAGCAGACTTGGTGACGTGGCTATCGAACAATTGGTTGTCTACAAGATGCCGGGGTATCCGGGACACGAGATATATATATATATCAAACAGCCCAAGCAGGATGGATGAATTGGTAACCAAAACCGTGAGTAGCTCCAAAGCTCCAATTGCAACCTCAACAGTTTGAACTCCTACCCAGGTAAGCGCCCGCGTTCGCTGCTCATCCATTATGCCGCTGACCTCTGACCGTTGCAGTCTAACACCATGGCTATCAAAAGCAAGCAAATTACCGTCCTCCCACGCCCTAAATGGCTCGATGCAGCAGGAATGAGCAAGGGCATCGACCATGACCGCCAGCACTTGAGTATTGTTCTCGCTGCGGACAAGACCATCAAAGCCCGCCAGACCAATCCCGCTTTCAAAGGCGAGCTGACGCTCCGCTTGCTCAATGACGATAGAGAAACGGAGGCATCCAAGAGGATTGGTACCAGCTGGGCTCCTCTCGATGTAAAGGCTGTCTCCGTACCTTTTATCGACACTCCGTATGTCGACTCGTCCACTGACGCGGCGCAACCAGTGGTGGAGTACGAATATCCGGACGATTCCAAGAAATTGCCCGTTTATCGCAAGGGGCAAAACCAAAGCGACTTCTTCAAAGAGTGGGACAACCAGAAGGCAGAGTTTGCCTTACTAGATTCCAGATTCACCCAGGTTCTAGTGCCTGTGATCGATAAGGAGACACTGAGACGTCCACAGGAAGTGGGTGATATCGAAGGGTTGATCGGATACTATGAAAGGGTATTTTCATTTTTCAATGCCATTACTGGGCTATCCTTTGAGCCGGATCATCCCTCCGATCTAAACAGCCCAAACCGATACTTTATGAAGGCTGATAAAAACGGGGTTGGGGGGGCGTATTACGGCGGAAGCTGGACCGCGGAAACGGACAATACAATCTCGGCGCGGTGGCTGCTACCATTGGCGACCAACTGGGGAAATCTACACGAGATTGCCCATGGCTATCAAATGTACTTCACGCGTGATGGGTATTTCGCGAACGGCGAGGTGTCCAACAACATTTATGCTGCCTTCTACCAGAGCGCCTATCTGGGTGACCGCAAGTTCAAGGAGGGCTGGTTGTACGACTATGGGAACCAGGACCAGGTCGAAAAAGGTATCATTGAAAATATTACCTCTAAAAAGTCTCTCAATGGCTGGGGCCTCCGCGAAAAGCTATACTTCCTTGTCTTGATGTTGGAAAAGGCGGGTGTGGACGCTTTTGCCCATTTCAACCAACAATACCGCCTGGTGAGCAACCAGCCAGGTTTTCGTTCCTGCGACCATCCGTTTCTGGAAATACTGTCTAACAGTATTGCCGGTGCGAGTCACGTTGATGTGGTACCATTTGTGGAGCTGTGCAGTGGGTTTATCTCGCCGGCAGAAAAGGTGCTCAGCCAATTCAGTCAAGCCAGAGCAGTGTATCCGTTGAATCAGCTGGTTGATGGAGACACTCTGACAAAGCTCCAAAAACAACTGAAGCTGGAAAGCCCTCTCGCCTTGGTTGATATCCCGCAATTGCTGGCGAGTGGTATCAAGGGCAATGTCACCCTCGAACTTGAAATCGACGACTTTGCCCAGATTTATGGGAATCCCGTTAACGTTATGGATGGTTCCCGTTATGTACGGCAGCTTCGCATTGAAACTCGGAAGCTCGACCTTGGTGATCTGCCAATTGGGGTCTACTCGCTGCGTGTTCCCTTGGGGCGAAACAAAAAGTACCTAGTAGACCAGCGCTACCTCGTGGTCAAGCCCGGATCTGCCCAGGTGAAGGTCAATTTTGTGCCTCAGACAGCTTCTCTCGTGGCAAACCAGGAGTTCCAATTTCTTGGACTGAGCGACAGCGTCTTCAGCATCGTGACCGTTGACCAAGTGGATCATGTTTTGCAAGTAGCCGTGACAGACGAGAGCCCCCATTCCTACTTTGGTAAGGAGACCTACGCGGAGCTTGTGGTCAGAGATGGCAGCAACAAAGAGACGTTCCGCGCCACGATGCCAGGGGTTGGGGCGAAATTAATCGATACCAAGATACGCTTTGATCCAGGCTATACCCTGCAGATTTACCATGCTGAACCGCAAAGCCGGCTAGTACTGCGGCCACGGTTTGACGGGGTGATTGATCATTCTAACAAAACGAATGTCTTTGAGATAACCTCTAGTGGTCTCAAGAATAAGTCACTCAAGAATGACCCACTGCCAGCTCTTGAGGCCCGTATAGCAGCAGCAGCAGCTACCGTCCGTCATCATCCTGCTCTGCTAATGTCCGATAGTCCCAGCAAAGTCGACATTTGGCTCGCCATCCACCAGTTTTCTGGCTCTCAGCGCGACGCCCTGCTGAAGAAATATGCCGACTGCTTACCTGCCGACAACAACGCGCCCAGCGAGCAACTTGGAAATTCTTTCACAGCTTCATTCAAGGGTATTGGTGATTGGCAGTTCCTAACCGCAGACCTGGACCTGGTTGGTAGGAAGCTGGTTATTGACTTGAAAAACGGAATTGCCCATCACTATTTTCCTGATACCTATGCATCGCTGCAGGTCGTAGACTCGGACGCCAATGAGTTGTTGAAGCTGGACATCAAGGGCAAAACATCACAGATAGGAAAGAGTTGGACATTGCCAATCTCTGGCTACGGAGGAGAGACTTTGAACATTCATCATGAAGAACCGAAAGGGCGTCTGAGCGTTAACAATAATATGCAGAGCCTTCGCCTCTCTGATCGTGAGAAAACCCAAATTTACCATGTAACCCCAACCGGGCTTCATCTTCAGCCAAAATCACAGAAGACGATGTGGCAACGTCTCTGGGGAGCTTGAGGAATATGCGGGAAGGAACGATGTCCGTTAGTTGAAGATTATCAATGTAGTCAAGAATGGAATTTACTTTGTCTGATCCCAGCATTCCATCCACCAGCAAATCCTGCTGTTGACTACAGACCAGATAATTGTGATACGAAAGGTAACGTGTGCTTGGCCAAGCTAGAATATACATGACATGGTTGGCTCCCGGTGGAGGAGAATATGACGCGACTGGGGGATGTTGCTATCTTATCCAAGATTGCCCCTTCTATAACCTTGTCGTATATGAGAGACAATATTGCTTGTCTTCCTGGTTTGTATATGTACATAATTTGAAGACAATTACATATTTATATTCAACGATTCTTGCTCCAATCATGCTTCAATTGATCCAGTTCCTTCTGAACGCCACCCCATGCGCTTTTCCTCACTGTGAATGACATCCACCAGTTCCCATTCCCATCCTGACCAATGATAGGCCCCGCATTGCGTATTGAGAGACCATTTGCATGTCCAGTGCAGAGGATCTGCGTTGGCGCCCGTGGAGTTTCCCGTTCCCCTTCCGTACTAGCGAGAGCGGCCGAGAAATCAACCGAGAAGAAGCGGCCACGATGCCAGTTCGAGCAGCAGAGTAGCAACATATTTGGCTCCCCAAAAACAGGTGGATTGCCTGTTCGCTGAAGCGTTGAACGCTGCTGTGTCATCAATGCTTCCAACTGCGGTTTGGTCCGTTGTGCGACTAGAGCGGCACGGATCTTGGATGCGGTATAGCTGAGTGGACGGTCAAGGCAATCACCGGCTCGGAGAAAGGTATAGGACGGGAAGACCATGTTGGAAAGCCAGGCGGGTTGTTCGCCTTGCAGCGCTATCGAACGAGTCTCGAACACGTTCAACAGGGTAACTGGCCGGTCAGGCGATACTCGTAGGGATTTCATGAGTGTCCGCGCCCACCAGGCAAACAAGATATCACCATGACTGACAAATGGGTCTTCTGAATGTTGGAGCTCCGTTAGTGCGTCGTCGCGCATCTTGTTGACATACGCTTCTGGGATGCACACGGTACGCATCTCGTCGCGGTACCAGAGCAGATCGAAGAGATACCAGAAGACGAATATGAAAAATCGAAGCCCGCTCAGCAGACGAGACGCATAGCTGAGGGTCTCCGATGCTGTCTTCTCATTCAGGGGTTTGAGAGGGTCATCGAACCCATTCAACACAGGTACATCATCCTCCTGCCCGCGCAGAACGGCGGTCCATGCCTTTAGGAAGGTAGAGATTCCCATTGCGTCGGCAAATGTATGAGGAAGGGTAACTGTGAGAAGCGTTGTATCTGGGAATAGCGCGACATGCACCGTCAGCTGCGGCCGATCGGTGGACGTCCAGTCTTCTATCTTCGTTGCTGGGTGTGTATCATCCACAAGCGACGATAAATCTGTGAAGGCATCAAGTAGAACTGGCTCCTCTACGCTGACAGGAAACTGCGATGCCAATGGATGCTCGCTGAATTTCATCTTATGCTGAGCCGTTGTAAACGCTACCCCGGGTCTTTCCTCGCTGTACGCTGCCGGCACATGGTACTCGAGTTTTCCATTTTTCTATCTTGTGTTAGTATCGCGCAAGGTTGATCGAGTATCAGTTCGACGTACATTCTTTCGTAATCGTGCCCCCAGTTTTTTCCAATCGCCTATCTCTAGCAATCTGTTGAGCGAGGCGCGCAGCTTGTCCACGTCCAGCACACCGTCGACCCGATACGTCAGATTAAGGCATATGGCGCGTGTGTGTGGTAAGTCATCCCAGAAGGAAAGAGGAAAAACAGCATCACCATCGTCCTCCTGGTTGCCCATCGTGTTCAGATTATTGTGTTGAGGTTATGCTGACGTGTCAGGCAGAGAGGCTTTTATAAGCGCCAACTTGCTTACAAAGAGAGGAAGGATTCTGCCTATTTCGCTTATCACAGGCTATACCCTGTATCTATCAGACGCCTTATCAGTGCCTGGATGTTGATTATTTGTCAGAGAGTAGGTAAGCTTGTATGTGATGTTGACACAGATAATACCACGTGCTGCTAATGTGAAAGTTGGTGCTCGCGTAGCGCCACTAAACTGCTTTAAGATATCATGTGATATTCTATGCTTATACAGAGTAGGCATGAATACTATACTGCTGACTCAATAAGCATCAATATTCGAGGCAGTGGCTTGTCTGAGATACTCTTGCGGCAATGTATTTCTCTTTCGGCACGTAGCTCTGTATGATGAGGTCAACCAGCTCAGCACAATGTGGCTGGGATCGCCCAGACGAGGTCAACGATGAAGCTGTCTGGCCTTGGTTCTGGGCTTTCGGTCTTCCGCCCTGCTCCACAAAAGGCCAGATGGGATACCCAGGGCCCTTTAGGCCTGAATGACGGCACTGGATACATTAAGGGTGCTTTCCGTCGCATTATTGGCATAAGTCGGCGTCTTGATGAATGCGGTGGTACGTGCCCCAAGCTTTCTCGCTGGGCAGTTCTAGCAGACACAATGTTGCTCGACCTTGATCGTATGTCGAGTCTCTCAGAGGTCTCGATTCATGCGGAATACAGTGGACGAGACGCGGTGAGATGGAAGTGTCTGGTGGAGGTGATTTTGACCCTACCTACGTCATACAAGGACTCTTAGTTGGCGATTTACGCTGCCGAATCTGGCTAGTGTTGGGTAAATACTCTAGCCTGAAACAGCAGTATATTCCGCCAAGACATAGATGCAGCCTCTCATTGGTGGATACATCCCACTTCTGGCCGCATTGACTCCGCCTGACAGTCTATATAAACCCGATAACAGTTTCTCTCCTGTTGGATGTTAACCATCGTTCAATCTACCTCAAGCAAAATGTCTACATCCTCAGCTCAATCCTTCCGCCAAATGGTCGGAATCCCCCGCTCCTCTGCCTCAATCCAAGACTCCACTCTCATCATCATCGATGCCCAAAACGAATACGCCCACGGCAACCTCCAGATCGATCGCGTTGCTGAGTCCCGCAAGGTCATTTCAGATCTACTAATCCGTTACCGCCAGGGCGGTAATGGGCGCAACATCGTCCATGTCGTCCACCAGACGCCACCGGGCGCTCCCGTTTTCACGCCGGGAACGGAGTTGGCGCAGGAATTCGACGAGCTTACCCCTGTTTCTGGGGAAAAAGTCGTGAGCAAGAACTTTCCTAGCTCGTTTGCGCAAACAGATCTGCACGAGTACCTGGGTAGTCTGGGCAGTGTGGGGAGGAAAATTGTCTTGGTGGGGTACATGGCGCATGTGTGTGTGTCTACGACTGCCAGAGCCGGCAATGAATTGGGGTACGATGTTCTGGTTGTGAAGGATGCGGTGGGAGACCGGAATATTCCAGGAGTGGAGGCAGCGACGTTGAAGGAGGTGAGCTTGAGGGAGTTGGAGGATGCTTTTGCGACGGTTGTTTCCGCTGGCCAGATTGCTGCATAGGCTTGTTGAATTGGCACTGCTTTGGATTACAGACTAGAATATTGATTATCATTTCTATCCTATCTGTTTTGACATGTGGATGTTGTGTAGATTATGGCAGGATGTGAAAGAAAAGAGCCAGGAGGGCAAGGGCTCCAGACTGTCCAAACATCCATGAAACTCGTGCTATACAGACCCTTACAAACAGAGAAGTCCTTTTTTTTCTTTTTTCTCCACTTTTAACAAAGTGCGTAAAATGGTGCCAGAAGTCATAACATGAGAGATAGAGAGAACCGCCTTGTTAGTATCGCGCTCGCCACGAATACTGTTGCTATGATTGTCAGTCGGTTCTTTAGGGGCGTCTTTAGCAGTGCGATGATGTTGTATCTGAGGATCACGGCGCTTTCGCTTTCATGTTATGGTCCATCAGGCTGGCAAACGGCCCTCTATACAGCCCTATTTCTGGGTGGATTTTGTATCCTAGTATTGTTAGACTCATTATCCGCTTTCCGATCACACCGCCTAGGATGATGGAGAAGGTCTTTTAGCTGGCTATCACATGCAAAGGTAACATTTAAATATTCCCAAACAAGCCTTGGCTTGTTACGGTTAGCACAGGCATGAATTATACCATAAGTGATCTCTAAGTAGGAATGATGTAATAATGAAGCTGCTTGTATATGAACCATAGCATATCTAATTATGGTTAAACCATAATATTAAGTTGAGTATTACTAACTGGGTTTGTGGTTCTTGTAAGTTTTGTTTTTACTACTTCTTCCATAAACGGCTAGAATATATATCTATCTACCGTGGGCCAACATGAACACGAGAACTTACCAAAATAAAATCTCGTAAGTGACGAACTGCAGTATTCCACCAGACAGAAACCAATAGCAAAATGCACTTGATAAGAAATGATAAAGTGACAATAGAATTTAGTAATGGTAAGGCATAGATGTGTTCTACATGTCTTTGAAAATGGAAATTATATATTAGTTCAGTAAATCTTGATCTTTTTTATCTCTATACCTTTGAGTAGTCATAGAAAGGATGCAGTTTGGTTCGTCACCTAGTCTAGACCCCAAGAATAACCATTAATATAAAGTGAATGTGACTTCCACTAGGGCGTCACGCGAGTAAAATCAGATTCTAGAGTTAACTTAACAGGCAGGTGATAAGTTAGGCTGGAATTTCAACAATAGACTTATTAAGTTTGACATTTAATTTATTAAGATATAGAAAGTTAGAAGTACTTATAAGCCAGACAAGTTAAGTCTAAAGTCTAGACTCTACTTAACTTCCGTGACAGACTGGCACTGAATAAACCTAGTTAGCTAGATCAACATCTGTTAAGGTCAACCACTAAGCTGCACAGTATATTAAAACCATCTTAGACTTAATACTAAAGCTTAAAGATAGTTCCTTGGTTCGTATTTCCTCCAATCAACCAGACATTAATATCCTATCACGTGTAACTATGTATTCTTAAAACTTGATATAATTTTGATGTCATGTAGATCAGAGTGCATTCTATAATAGGACTATTCCAGTTTAGTATATAGTCTCTAATTTTTATTTTATAATTATTTCTATTTCCACGACAATCTTATATTACAGTTTACAAGGCTCTTCAAAATGCAGTTTAAATCTATCATATCACTCTTTGCATTTATTAACTTTGCTTTTCCATCTGCAGCAGGAGAATTCGAGACAAGACAGAATTCTCTAAGGTGTTTCTGTTGCCACCAAGCTGTTCAGCCTTTCCTGTTTTTCAGAGGTGCTGGGAATGGTTGTCTTGAAATTGAATTAGGAGATGGTAAGTCAAGAGGTCAAGCTTCATAGAGAATTATTGATTTAGCAATCATAGGTGCTGCTTGTGGAACTGGGAGGCCAAGTACACTATGCTGTCCTAGAGGTGCTATTACTGTAAGTTTAAATCACTTCCATTTATCTTTTATCAAAGAAATATACAATACGCTAACTATAAACACAGAGCGGCACGGGAGTAAGATGCTTCCCCTTGATTGTTTTCTGAATCCACTAAGTTATGAATCTGATATTAACTACGACCAGGGTAATCTCAAAGTTGCATGTAAATGATCGAATGGAATTCATACAATGGGAAATAATGGGAAATATGGATACCGGACTGAAAATATCAACTTTCAATCAGCAGAGGAAGATAGGGCGTAAAAGTTTGAAATAAGAAAGGGGTTGGGAGCTGAAAATATGGGATTCTATACTCTGTTTATTTAATGAAAAATCTTCTTCATTAATGTTACTCATGTGTTTAACTTACATGGAAATGTTAATCTTTTGTAGGGTGTCATGCTGGTCAGGTCACGATTGGTGTGTCAAAATGACTGTCGTGCATCTAAACCACGGTTTGACGGACAATATCCTTGCCAACTGGTAGGGATCTCCCTAATTGTGTTTAGGGAGCAGAGATCTATCAAGAAAAAAACAATATATTAAAACAAAGATGTAGCTGTCTCTATCAGTCAGAGTATTGAACTGGCTGCATATGTAAGGTTCCCCTGCATTGCGGTTGATGGATTCGACATGGTCCGGAGAAAGTCATCACTGACGATGGCACTTCCAAAGACCCCTGGTCGTAGCCATAGAAGACCAGCACGGTTGAGGCAGCTGTGGAAATCCACACGGTTAACCATCGTCCACTGCCGCCCAGGTATTTTCGTGTCATGGTGCCGGCATTTCGACAATGGAAGGAAATGCGTAAAGCGTGGGGTGGCACCCTTGGTATATAAAAGAAATGTAGTATATGATATTTCCGTGTGGGGTCAGACATATCCGAATACCAACAATCCACCTCAGCATGGATATGTATGTTACCCCGCATACCTCAAATGCAACGATATCATACAGATAAGATGATCGTCATCCAACATGACAAGCATTGCACCCCCACGCTAGCTGGAATTAGGAGATGCAGAGAAATACTACGGACCTGCTTGATCGGTGCTACATGTAAAGACTTATCTATAAAGAACAGAGCAGGTTCCCTGGCTTTCGACTCAACCAATGTATTACAATGCGTATATCGAGATCATAGTCATACTTGTCTGTTTAATCCTTCGCAGCAAACTTGCCACGAGCCCTCAGTCTACCTCCATACGAGTAGATAAAGATCATACCTAGAATCCCTCCAACCGACAGACCTGCCAGCAGCGTCATTCCCTTGACTATCCCCAAATCATCATACGTATACCGCGTAAACATGACAAATCCTGCCGCTACAATGGACCGGACAAAATCATTGGCCGCAAAGAGAGAGGCCACATAGCGGGGATACGTTAGAGGGACGTAGACTAGAATCGCCTGGGACACGATGAAGGCAGATCCAGCGTAGATGGTAACGCCGATTGCAGGTACGATCCAGTGATATCAGAGCGAGCCGTCCAAGCGAAGATGAAAAGGCCAACAGAAAGGAAGCAAGTGGCGGGGATGGCTGCGAATAAACGGTCTTCCTGGACGGGAGGGCGATGTTGGCAGCGAGGATAGAAAATGAATTTCAGATATGCAGCGTATATTGTAGACCCAAGCAGACAACCCACGACGATGGTGAGGAACATCAGCCTCTGGGAGCCTGCGAACATCCTATATGTACGGCCGAATGCGATAGGCAAGGCCTGAAAGAACGAATAGTAGGTTGCGTATACGAGGCTGGTATACGCGGATATATACGCTATAGCCGGGTCTTTGATGAGGATTTCTACCGGTTTGATGAGAGCATCCACCAGGATATTCTTGAAGCCATGTCGACGTGTCTCACTCGGAGCGAGGATATGCGGGTTGATTCGGCGAAGGCGTTGAGCACGATGGAGGAGAATGGTCTCATGCGATGTTTCTGCCAGCAGACAGACCATGACGATGAGGGATGGTGCTGCGATGATGACAATCTCCCACAGAGGCCATCGCCAGTTGGTGGGAACTGCATAGGCAGCCAGTAATGGACCCATTGCAGGGCCGCAATATAGAGCACCTACCCAGAAGATGAAGATATAGGGGGCGGTAGACCAGGAGAGCATGTCTTCGATGGTGGCACCGCCACTGGCCAGACAAGGATGCCGAAGAATCCTTGCAAAAATCGAAGGACAATGATGGCGGGGAAATTATCTACTACGGCGAGGACGATAGAGATGACGAGGAATAGAGCGAAAGAGTAAACGTCGGGAGGATTGCGGCTGATGGAGGGGATTTCACTCAAGGGAGACATCTTCACTTCTTCAAATCTCCTCCACGCAGCAAGGGATAGTGGAGTTCGTCGCAAGATCATCTAGCCATTCACCTCCTACAGACATCAGACAACAATTGAACGGGCCCGGCATTTCCAGCTATGTACAAGACCAAGAATGAACAAAAGTATACACCCACCTTTGAAATAGTCTTAGCCCGCTACACTGAGTTGAGTAATTGAAAGCAATAATCAAAAGAAATGTACACACACTGGATATGGTAAAAAAATTGATATCATTCTAGGCGAATCATGTATACATTCATCAGTTACATCTCGTAATCTCTAATGCTCCAAACCAATGCGCAGGCCACCGTTGAAATCCCGAAAGTCACCCCTCAGGATGCCGATACCGTCCCGCCGGACTTCCTCGACCAGATCCTTGACCTTGGGCGCGATCATCTCCGGCGCAAATCCAAAGTGCTCGTACGTCTCCTTGGAAGGAAGACTCTTTCCAAAGCTGTTCATCGACACCGAGGCATCGGCATACCGCTCCCACCCGTTGGCCGGGTACGCCTCGATCACAACCGTGGGCTTCCCCGCGCGCGGCTGGAGAACCGATTGTTTGTACTCGCGCGACTGCTGCTCGAAAAGCCTCGTGCAGGGGAAGGAAACCACTCGGGCGCGGATACCATCTTGGAGGAGCAATTCCCGCGTCTGCATCGCGAAGCCCATCTCGGACCCGACTCCGATCAGGGTCACGTCAAAATCGCCGCCCTCGGCTGCCTCGACAAAAACGTACGCGCCTTTCATTGCGCCCTCGCGGGACGAGTATTGCGGGTACTGGGGCAGACTCTGCCGGGAGAGGGAGATGACGGTGGGTGTCTCTGTGGCCTGGATGGCGGCCATGTAGGCACCGGCCACTTCCTCGGCGTCACAGGGCCGGATGTAGAGCAGATTAGGCATGGCGCGCCAGAGGGCCGCGACGGCAATGGGCTGGTGGGTTGGTCCGTTCTCGCCAACGCCGATGCTGTCGTGAGTGGCAATGTGAATCTGTTGCAGGCCTTGCAGGGCGGCCATGCGCACCGCAGCCGCGGCGTAGAGGTGGAAGACAAAGTAGGTGCTGGTCATGGGGATGAAAGTGCCTTTGTTGAAGGCTGCGAGCCCGTTCGAGATGGCGCACATGGCGTGCTCTCGGATTCCGTAGTGGATATATCGACCACTGTAGTTTCCGTTCAGGCCGCACGCTGTTTGGAGTTCAGGCTGGTTTCTGCATTAGCCTTTGGGGAAGCCAGAGGAGAGACTGCCACTCACTGATTGGAAGTCGACCTTGTTCTTGTAGACAACATTACACGAGGGAGTCAGATCGGCAGTGCCGACGAGGAAGGTGTTGATATTCTGTGCGAGGGCGTTGGTCACGACACCAGCCGACTTGCGTGAGGCCGTTGATGCTGTGGGCTGCTCTTCCTTGCGAGGAATGCATTGCCTCCAGTCTTGCGGCATCTTTCCTGCGACCCGGAGGGCAAATTCAGCCGCCAGGACGGGGTATGTCTCTTGATACTTGACCAGAGCCGCCTGCCAGGCTGCCTCGTGGACCTCACCACGGCTGGGAATGTCACGGAAAAAGTCGTATACGTCCTGGGGGATGTGGAAGTGGTCTTCAGGGTTGAGACCAACGGAGCTCTTGAGTCGGGCCACTTCGTCGACGCCCAGGGCCGCTCCGTGTACGTCGGCGGTGCCAGCCTTGGAGGCTCCGAAGCCAATCGTGGTGCGAATGTTGAGGAAGGTGGGCTTGTTGCTCGATCGAGCAGCAACAAGGGCGTGGGCGACGGCTGATGTGTGTGAGCAGAGATATCATCAAACTTGAAAACCAGACCTACCGGCAACGTCCGAGTCTCCGTTGTACACGTCCACCACGTTGAAACCAGTCGCACGCATCTTGGTGTTGATATCTTCGGTGTTGGCCATGTCCGCACTACCGTCACACGTCACCGAGTTGTTGTCGAATATCACACAGAGATTGTTGAGCTTCCAGTGACCAGCGAGGGAGAGCGCCTCGAGACCAACGCCTTCCTGCAGGCAGGCATCCCCAACCATGCACCATGTCATGTTGTTGACCACCTCATTGCCGGGCTTGTTATATGTCGCGGCTAGGTTTTTGGTAGCCATGGCGAGGCCAACGGCATTGGCAAGGCCCTGGCCAAGTGGTCCCGTCGTAACCTCGATGCCCTCGTGTTCGATTTCCGGGTGGCCGGGGCACACTGAGTCGGTCCTCGTCGAGTGGTAGGACTTGAGCTGGTCGAGGGTCATGCTCCTGACGCCAACGAGGTGCATAAAGAGGTACTGCCACAGGCAGGCATGGCCTTTATGATTGGTTAGTACATAGATATAAATATATGGCTTTCCGGGTGGAACTTACCATTCGAAAGAACAAGGCGATCCCGGTTGAAGTAGTCGCAATTGTGCGGAGAGTACTTCATGACATATTTGTACAGGGCGATACCAATGGCAGCCATACCCATGGGAGATCTGTGCGGTCTAATTAGCGCCCTGCCATGATAAGGAAGCAGAGAGTGTCTCACCCAGCGTGCCCTTCGCCATATTGCTGGCAGATATCAGCGATGAAGGCTCGAAAGACATCCATCACCCGTTGATGCTTCTCAGGGCTCTCTAATGTGAAATCAGCAGCAGAAGCCTTGCCAATAGCGGATATTGATTTGACCGGCAGAGCCACGGCAGGCTTCTCGAGAAGTTCCAACGCAGGTGCCATGCTGAATGTGAAAAGAGAAATAGTTGTTTGACGATAGTGGTGACAGATAGCTGTCTTTGGCCGATGGATCCAGTCGAGCAGACTGTCAATTCTTATATTCCAGTGAGAGTTCCATCATCGCGTGCTCGACAGGTTGAGCGTAGTAGCTGATGAAGATCCAGACAAAGTCAGGTAATGTCCACATCACAAGGTCAAGCCTAGAGAGAGATATTCTGCAGTATAGTGATCGAGATATCCATCGGTTCGAAGCGATTCCTGGCCTTCGATGCGAGCCCAGCAGGCAACTTGATAGGCCTGAAACTATACATGACGTTTATCCGACACACCTTATGATGTTTGAGGATTGTTGGCACTTCGTTTGAAAATCCGGGGTAAGTACTGTTCCCTCTCTCTGATTGGTTCCGCACACTTCGCCTACGAGTCCCCAACCCCCGCTTGAAAGTGGGCCGAAAGCGGGGTAAATCAATGGCGGCATATTTAAGAGACGAGCGCCCTCGCAACGAAGCCCCAACGGTGCGTACGTAGACTCAATGGAGGTGATGAGCACCGCACGAGGGAAATCAAGAGAGCCCATCGCTACGGGGACCAGGCGTCGTCGTATCAGACCATCTCGCGCCCGCGGCTTGAGGACCAGAACAGGATGGTGAATCATTCCCTCCCCCAGAAGCGAAATGTCAAGCTCGCTTACACGCACGCAGCCTCACCTGCAGAGAAAGACGCGTCAAGTGTGATGATGTGAAGCCTCAATGCGGGCGGTGCTCCAAGGCAGATCGAATCTGTCGATATGCTCCAGTTACTCAGCCTGAGGGACTGCCGAGTTCCCAGCCTCCGAGTGTCGGTGCTAGCTACGTCCCCGCAGAATCATCGGTGCCAGTCCATCAAGGCTCGATTGAGAGTCATGAGAGTCAGAGTCAGAGTCACAGTCCGATCTCCCTGCTCAGTATCTCCCCCTTGGAATGGTACGACCTGCTGGCACGGGATGCCATCAGCAACCTTCACCGGCTCAACGGCGCTTCTTCATCGGGCGACCCTGGATGGAAATTGCCCGAGATAGCCCTCTCTCGTCGAGAGTCACCAGCGCCCGACTGTCCCGAGGCTCATCTCGAGAGACTGGCCCAGCTGGAACATCGAGACAACGGAATCGAAGCCCCTTTGGTAGATCAATACCAGATATCGGAACCGTGGAATACCCCGAATCGGATCGAATTATCTGCCGTCGACTTCATCTTCTTTCAATACTACATCGAAGTGGTCGGCCCAATCCTAGATTTGTTTGATACAGCACGGCATTTCAGCAATGTCGTGCCCCATCTGGCACTCCGAAACACAGGGCTCTTGAAGTCCATCCTCGCAGTGGGCGCAAAGCACATGTCCCTCGGTCTCACGGATGGGCCAGAGGTAGAAAGCCCTGCTCCGGCACACATGGCTACGCAGTATTACTATGAAACGCTTCATTATCTCTCGCAGACACTTTTGTACCCGTCGTATGCGGACTCGCGGGAGATCCTCGCGACTGCCACCATGATCAGCACCTACGAGATGTTCGACGCTGACAGTGCCTGCACCGGCGGGGACTGGGAGCAGCACTTGCGAGGTTCTTTTTGGATCCAACGGTCTCAAGACAATGACGGCGAGTCCGTGGACGGGCTCAGACGCGCCGTGTGGTGGGCCTGGCTCCGACAGGACATCTGGGCGGCTTTCCAAGCCGGACGACCAACGCTCACCTTCTGGCGGGCTCGAAAACCACTCGAAGAACTGGACTCGGACGAGCTCGCCACTCGGATTGTCTACATCTGCGGCAAGTGCGTCGCATATGCCGCCTCGCACGGGCGATCGCCACATGAGGACCCACGGCCGAGAATCGAGCAAGGCGATAGACTTCTTCGTGCCCTCGACGAGTGGCATCGTGTGCTTCCCGCTTCGTACCAGCCCGTCATGGTCGCGATGCATTCTACTTCTCAGACACCGTTCCCGCCGATACGGATTCACCCGCCCAACCACGCGGGCGCCATGCAGATGTACCATTTTGCACGAGCCACGGTGCTGCTGAACCAGCCTACGATGGGAGGACTTGACGCTTACTGCCTTCGGGACAAACAGCTGGATGAAAGTGTCAAGACGGTCTGCGGGATCGCCAACGCCTGCCAGGATCATGAATCCGCCATCGCCTTTGTCAACGTTCAGGCTTTGTTCGCCGTTGGCCAGTTCGTTCGGTCGTCCGAGATGCAGGGCGAGCTGCTCCGTACGTTGGAGAATATGCTGAGGATTAGCAAATATCCCGCTCGGAGGCTTGTTGCTCAACTCCAGAAGGTGTGGGGGAACTGAACTATCAGTGGAGTGAGCAAGAGATGGATATATTCATCATTCGTTGGTATGTATACTAGAACCAGTGTTCTATAGGCTGAGAATAAATACAAATATCATCATACGCACATCAGCCTACCACGCGCCTACAATACCTGCCACCGGAATATCAATACCTGTCGTATACGAAGCTCCGTCAGAGAGCAGATACACATAGGCCCCCCCGAGTTCCTTGGGATCGGCCAATCTCGGCATGCCACCATAGTATTGCATTTTGAGGGACCAGTCCGGGGCCTGATCCACAAAGTAGGTCATGGCCGTCTTGATAAAACCGGGCGAGACCGAGTTGACGCGAATGCCATGCTTTGCCCACTCCATGGCCAGCGTGTGGGTCATGTTCCTGACGGCAGCCTTGGTCGCGCCATAGGGAGCCGAGGGCGCTGCGCGGTTGGGGCGATAGGATGTCATGGACGCAGTGAAGACGATAGATCCCTTGATGCCCAGCTCGATGAACCGGCGAGCAACAGTCGTAGCACAAAAGTAGGCGCCAAACACGTTGAGATTAAACAGGTTGTCCAGCTGGGCGCGACTGAAATCCAGCGCCGGCTGGTGCTTGGTCATGCCGGCGTTGGCGATGAAGCCGTGGATGGCGCCTCGGGCGGAAATGACCCCGTCGATGGCCGAGGTGACGCTCTCCTCGGACGTCACGTCGCAGTGGATGTAGTCTAGGCGCTTGGGATAGGCCTTTCGAAGAGCGGCAAACTCGTCGCCGGGTGTGAATATGTCCAAACTGACCACGGCTGCCGCCTCGTTTGCTAGGCAGACCTCTGCGAGGGCCAGCCCGATGCCCCTGTTGGCACCGGTGATGGCGATGACCTTGTCTTTCAGGGTGATTCGCCAGTCGTGATCGGGGCCTGGTGTGGTGTCAAGGAAGGTATCCGAGGCCACTCGGGGCGTTGCGGTGTCGCTGCCGTTGCCATCGCTGTTGGCGACCACGTCGAGCATAGCGGGAGGCATGGTAGATTGTTTATTGATTTCGGTCAAGTGTGAGAGGTTTGAAGCATGGATAAATTATTGGGCAGGCCGCTGTTATAAATTGTGCCATGGCTTTATCCACTAATGCAACAGACTGGGCCTTCGAAGCGAGCTTGTGTCCTCGCATCGAGACCACGCCGTGGACGACTCTTGGCCAGGCCGTCAGGTCCATGTAGAACCTTCTTTTCTGGACATCTTTCACGACATCTTTCACTCCATAACTTGATCTGTCTTATAATGGATTGGCAAAAGCGCAAGTCTCGAGGACGCGGCCTTCGCGCGACCACTGGTTGGTGAGTTTGGACGAGATATTGAGTGTTTCTTTCTCACGCTATTTTAGCCTCATCTGCAGACGCCGCCATGTCAAGTGCGACGAGGTGTGTATCCTTTCGTTTATGATTTTGTAGACAATGTATATATCTGACTCGACCAGGCTCGTCCTCAATGTGGCCCCTGTGCAAAAGGCCAGCGCGCGTGTGTCTACGCGCTTCGCCGTTCCTTGCGTGACGTTGCTGGGCCAGGGACGCCTGACTCTCTTCCATCAGATCAGCTTGGACCAAAGTCTCAGATAAAGGCAAGCACAGAAAGCCCTGTGACATCACGAGCTGCGCCGTTGAGATGGTTCCAACCTTCAGCCACGGATGCCACCACTGGAGAGGAGGTGCGGAATGGCAATGTCCTCCAACGTGACTCGGAAATTGAATCGCCGCCTCTTTCGGACGTGGAACACCACCTGTTCAGGCATTTTGTGCGCGTCTCCAGCAAACTACTGGATTTCCATGATCCAGAGATTCATTTTGCCACAACAGTTCCGCACATGGCGCTTCGAAATCTGGGGTTGATGAAAGCGTTGCTAGGTCTTTCGGCACGGCATCTCTCGTTGGGACCGGCAACGACTGAACTGGATGGCCGAGAATATATAATTGACCGCAATCTTGCAGTTCAATACTACTTGGATGCCCTAGATTATCTGAACACAGCATCCTATCCGCACAGCTTGGATTTGGTCGCAACGGCCATCCTCATCAGCACGTACGAAATGATCGACGGGTCGAATCGAAATTGGGAACGACATCTCAAAGCAGTCTACTGGATGCAACAATCCCAAGCCAATGACGGAGAGTCTGGAGGGCTGCGTTCGGCGATTTGGTGGGCCTGGCTGCAACAGGATATCTGGGTCGCCATGCAGGAACGGCGTCGAGTGTTGAATGTCTGGAATCCCACAAAGCCGGTGTCCACGCTGAAGCCACCGGAGCTCGCAAGGCGCGCCATATACCTGCTTTCGCAGTGTGTCAACTATGCATCGAAAGAAGAAGAACAGTCAGACTTAACGAGCCGTCTGGACAAGGGTGGCGAGCTTCTCTTCCTACTCCAGCAATGGCATGACAACCTGCCGCCGGAATATCGACCTCTCACTTGTTGTTCATCTGATGATGCGGTATTTCCACCAATTTGGGTGAATCCACCATCGTATGCTGCGGCTCTTCAGATGCACAGCCTCGCCATGATTCTCGTCATCGTACATCGTCCCTCCGCTGGTGGGATTGAGAACTATCGGGCGGCACAGCAGATGCTGGCCGGTGCCCTGGGTACGATTTGTGGAATTGCAAGGTCCGTCGATGAAGACGATGATGCAGCGAACATGATCTCCTTGCACTGCTTGTTTCGCGGTAAGCATAGTCCCCTCACAAAACCAACGGCTTTGCGCTAATTTTACTAGCGGGGATTTGCGTACAGACACTACGGGAAAGACTTGTTCTTTTGGACCTGCTGGATTTGTGTCAACAGAGGCTCCACTGGCCGCTGATCTCGCTCCGAAAGGAGCTTGAGCTGGAGTACGCAAAGGATACTTTCAGTGGACCAAGTACGTGAGGCATTCATTGCCGTGAAGAATAAGCCGTATATATAGAATATTCAGAGTCAGATCTAGTTATTGCCATAGATCCCTTGTAGAGAAAGCTAGCTGCTCCACTAGATAGTATATACAGAGAAAAGTCACCACCGAGTTTACTGAAAGCACTAGAAGGCTGGGTTGTAGTAATTCATGCTTAACTGTATTCCTCTAACATTCAACATCGGCTCTCATCGCTAGATGGTGCCTGACCGCAGACGCCTCCGGAACCAAACATGCAAGAACAAAAACACAACCACGCCTACTGCTAACATCGCAGAGATGACTGAAAATCCCATAATATACTTGGGGCTATCGTCTTCCGGAAACAGGTACTGTTGACATTCTGGTGTTAACACAGGGACCGGGGAATAAAGATACATAGCATAGACACATACCGATCCGTAAATCTGGGCCAGGTTACCCAGTGCATTCACCATGGCCAAAGCAACACCTCGGGCCTGTGGATGCATCCCGCCAAAAGCAGAGGAGGCGTAGGCTAGTGTTCCTCCATTGGTGGCCCACAGGCCAGCCGCCATGAGGATCAGGAGAACATATCGAGCTGTAAAGTTGTATACAGTACAGACAATGATCGAGCATATCAGGGAAACGGTCAGCCAGCCGGCAATGATCAATCCACGGTTATTGGGTGCTTTGTCACTGCAGTAGGATGTGATACCAGTCGCGACAAACGCCACGCCATAAATTGGGACAGTTAACAAGTTGATCTTTTTAGTGGATGCATTTCCAAAAAGCCCTTCTACGAGGGTTGGGTAGAAGTAGGTCAGGGTACTCGAGCCAACAATGACCTATCACAGACAGTTGGTCAGTTTGAAGAATTGAAGCGAGAAATGGACACGAACCATGTAACCAATTACAAATGCCCAGGCGCGCCAGTCCCGGCATGCCACCTTACAAGCACCAACATTGCTCAGATGCTCGCTATCCGCGGTAGCAGCGGTGACATTGTCAATGGCCAGGCGGGTCACGGCGATCTGCTTCTCGCGCTCAGACAGACGGCGCGATGTTCCCGGAAAGTCAGGAAGGATAAATAGCGAAATCACAGCGAAACCGACGGTTGCAGCACCTTCGATAATGAACAGCCACCGCCAGCCCTGAATACCATGAACACCTTCCAGACCTTCAACGATGCCGGCAGCAATCAGGCCACCAAAGGCACCCGATAGAACAGCCGCCGAGATAAAGACTCCGAATCTCTTCGACTGTTCGGTTTGTTTGTACCATGATGACAGGAGAAGTATCACACCAGGAGCGAAGCCTGCCTCAACACATCCAATAATGACTCGAAGGACGACCAGGTGGGTGAAGCTTTTGACGGCAGCCATCACACACGTCAATGCCCCCCACAGAATCATGATCGATGGGAGGAAGATCGAAGGTCGGGATCGGCCCAGAGCAAGACTGTAGGGAGAAGACAGTGAGTAATGATGATTTGAGGCCTGTGCTAATGATGGGGGTTTCATACTTGCTCGGTACCTCGAAGACCACGTATCCGACAAAGAAGACAACCAGGGCTATTGAGTATTGGTTGGACGTCAAGTTGAGTTCGACCTCCATGCCAGATATTTTTGCATTGCCGATGCTGTACATAACCGTTAGAGACTATACAGCCTTTACCTCAGATGCTCCCACTTACTTGGTTCTGTCAAGGTAGGACAGGAGGTACATGATCCAGACAGTGGGTAGCAGAGTGAGGTCAATCTTCTTCACCAATGCCTTCTCCTCCTCTGGAGAAAACGAGACTGCTTCGGTGACATTCTCAATCTCATGAGACGAGACGTCCTTCATCTGACCCTCAACGTCGGCTGGGTCCATGATGTCTTGTCGAAAGGGCTGAAGATTGAACATGGAATGAAATGATATTTCTGGGCATCACCTTCTTACGAGGGCTTTATGTTTCAATTCCCCCTGATCTGAGATATATAGCCTGTGGTCCAATCCTGCTCTAAATCCTCCATCTCCACCTCCGCACTTTGACAATCCCCACTTGGACGCCATTGGTGCGTTGTCGGGGCATCGCATCGAGCCCCCGAATGTGGAGCTTCTCCAGAGCCAACCACGTCTCACGATCATCATGTCCTGGCAGATGTGAATTCTTCGTTTTAACCATAATCTATATACAAGAGGACAGCAGCTTGACAATGGTTTCATTGCCACCTGCTTTCGCCCTTGATAACAGTGTCCGTCCAGTAAGATCAATCGAGTCAACCCTGACATCATCTCGCTGCACCAGCATCTTCACCACTGCTTCAAATCCTCTCCACGCAGCAAGGGATAGCGGAGTGCGTCCAAGATCATCGCGAGGATCAGCATCGACTCCTGCTTCTTCGAGTAGGATCCTGACGACGTCTGTCCGCCCTGCGGCTGCAGCCCATGCTAAGGGCGTCTCTCCGCGAAAGTCCTTTGAATTAGGATTGACATCGCCTCTCTGCAACAGGAGACGAACGACCTCTGCATGTCCATTTCCGGCTGCATGGGATAGTGGTGATTGGCCTATTCGTCCTCTTGAATCTGCATCGATATCTGGCTGCTCCAGTAGCATTCTGACGACGGTCGCGTGGCCTCGTTCTGCAGCCCAGGATAAAGGGGTATAGCCGGCTTCATCTCTCGAATTGATATCGACACCCTTTCTCTCTAGCAACATGCTGACCACCTCTTCGTGTCCATTCCACGCGGCATGAGATAGCGATGTCAACCCTCGATGGTCTTTCGAATCTGCCTTGACGTCTTTTCGTGCAACAAGTAGTCTAACAATGTTATAACGTCCACTCGAAGAAGCAAATAACAGCGGAGTTCGACTCAGCACGTCTTTCGAGTCGACCAGAACATCGTTTCGATCCATTAACAAAGCAGTAATTTCTTCGTGGCCATTCTCAGCTGCATAAGATAGTGCCGTTCGACCAAAATCATCTCTAGCATCTGCTTCAACGCCCGCGTTGCGCAATAATATATGTGCCACTGTGCTATGGCCGTTTTGTGCTGCGTGGGATAGCGGTGTCCGACCGTTATGATCCCTTACATCCCATCCGATAACATTATGGGTGAGGAGTGAGTTTAAAATATTCTCTTCGCCTTCTTGCGCGATGAGATGGAAAATAGACAGTCCTGCTCTATTCTGATGGAGAGCATGGCGCAGTATTAACCGGTTTGCCAGCGAGGGAGTGGCATGGAACAGGGCCAACAGACTGTGCGGGTTGAGATACTCGGCGACAAAAAGAATGACGTGGTTGAAATTTATTCGGTGTTTACAAGCCATCTTGATAGGCATGGGTATTTATAATAAGGATGGAAACAAGGAATGAAGCAACCCGGGTTCTCCACGAGGGAAATCCACGGCTTATCGAACCATCTTCACCGATTTTGTGTTTGTGCGATGATATCATGTCTCGCGCTTCGGCGGAAGATCGGCGTTTTGTGTCTCACAATTGACCGGCCGAAGCAGCATTTTGTGAAGTTATTCAATTGATGTCTATCTGATATTGTCTGGATGGACTTGAATGAACAGATATCATTGTATACAATGACCTAGCCTGCACTGCCAACAGCTCGGATAAAAGACCTCTAATCGGAACGCGTCACGGAAACTCGTCTAGTTTCATCTTTGTTATTTTTACTATCCCCTTTTTCTGCAGAACAAATTATTCCTAATGATGCAGATCTCCGAGATTAATCTTGTTCTTCACATAAAACCGTGAGGTACAGGCTTCCACCCAATCCGGTAACCAAAGCCGACTCGGACATCACCAGAACAATGCACAACTTGTATCAGAAGACTACATAAAAGCTGAGATTGGAAGGGATCGACATTATTTCCGAGCAGACTGTGAATTTCTCCGCATTTTGAGTCGTTTCATCGCTCGGAAATCGAACATCGGAGGATGTTAAGTTCCGTTGCGTCCATTGAGGTTATTCGCATGCAGATAGCTGATATCTCCGATGGCTGTCTTCATGGCCTGATACGAATCATGCAGTGGAAGTCGGAAATTAAGATTGAATGATCATTATATAGAGCAGTCAGACTGCCTCTGAAATGCAAACGGCATCAATGCAGCCAAAATGAAGCTATCCCCATCTCTGCTGCCATGCCTAGCTACCCTAGGCTCAGCATATCTCTACGACACTCCTGTCAAGACTGAATACGGCCATGTCCAAGGCTTCAAGTACTTCAACTCATCAATCAGCCAGAAATACCTCAACCTCTCCGACAGCCATGTCGCTGCGTTCCTCGGCGTCCCTTATGCCGCTGATACATCCTACCAGAACCGATGGAAACCAGCCCAACCCCGACAGCCATGGAATGGAACCCTGAAGGCATACGAGTTCGGCCCTGCCTGTCCCATTGCCCACCAGCGAGAATCCGGCTTCAACATCAGCGAAGACTGTCTGTCCGTTAACATCTGGACGCCTGCCAATTCGAGCTCCGATCGTCTTCCCGTCATGGTGTGGAACTACGGCAGTGGAGAAACCAGCGCTGAAGCCATCTACAACGGCGGAGGACTGGCCACCAAGGACGTCGTGGTGGTGAGTTACAACTACCGCGATGCTGCCTTTGGCTTCCTGGCCCATCCAACACTGAACAAAGAATCCGGTCACAATTCGTCTGGCAACTATGGTATCCTCGACTTCATCACGGCATTGCAGTGGGTGCAGAAGAACATTGCCCATTTCGGCGGTGATCCCGACAAGGTGACCATCGCTGGGCAGTCGTTTGGCTCTGCGCAGGTCTATCACGCTGTCAATTCCCCCTTGGCCAAGGGTCTGTTCCGTGGCATGATTGCGGAGAGTGGCATTCGATACCCTCGCGATCGTCTCTTGGAGGGTCTGGCTGATTCGTACAAGACCATGGACGATGCCATCGCGGTCGGCCTCAACTACACCAAGAGCCACAATGTATCGACGATCGCCGAGCTGCGCACTCTCAGCACGGATGACCTGTTAGACGGCAGCGACGACAGAGAAGACATTGACGCCCTCACAGCTCTATACACGATGGACCCTCCTCTCTTCAAAACCACCCTGGACGGCTATGTCGTGCCAAAGAAATACATTGAAACCCTCATCGACGGCCCTCCCAACGACGTGCCCATGATCACCGGCAACAACAAAGACGAAAGTGGCGCGTCCACATCGACCAACTACACCGTGGCCGAATACAAAAAGTACAGCCGCGAATGGTACGGCAATCTGACCAGCGAGTTCCTGCGTCTGTATCCTGCCGCCAATAACAGCGAGGCTGATCGCTCGTGGAATGCTGCATCTCGTGATACTTCAGTTGTGTCGAGTTATCTGTTTGCGAATGAATGGGTCAAATCGGCCAGCAGTCCATTCTACACTTACTACTGGGACCATGCTCCTCCGGGCCAGGATCAGGGCGCATACCACATGGCCGAGATTCGATATGCGTTGAAGAATCTGTATCAGACAGATTTGCCATGGACGGAGTATGACTTTCATCTGTCTGATATCATGTCATCGTACTGGGCGAATTTCATCAAGACGGGCAATCCGAATGAAGGTGGATCGCTTGAAAGTGGATCGCTGGCAAAGTGGGAGGCGAGCAAGGCCGGTGAAGCGACCGTGATGCATCTTGGAGATGGATTTGGAATGATGGACATTGCGACGCCGGACAGAGTGAAGCTGATTTCGACGTTCATGGAGAGACAAAAGGCGTACTAGTTTATTTATAGATGGCTTTCACATGAAGATAGTGAAGATAGCGGGGCAATCGAGATCAACGAACAAAATGCCTCATTGAGAGCCACTGTTCCACCTCATCAAGACACCTGGCCATACAGCTGCATGGCTGGAGATAGCATCGTCATTCGCAGATTCAGCTCTGCTCCACTCTTCATCGTACACCATAAGAACCCCTCCATTCTAGATCATCGTTTATTCTGTACAAACCACAACCACAATGGATAAATACACCCTCCCCAGTAAACCACAGGCGAATCCCAACGCCATCGTCTCTGGCCAAAACTATCGCTTCACCATCCTGACCGACCGACTGATTCGCTATGAATGGGCTGCCGATGGCACATTCGAAGACCGCGCATCCACCTTCGCCATCAACCGCGACCTGCCCCTTCCCGAATTCAAAGTCATCAACGGCGACAGTCTAGACATCATCACGAAGTATTTCCATCTCAGCTATGACAAGAACCGATTCAGCCCGGGTGGCTTCGTCGTAGAAACCAACGCCAAAACCACCGACTGGGGCGCTCCATGGCGGTTTGGCCTCCCATCCAACTTGAATCTGGGCGGGACAGCCAGAACGCTGGACGATGTCAACGGTCGCTGCGATATGGGCGAGGGCATCATGTCCAAAGCAGGATTCGCAGCGATTGACGATTCGCAGTCGATGCTGTTTGACGGCAAGGGATTCGTGGCGGGGCGAGAGGCAGGCGATCGCATCGACGGCTATCTCTTCTGCTATGGGCGCGACTACAAAGCAGCCATCAAGGCGTTCTATGCAGTGTCTGGCAAGCAGCCTTCCCTTCCTCGTTATGCGCTGGGCAACTGGTGGAGTCGGTATTACGCATATCAACAGGAGGAATATCTCCAGCTGATGGACAACTTCCGAGCACACGATATCCCCATGTCGGTCGCGGTGATTGACATGGACTGGCATCTGGTGGCCGATGAGAAAGTGCCTCATGCCGGCTGGACGGGGTATACGTGGGATAAGAAGCTCTTCCCAGACCCCAAAGCGTTTGGCGATGAGCTTCACAGGCGCAATCTCAAGATTACACTGAACGATCATCCTCATCTGGGAATTCACTCGCACGAAGAGTCGTACGAGGAGATGGCGCAGTTCCTCGGCCACGAGACCAAGGATAAAACACCCATTCTGTTCAACCCGACCGATCCCAAGTTCATGGATGCGTATCTGAATATCCTTCATCGCAACCTGGAAAAGATCGCCTGCGACTTCTGGTGGGTGGACTGGCAGCAGGGACCGTATTCGAAGGTGCCTGGCATTGATCCTCTGTGGATGCTGAACCACTTCCAATACCTCGACGGCGCACGAGATGGGAAAACACCGCTCATCTTCTCGAGATACGCTGGCCCAGGCAGTCATCGCTACCCCGTTGGTTTCTCCGGCGATACTTTTGTGACGTGGGAATCACTTGAATTCCAGCCTGAATTCACCGCGACCGCATCCAACATCGGCTACGGATGGTGGAGTCACGATATCGGAGGCCATCTGTTTGGTGGTCGCGATGATGAACTCGTGACGCGTTGGTTCCAGTTTGGTGTTTTCTCGCCTATCATGAGATTGCATTCGTGTAATTCTCGCTGGATGTCGAAAGAGCCGTGGCTGTATCGCGGAGAATCCGAGGCCATCATGTCTGAATTCATGAGACTCAGACATCGCCTCGTTCCATTCCTTTATACACAGAACATCAGCTGCTCCACCGAGGATGAACCGCTTGTGCAGCCCATCTACTGGTCATACCCGGACAATGAAGAGGCATACGCCTATCCCACCCAGTACTTCTTCACCTCTGAACTCATGGTTGCGCCTATTGTCCAGCCTCGGAACAAGCAGAGCAACCTTGGAGCTGTCAAGGCTTGGTTGCCTCCTCGTCGCCATGTCGACATCCTCAACGGCATCGTGTACGATGGAGATCGCGAGACGACTCTCTACAGAGGGCTGGATGAGTATCCTGTCCTGGCTCATGAGGGATCGATCATTCCATTAGATGCAGAGGCTGCTCCTAAGAACGGCTGCACCAACCCAACTGCATACGAAGTTCTCGTTGTCGTTGGCCAGGATGGCGAAGCCAGTGTGATTGAAGATCCCAAAGATGATGAAACGTCTTCCACATCTGATCAACGGAAATACACGATTAAATTCGACCAGAACGACGGAAAGGTGTCTGCTACCGTGGCGGGCAAATCGTGGTCATTCCGCTTCCTGGCAGTCACGTCCATTCCCAAGGACCTCCGAGTCACCATAAACGGGGCCGATCGCACCAAGGAGGCCTCAGTAAAGGTGGAAATCTATCCAAAGACGCCAAGTCTGGTGGTTGAATGTCCCTCTCTATCCGACGGGGACAACGAAATCGTCATCGAGCTCGGTGCCAACCCCCAACTGAGTGTTATGGACCACAAAGCACGTATCGAGAAGCTCCTCATGGACTACCAGATCGAGTTCAAGTTGAAAGATAGACTGTGGGAAATTGTGGAGAGTTTAAAGAAGCACCCTATCAACAGTTCGATTGGAAAGTTGATGGCGTTGGGATATGATGAAGCTATTACCGGGCCTATTGCCGAGTTGCTGTTGGCTGATAGTCGTGCTGTTCATGTTTAGGCAGTATGTTAATAGAATAATAGGATGATGGTTTCTCACAGGATATAGTGGAATGGTATATCGTACTCCAGCATGAGTCCGCCGTGACTCGGTCCTGACACCACTGCACTGCCCTCCGGGAATAATACCGTTTCAGAAACAAATCAAAACGAATCGCTTGGAGGATATCCAATGACCCAGCCAGATCTAGCTGCGTTTCCAGCCATTCGATGCTTTTGATATTCCAATAATTTCTGAGGGAATCATCTGCGAAACCTCATATTTTCCGCTAGGCTTAGGTCAGATAAAGTTCGAGGGAGGACAAAGTCTTGGGTTTATACAGTCTTTTCTGATTTTTCTGGCTTTTCTGGCTTTTGATCTTTTTGATCCTTTTATTCCAGTCCTCGATGGTAGGCTCTCAGAATAACCTTATCAAGTTGAGACGCATTGTTGTGGTCTCTGCGTGGTGTGGTAGTAGAAGAGAATGGATTTTTATCAAATCAACAATGGAATACACGTGTATAAGCATCATGTTCATGTCATGGATGGCGGGATGATGACTACATGCAAGACATGACGTTGCAATGCCGCCTGATATTGTAAACCTGCCTAATAATAAGAGCGAACTAGTATTAAATCCATTCATCATTTAAAGGTAGGCCTGCGCTATGCAGCAGGGCTACGGACGAACGTATATACAGCCATTCCACATATCAGAACGAATAAGGATATCGGTCCAATTTAATCCATATGGTTGAAACACTGTCATTTATTATAGTACGGAGATAATATCCCATGTCCAGCCCTCAATGTGTTTGCTAATGCAGACTGTTGACGTGGCAACAGACGATAGGCAGCAGTATAGAACATCACTCATTTCCAGTTATTGAAGAGCATATAGTGTCAATATCGCCAATTACTAGAAAAATATCCTAATAATATACCATTATCATGTCCTCTACTCCTCCGCCTCCTCCCCCACCACTCATTATACGCACCACTCCTTTGATCCCCAAACCGGCAGTCCCCTCAGCAGGTCCTCCTGGGGCATTCCTGGTCGAGCTGTTGGTCTTCAACGGCTCACCGTTTGCAGACCATTGGGCGTACTGGATACGTTCGCATGCCAATCCCGATATTGGCGTTCAGATACACGCAGACGGGGACGTCAGAACTGGCTTCAGGTTTGAAATCAAACGAAGTCGAGATCTCCGCGATGATTCGCCGACGACGACAATCCCGCTGCAGTGGGTTAGTGGGAGATACTTTGATGAGGAGGCGATGTTGAATTATAGAGAGGCGATGATTGATAATGTTCCTGTTTGTGGTTTCGAGGCGAGTGCATACAAGGTCAAGGCGCCTGAGAAGTCTCTGAATGCGATTGATGAGACTGTAGGTTTCCTTTGTGGGATATAGAACAGCAGCTAACTGAATATAGGTTTCACCGGGAAGGATTGGCAAGAGAATCACTCAAAGAAACTGCCAGACGTGGATTGTGGAGGCTGCCGATCAGCTGGTTGAGGATGGTATATTCAGCAAGGAAGTTGCTTCTTATCTTCATGGCATCAAGCAGTGATTGTATACAAGATGAACATACTCTTCAAAACAACTACCCCAGCTTAATCTCCGCCCATGTTTTCTCTCTGAAGGCAGCCTGAAATACCTTGCCCAATCCTGCTCTCTCCCACAGTCCTCGTTCTACATTTCTTTCCAGCAGCAGCACATAGTATAGATCCCACTCCGACTCATCTCTCTCTTTGGGGATATAATATGTCCACACAGGACACTCATCATCAGTGAATCGCTTTGCTTCGGAAATGGCAATGAACGAAAATATATGAGCCTCTCGTCGATGAATCCACTTTTCATCCAGAACGATAGACCCGCACCAGTCGCCGTTCTTGTCCACAATATCACACTGACACAGCCCAGTATCTGACTGCTTTGTGCTGTCCATATCGGAATCGCGTATCACGATATGCAGCTCCGTCCGCCACGTCCAGAACTGAAGAATCGGCATGAATTTCTTCTGCGACCAGTTCTTTTTGCGCCCAGATGGCCGTTTCCAAATCACCCCAAAGGGATTATCAGGAAGGATGGCTTGGAATTTGTTTTCATCTTCTTGGGGAATGTCTCCCGTGAGAGTCCGACCGTATTTGTCTGTGTGCGTGCCCTTCGCATCTGATGCTGCGTCAACCGGCCTCTCCCTCGTGATGATCCGTGTATTGGGTCCTCGATGCAGTGTATATGCTTCCGAACTCGAGCTGTCGCTCGTCACCTGCTCGTCCTCTGTGCTATCCTTGCTGGGCTCCGGGGATGGCGATCTTCTTCGACGTGAGACAACCGCTGTGAGAACTTTTAGCATTGCACGAACTTCTGCGAGTTGGGATTCTGTAGACTGACTTCTTTCCGAGACTGGTGAAGGACTCTTTCGATCCCTAGAGCGTCTGCGCACAGATTGGCTCGAGTATGAATCTGGCTGGGGCGAGCTGTGGATGAGGCGTCTTGGACGGCGACGCGACGAACGCGGGGGACTCGGGGTCGCAATGCGTTCTCTGGGACGTACATGAACGACTTCCTCATAGTATGCCCAGTCTTCCTTGTCTTCCTTGTCCTTGGATCGATTGCGTCGTCGATGAACTGGATCATAGTCATTCGCCACCACGATGCGGTTGCTCTGTCGGGCAGTATAGCGTCTGTTATCCATTGCGACATCGATACTCGGCGGGCCTTGACGACATTGAACCGAATATCCTTTCCATCTTGCATCCACTTCGGCTTCTTCCTCAATTCTGAGATGGCGGAGAGAACGGGTGCCAGTCTTCTGGAACAGGATCTCCCAGAGAGGTTGCAAATGTCCTCTCTCATCGCGAATATGCCACTGAATCCAGGTGTGTTTCGTCAGCCATTCATGAACATTTTGCAGGCAATCATCCAGCATGCCAGACTGATATTCACTACGTGCCCCCATCCACCCTGACCAGGACCAGGTTGGGAACTCAAGTCCACCGAAAGATTCCTGATCGGCATGGCAGGTGCAGTTTCCCAGCTCATCTACCGTGCAGCTTCTCTTGTCATGGTCGGATTCTCGTCGGGCTTTTCTCTGCTTCAACTTTTCCAACGGCACCCAGAGGAGTGCAAGGTCAAAGTGCGACGCAGGCAGTCCAAACAGAAAAGGGGTGTCCATGTGTCGTTCCAACAGCCACGAGATGCCCTGGAAGGCAGCAAGAATGTCGCGCTGTTTAGTCAATAGCCGACCAGTATACATGCTGATGTACGACATGTAGAACCAGAGGGGGCGTTGCTTCAATTCCCCCAGTGTCCGAAGGGGAGAGTTGATTCTGTCTAGTGACCAACCTTTGTTGTTTCCATCCGTGTGAATATCCTGCGAGATATTCGTCGAGCGACACTGCCAGTATGCTCGCCCTTCAGCAAACACCAGACAGCGACGAGAGAGAATTCGTTCCTGGAACGTCCATGCGCGCTTATTCCATGCGGAATCGCTCACCACTGCTTCCAGAGGTCTCGTTATCATCAAGCGTACACCAGGACCACAGTCAGCAGTCATGGGCTGTGAGTCCTGGTCATCCTGGCTTGCTGTCTCGGATAATGAAGCCATTGCCTCTTTTGTACTTGCTGCTGGATACATGGCTCGCACGACTGGCGTCGCTGCGCGCAGGCCGACCGAGGAGTCATCTCCATCTGCGGCACAAATGGTGAAATGTGCATTGCCGTAGACAAGATGCATGGCGTCTGCGTTCAACTGCCATGAGCTGTGGCTGTCTTGGACGATGCACAGCGAGTCAATCCAGAGGTAACGGTATCCGAGTCGACTCACCAGCAGGATGGCGTCTTGGATCGTCCGTGGCAGTTTATCCCAGGCAGTCTCTATTCCTCCGTGGAGAATATGCGTCATGACATTCAGTCGGGTTGTCACATAAGGTGGTTCTTCTTGAGCCTTTCGACCCCAGACATAACTCAGTGCAATATACGGCTCTGGCGTCCCATCCTTGACGGGCAGCGATTTCAGCTGCATGTCGGCCACGTCGATGACGCCAAAGTACGTTTCGCCGATGAGCTTCTTGAACTCCCTGTGAGTACCATGATTGTCACAGCACACCTCTCCATGGTCTTTCAGGCAAAGATCAATCCAGCTCTTGATGAGCGCCTGCTTCTCTTTACGGTCGCCGAACCCACGACCCAGAAAATGCGTCTCTCTCTCCCATCTGGCAGACGCATCTGAATTCGGCCGTAGAGGATCTCTGGGTGCAACAAGAACCATATACACCTCTCGACGATGGCCTGTAGTCTCCTCCCAGCTGAGTCTGACCCGGCGAGTGCTATTGACAAAACGAGAGCCTGATTGCGCTTCCCGACCGTGGACTTCCCAGCCCAGAGAGCAGACAGTTGTGTCATTGACCTTGTCTTTTCCATATCGCTGGATAGCTCTGTAAATAAGCCCACAGAGTGAGCAGACATCCCGATTAGCATGCAGGGTTTTCAGATTAGCAAAGTTCTTCCAGCTTTGGCCTGATTTCAGCCGGAATTTGTCCTTTGCTTTTCTGGGCTCATAGCGTTGTGGATCGTGGGGAATGTTGGTGGTGGTATGTTTGTTGATGATGAATTTATCCACTGTTAGATCTAGTCCTTTGCATCGTGAACACAGGAGAGTCTGTCATTCTCAGCATAATGTCTTATTATCAGTGAGTTATCTCACCTTTGTCTCCGTATTATCCGACACCGCAGTCGTACTCATATCCTCACTTTCAGGGATCTCCATCGCGACGTCGATTCTACGGTCGGAAGTGGGGGAAATAGAGAGAAAAGAGGCATTCTGTCTTTCTCAAGTCTTCAGGCAGTTATTATTATCTCCTGCAAATCTCAGTTGGATGTTTTTAGCGCTGGTTATACGAGGTGGCTGGGTTTTACGACCCCGCCATATGCTAGTGCTGACAATATGTAGACAAACTTGGAAGATGAGAACTGGTTTTGGAATAACAATGGCATTATAGCAACTTTTCTATCTAAGTTATTGGCACCATATGATTCTAGCTGCGTGAAGACAATTTGGGTAATCTGCAGTGTTCCTTCCAACCTGAGTCCATATGTTCCGTGATATATATTTCATCATTTCCGAATAGATTGACTTCATCATGACACTCATCTGTCCCTATAAAGTATTTTCGTCTTGAATGACATTTTCAACTCTCAACACCTTTGATAAAAAATATAATCGCAAAATGCTGGCGGCACAGACTTCCTACACACTCGTTGCCTTTTGCGGCGACACTGACGACGTGGCCCTTGCTACAGACTTTATCCAGATATCAAAAAGATTCATCGAAGGTGGGCTGAAGCCAACGTGTCTTTCGTCAAGAAATATTGAAGAAACAACCAGCAGCACCAAGAAGTTACCATCAAATACAGAGAAACCGTTCTATCAAGTCACAAGGCCAGAAGATCTAAAGCAACAGATCCTAAACTGGACGACAAACATATCTCCTCATCTACACAGTGGTGACCGAGTCATCATCGTCCTCATTGGTAATGGCACCAGAAACAGGCCTGACTTTATCATCAACTCAGAACATGGTCGCGAGTTCTTGACCAGAACCGAAGTCACTGCCTCGCTGTCAACAATCCCGAAAGATGTAGGCCTGCTGATCATCAGCGAAGTGTGCTTTACAAAATCTTGGAGGGCCGATCGACCTGAAAGCACGCGGTATTTATCAGCTAGATATGTGGCTGCCTACGTTGAAGAGCTCATCACATATGAAGAAGGGCGAATCCTGGACCACAGTTGCTTGAGAGAAGAGGAAATGCAGCATATTGCATCGGATTATGGAACGTGCAAACTACCAGGCTCTTCTAGGGGCCTGTGTCGGAATATGACGCACTTTAGTCTCTCGCCAGATGTTGCGAATGCCATAGTCGAAATTGCATTTAATGAACATCGCTTTAAATACACACTCTTGCCTCTCACAGATCCATACACTCCTTGGAGCAGACGGCGACAGAATATACCATCAGACGTCAAAATCCCAATGGAAGCTCCTGATGGGTTGGATATGCAACGAGCTGTGATGGAGGCATTTTTAGATGACATGGGCAAGATGAAAGGATATGCCTGCCAGAAAGGGTTCGGCCTGGGAGTGCTATGCCAGGCTGCTCTTACCAACAGCAGCACTGCAGATAGACAAGTGGAACGAACAGTCAACACTATTGCATGGCAGGCGACGCAGGTCCTCCGTGTGTGGCATGCTATCAATCGTCTAGTGGATAAAGGCTTGATTGCACATGCTCTCGACCCGGAGAAGGCCCAAAATCACAATAGTCTTCGCTGTATTTACTCTGATGATATGATGGGTAAATGGTTTTATGGCAGCCCAGAAGTGTCGTCTTTAAGATTCCCTCCATCGGAGGAAGACTACTTCCCAGTGGACAATGATGAGGCTGTTCAATATCTTCCAGATGCTCTGACTTGCAACCATGATGTTTATCGATTCAAATTTAAAGGATGGAGGCTTGATGGCAGCATCAGGAGTACAGGAAAAGCGTCATGGAGCTGGCCGGCCCGGTGTCGACAGTGGGGCTTTAAATGGATTTTATGTGTGTATTACTAGTCTATTAGGATGTTTAATACAATTGCCTTACCGTTAGCCAATCCAGATCGTAGGCTCTTTGAGCTTCTCGCGGGCCTCCTTTTCCTTTTCTTTATCTCTTGGTTGCATCCATAGATCTACAAGTGATGGGCAATTGTCAACATCATCGCACCACCGCCCCTCATGCTCCTCCAGCACCAGGGCTTGCTCCTCCATGGTTCGCATATTCGCCAGACGTCGCATCATACCGTCAATTTCAGTCAAAGGATGCAAATGATCATAATTAAATACCGTCACCCCTCCACGACTAGGGAATCCAACTTTCCGAAAAATCTCAAAATCGTAATCGGACAGGAGCGCGCGTGCAGAAACAGGGCAAGTACCGGCCATGTGACGGTCAACCGTGGACTGGCTGGCCCATTTGCCTCCGAATATGCGGAGTCTATCGCAGAAATCATCTTCTTCTGCCTGTCTGCCTGAACGGCTGGATGGTGTGAAGCGATCGATGTTGAGATAATCCAGCTCCACGGGACTGAGATGTGTCATCCAGATTCCGCCGGTGGATGGATAGCAGGACACGACTTGGGTCTCCCCAGTGGGATTGTACCGATCAGTAGGAGAGGGACATGTTTGATGTTTCTGTTTGAATGCAGATGGCGGGTTGACGGGCTCTGTTTGGGGTGACTGTTGGTCGGGGTTGTCGGGGGTGATCTTGGAGACATCGGTGATGCTGGATGGTCGATGCCAGATGATTGCGAGGGGGAGTATAGAGAAGAGGAGAAGAACAAGAAGAATATGTCGTGTTTGGAACATTATATGCCATACATAACTCTCTGATCTGTCTAGAGTAGTAATGATGGTCTATGAATCTACTGCAAACTGCGTTGTTGCCAGATATCTCTGCGTGGCAGTGCATCCACCACTGTGGAGTAACACGTTGCTTTAATCCATGGTTCATACAACCCTGCCTTGATTATACAGCATATCTTGCTCATTCATATCCAGAACAGCATATTCCGAGTAGATATCCGAGAACCCTTCTCAACCCAGGATACAGTTTATACTGTAAATACCCTCTAGCCGAACCAGATAACCGGCTTCTGGTCTTTATCCTCCTCGAGAACCTCCTTTGCCCTATCCCGGGGCTCGTACAACAAATCCCTCAATGGGGGACAACTATGAATATATCTGCAATAATCGGCCCCCATCCTCTCCAACACCAGGCATTGCTCTTCCATTGTCAACACATTATCTAGTCCCTTATCGGAACCATCATATCCCCACCATTCACGGTACCGCTCCCCATGCAGCACCCACACACCCCCATACTCAGGGAGCCCAACTTCCCGGTGAATGTCCAGAGAATTCATCCTCATCGCGTATTGCAACTCATACGGATCGCAATAGCTGGATCTGTGCATGGCAATCATGGCGCTACTTGTCCATTTACCCCCGAATACACGGAGCTTGTTGCAAAATTGATCTTCCTCTGTCTGGTTATAGGAGCGGGTGGAGGGATGGAAACGGTCGATGTTGAGATATTTCAGGCCAATTGGCTTCAGATTTACACTCCATATGCCGCCGCTGGAGGGGTAGCAGAAGACATCGTTCTGACCGGGGGTATAGCGGGTGGTCGGAGGGGGGCAGCCGTTTGTTTCTTCGTATAGTGGCCTGCCAAGGTCTGATGGTGATGAGTGCCTCCGGGCTTTTGAGCGGACAGATGTGGTGATATCGGTCAAGATGGATGGTTGTTTCCAGAGTATAGAGAGGGGGAGTATGACGAGGAACAGGAAGAGGAGATGTCGTGGTTTGACGATTTTGCTGTTCATGGCTTGGCGTATTCGGAATGGAAATAATAATGAAATTATTCTACATATGCCCGAGTAACTACAGCCTCGTATATATAGACATTCTCTTGTTGACAGATATGTCAATTGATGTCGATACTATGACAGCCTTGTGTGGCAATGCAATCACTGCCGATCAACATATTGCTTTGATGGATGATTCATATGATTCATATTTAATGCAGTGTTAGACAGCCTGTATTCCCAACCCATATAAATCAAAGTACTGCAGGATGATGTGTCTATGTTATACTTGGAGTGGTAACTTTGGATTAATGGAATGGGATGGAATTGTGCCGAACAACCTTTCCTTTGGCAGTCAGCAGATTGAGTCAGAGCGAACAATGTGGATTTTTTACTTCCTGGTGATTCTGATCTATATATTACATTTATTAAGCCCAGTTAGTTCAATCGCCTGCCTGTAGTGTGGTATGGTGATGTATATTGCCATCTCATCCTCTGCTGGGTCTGGATATCCCCACTTTTCTAATCGGGTGCGCGAAAGAGAGTGGATATAAAGGCACGGAACTCCCACTCGATCACCCCGCAGTCATCAACACACTACACCATGGCGTCTAATTACTTTCCAACCGTTGCTCGCCCCTCCACAGAAGACTTGAAGCAATTCTATGTCGGCAAGGATATTGCAGATGTGCCCAAGCCGGCTGTCGTTCTTGATGTCGCAATTATCAAAAGACATTGCCAGGCGATGCTGGAGACCGTGAGGGCTTTGAATGTGGGGTTCAGAGTGCATGTCAAATCACACAAGGTGAGATTTTCGGACGCCTGCTATGTATAGAGCTGACCACAGTAGACGTCTCAAATAGCCCGACTGCAGGTCGGCGATGACGGAGATACCAATTTCATCGCATCAACAATCCCCGAGATTGAAACTTTAGTCCCTCTATTAAAGAGTCTGCAAGAAAATGGTCGCCAGATCAACGTTCTATACGGAATCCCCCTGGTGCCATCGCAGGTTCCCCGACTTGCTACCTTGGCCCGAGAACTAGGTGAAAAGAGTATCACCGTCATGATCGACCATCCAGACCAATTGAACTACCTGGAGAAATTCCATTCCATCGCTGGATTCCCCGCCTGTACTTTTGTCAAGGTCGATGCGGGATATCACCGCGCTGGTCTGCCACCTGCCATGCTAAACAAGAATGGGCTGCTGGAGAAGCTGGCAAAGACAGAAGAATCAGGACATGCCATTTTTCTGGGGGTGTACTCTCATAGTAGTCTTAGCTATGGAGGAAAGACACCAGAAGAAGCCATGTCGCATTTGGCAGGAGAAATCGAAAGTTGCAAAGAAGCCATCAAGTATCACTCGAATTTGTTTCCCAAAGACAGGAAGCTGGTTGTGAGCGTGGGAGCAACACCCCAGGTGGTCTCTTCGAAGAATCTTCTACAGGGCAATGCTACTTCCCAGCAAGATGCTTTGATGGAGCAGCTACATGATCCGTCAGTCAAGGTCGAACTTCATGCAGGCGTCTATCCTTTACTTGACATGCAGCAAGTGGGAACCAACGCGGTATCCAACCTTGGTAAGATAGAGGATGAAATTGCCATTTCCGTGGTTGCAGAGGTATGCAGTGTATACAACAACGGCGAACGATCGAAACCGGAGGCATTGGTAGCAGCTGGGACACTGGCATTGGGAAGAGAACCATGTCAGAGCTATCCAGGATGGGGAGTTGTCTCTTCGTGGCGACAGGAGTCCATATCGTCGCGTCTGATCGTTGGGCGCATCAGCCAGGAGCATGGGATTTTGACTTGGGATGGGGACAGCAGTGATGCACAGATTCCATTACGAATCGGACAGGCTGTGAGGATATATCCTAACCATGCTTGCGTTACTGGTGCATTGTATGACTGGTATCTCGTCGTTGATTCGAGTCAGGAATCAGAGGGATCGAAGATAGTTGATGTTTGGACAAGGGTTGGGGGCTGGTAGTTATGCTATGAAAATCTGAAGTCATCAGGTTATTTACTCTTACATACAGGCATGGTTGTAGCTATTGTTTGGGAGTGGCTTTGCGACCTCATCGTATGATAGAGATTGCCCGTTGAAAATTGCGTCAGAAAATATCAAAACCACGATTGCATGAGCCTCTAGCCACCAAGAGATTGAACGAAGCAATCCTTATTATGATGTAACATTCCTAGACAGAAACTTATACGTGATTTGATCACCGGAAGTTGAGCCTTGCCTAAGCCGGACAGATCGGAATGTCACACAGCAGTTGCTCCCATAATGCTACAGCCTTGTAGATAAGAAACAAACCTATTCAACCTGCATACTCTTTGGGTCACATAAAAATGAGTAAGGAGATAGTGGATGTGAGATGCAGGCAGTGTGGCAAATCGCAGGAAGCGAGGGCTGTATGTCGCACGGTACTGTGCGAATGATGTCTGTACACGGATGTAAACTAGCCCATAGGATCTCATAGAATGAAGTGGTGTGATAGAGTGTTACCCATGAACTATAACTATTATTTTGAGTATCAGGATAGTCTAGACCAACTAGATGACAGTTGCGTATAGGCTGCGTCACAGTCAATTCAGATTAAGAATGTGATTGGCGCCGAAAGGAGGGGTTCGCTTTGGCGGCATCATTTTTATAGCTAATTAGTGATTGTAAATTACATTTGATGCCACTGACCAGTTATAGAAATCGAACATATTTCCACCCGCGTGTGAATTTACCCAGATTTACATTGTAATACCTCAGTTTTTCCTTTCATAGCACACTGGGATTATTTAAGTTAGGGTTATGGGTAAGAAATTTTGGCATACCAGCTAGTGGAGTCAAAATTCTTTGATGTGAAATGGATCTAACGGTGATATTTTGTCACTTCAACTTGCAGAACAGTATACAATATCTGATAAACATATATTAAGCACAACTATAAGAAATCTCAGTGAGGATGGTGCTAAGGGTTTGATAAATGTAGACTTTTTGGTTTGTGTTAGTTTGCTTAATGGTTTTCGCTTAGTAGGGATGCCCTGACCACTTAAATATAAGTTGAGCAAGCCACTGATACTTATATGTATAACAGACAGCTCGAGACATCATGTCACATGAACTTAACCGCCATATAGAAAATTAGATGCAATGAAAACTTGCTTTCAAAATCTTGCCAGTCTTCCATTCGGCCTATAGAATATGTATGGTGCGCAGGAGTGTGTGCGACATCATAAAATTACTGGCTTCCCTCCTTTCCCCTCTCACACCAAATGGTTTTCTCGTTTTTAGATGTGCATATTCTGTTCAGGATATTAAGAACTCAATATATACTTCTAAAGTTAATTTTATATGACAAAGCTGCCATTTCTGAATACGGATGTGACAATTTTCTGATTGCCAAAGAATATAAGGTTGACGTATTTGGGCAATATCCATCATCATTCACAGTCATGACGTAACAAAGTACCTAAATAGCTGCCATCTATGTCGCATTCGGACTCATCAACTTAAACATAAATTATGCATGAAGCTTAGATAGATATTGGGAACTGTCGCGAATAGGGTGTTTCACAAGACGATGCCTACACCTAAGCATACCATATTGTTCCAAACTTATTACTGAAATACACGAGTCCATAGCTAGTTAGGAGTTGGTGTCTAATTTCTTTGCCATGCATATAGCTAAAAACTTCGACCTTTTGATGATCCGTAGGAAATATGGGCCATACTATAGTACATATAACCACGAATAGGATGGTTCACCCTAGCTATAGAAAGATCTAGACCGCGGTTGTTAGCATGAAAGCGCAAAGAGAATGGCCATCTTTAAGTGTAGAAGCATCTAGGTCACTCCTATAGTACCATAGAAACATATAAAGAATAGATTAGTTCTTGGGTATAAATAAACCTGTATTATCCCTGTGGCATCGCCATTGAATCAATCATATTGTATAATACAATCGCCACATATCACAAGCAGCATTGAAAAGATGTTCAGACTACTTATATTTGTCATCCTTGTGTATGGTGAGCCAACTAGTGCCGACCTATATAATACTACTATATCACAAATTTAACTGTTGCTCTCATAGCAATTTTTATATGCGCTGCTTATCCATACCCACAAGGATGTTCGGATAATGTTTGCAATCCTCCACCTCCAACTCAGCCAACTGCTGTAAGTTTATGTTTTAGCATTTCACTTCAAGATGTAGGGCTTGACTAACGCCTACTTTTTAAAGCTGACTAGGATTAGGGAGCTGCTTACAAGGATAGCTAATCTCCTTCGGAGTCTCGCGTAATAGCTGTAAATTATACAGCTAATCTAGTCTATTGTCTTTCTTGTTTGTATTAGTGTAGTAAGGAGCGCGAGATCCTTCCGTTATTCTTCATAATTAATTTATCCTCCTCCATGGGAGTTAATTATAGTAGGCAAAATGATTATAGTAGGCGAAATGATGGTAATGTTCAAATCCTATATATCGACTATATAGTTAGTTTTTAGCGTAAATAGGTAGAGCCGGTTCTATAGACTTCATATAATTTTCCCTGATTTTATATTAAGTCCGGGGTGAGTCTTATAAATCCAATCTTTAGGAGAATACTTATTCATCTGTGAGTGTATAGATACGTTGATACCCTTATGCCCGAGCCGGTCAAGGATTGGGAAATGTACATCAAAGAATTTGAAGCAATTCCTGCTGGTAGAATAGGCCAGGTTGAGGAGATTGTCGATGTGATTGTGTTTCTAGTGTCGCCCAAGATTAGCTATATGTACGGTGCCGATTTAGTGGTGGATGGAGGGTATTGTCTTTGAATTTCATTTATCTATTAAAAGCGATACTAATATATATATCAAGAGAAATGCACCAAAATACTATGCTCATTAATGAAGACATCTTGTTCATCGGACAAGTCACGGCCGACACCAATTGAGGATCCTGCACCGAACAATCCGATCATTCCCAAAATCAAGTCTACTTTTATTAGACTGGCCATTTACACTGAAGCCCACTTCCTGTGAGTATAGAGATTTTCTCGAACTAATTGAAGCTGAAACACATCCACGTGCCGGACGCCGACAAGATAAATCCACATGTCAGGACACCTTGACAATTCCCCGATGCCCAATTTTGAGTATTTCTATCGGATCGTATGGACGGTTGACTAGTATGCATCAGTATATCCATTCATTAAGCACTCTAGCCTCAGGAAATATAAATACTGCTATGGCCTCGGCAATGTAGACTTGACTACACCAAGTCAGTTGCTCTCTTCCGATCCCAACATGTTATTCCACTCTCTTCTCGCACTTCTCTTTGTCCCTCTCGTTGCAGCAAATCCTGTGCCTAGCAATGAGACGTCAATCATTCCTCGCAATGATACCTCCATTCGAAAACGCCAGTTCATATCTGCTAATGATCTGGACATTGGTGGCTGCAAAGACGTCATGTTCATCTTTGCCCGTGGCTCGACAGAGATAGGCAACATGGTATATTAACCCAGCTCTCTATACTATGTCCATAACTGACTTTACAGGGCTCCGTCGTCGGACCAGAAGTTTGCGTCGCCCTGAAAGGTAATTTGGGAGCAGACAAAGTCGGCTGTCAAGGAGTGGGAGGCGCATACACAGCTGGTCTAGTAGAGAATGCTCTACCCCAAAGCACTGCTCCTCAGGCTATTTGGGCAGCGACAAGCTATTTCAAAAAGGCCGCTAGCAAGTGTCCCAATATGAAGATTGTGGCGGGTGGATATAGGTAAGATATCCAGATCGTGTTATAGATGCAATACTAATGACTACCAGTCAAGGATCGGCCGTCATCGATAACTCAGTGCAATCGCTCTCGTCTGATATCAAATCCAAAGTTGTCGGAGTCGTTCTCTTTGGATTTACTCGCAACTTCCAGGACCATGGGCAGATTCCAAACTATCCCAAGGACCAGGTGAAGGTATACTGTGCTCTCGGAGATTTGGTCTGTGACAACACCTTAATCATTACTCCGTCCCATCTTACCTATGGAATCAATGCTGGTGATGCGGCGAGTTTCCTGGCCTCCAAGGTGAAGAGTAGCAGCTGAGTCATTGCGAAGGTTTGATTATGTTCCAGTATTTCATGTCGACATTTGATATTCCGTGCCATTGTCTCCCATACATTGTGTTTTCTGAAAATAAAATTACTTCAAGACAACCAAGAATACCAAGACTACCAAGAGCACAGTAGAATGAGAACAGCACTAAGCGTCTTGCGAGGTTCTCAAAACCCCAAAAATGGACCTCTTGGCGTCAATCCGCCGACTTCGGGAGAATATCGGCCAAGACAACATTTCCGGCTAAACCTCGGGCAAGACGTCAAAAAACGGCAAAGTTCTGTCTCGGAGGATTTCTAAATTCGTCTATTTGAGTCTGCTTTTATGATCTTCCAAGAGCCAAGCTTTGCACTATACCGTAGCCAAGGCTTGATTGATGAGGATCAATACTTTGACAGTGGAATTCCCTCGGCCATGATCGTCTCACATGTCAGGTAATGAGCGATCCGATCACAACACGATAGGTTTGCAAATCACGGGTGCCTGGATATACCGGACATGACATTGGTATGGTTCTTGGGTGAATCGTTGGGGCATTAGGTTGTTTGAAGATCTTAGCCTGATACGAAACTCATGAATTATATGCAGCTAACTATTTCAAGACTGATGAAGTAAAACCAACGCTATCTATCTATTATAAAACTCCCCTTGATATCGACATGGAATTATATACAATAAACAGATCTATTAACAATCACATCGTCATCACAATATACTCTGAAAATCATACATGTGCCATGCTCAACATAACTCGCTTATACAGATAAGTTGAAAAACACAGAGTCGTTAAGCGTTATTTGCGCACGAGAACGATGCGCTGCTTGGGTTGTCGTGGAGGGTCTTTCCGGATGCGTAGAGGCCAACGCCGCACTGTACTCGTTAGATAGATTTATGAAAGAAAGGAGAGTTCAACTTACAATGGTGGCAGTCATACAGATGATAGCAACGTTTATGATGGTCAACACGCCTTGCTTGAAGGAAGTGAAGTAGTTGTTCTTGTTTAGGTGGAGCCACAGAATAGGACCGATGCCGTCTATCACAGTTAGCATACAATCATAAGATAGAAGATGGCAGTCTTACAGGTAAACCAGCTAGAGAATAAAGCAGCCTTGAAGGGTCCAGTTAGTATTTTCGATCTCAACTCGGGAAAATAACATACGATCAAACTCAGCAGATTCTGGAAAACGGGAATAGCTTCCGCAATAACCCAGGCGATAATCCAGAGCAACGCCCCAATGCCAACCCACGAACCAACAGCCACAAAGTCGCGTTTGTGCATACGATCGCTGTTTCGGAAGATGCGCACATAAACATATTTAGCAGCGACATGGCCATTGACCACACCGGCAATGAGAATCTGGGGAGGTTAGAATATCGATTATGCAAGTGACAGAGGGTGAACACACAGTTGGAAGGGCAATACCGTATGCCACTTTGCGGACGATGGGAGAAGCAGAGCCGAGGGCTGGAGACGCGACATCGGCGCCTGCGTAGTAGTAGAGGACGACAGTAGCCGCAATGTAAAGACAGATTTCGATTCCTTGAAGCATGAAGAGCGATTTGGGGAATTCCTTGACGTCCTTTAGTTCGGAAGCGAAACCGAAAAAACACGCATGGGCCGCTGGATATTGTTAGAGATGCCATATATACTTTGAGACTGAGACATACCAAAAGCAAAGACAATGTTGCAAACAGCATTAAAAGCATCGGCCAGGGTGGTGTCGACTGTCGCTTGGATATTTGTGCCACCTTTGTTGTCGACGCCAATACCAATCATGGCCACGATCACAGCAATCAGAATACTGAAAAAGGCTGCTCATCGTCAATAGGATACACCAGAGGTCCAGCATCGATACTTACACCCAACCGAAAGCCAGGACATCTCGCCGGATGTCCGAGGCAAGCAACAGATGAACGAGACAACCATCCCAATCACCCCAAAGACAATCGAGCAAGTTCCATGGTCAGTGATGGTGTTCATGGCCACGCTGAATGTCAGGAGGTGACTGGCCATGATGAAGATGAGAATCAAGAGTTGACCATTTCCGAGCAGTTCCTGACCAAATCGTCCTGCAATGATGCCACCCGCGTCACCCATACTGTGCGCCTGGGGATATCTCCATTTAAACTGTCCAATGCTGTATCCGGTGTAGGTGGCGATGATTCCGAGTCCGACGATGATGATCATACCGCTGCACACGGTCAGTATTTGTCGGCAATGCTCGTTTAAGAAGAACGTACGGCACAAATCCCAGCGCAGCCACGACAGCTGGAAGCGATAGAATACCGAGCGAGACCGTTTCGGCGACCATGACTGTGATTATTAGAGCTGTTATTGCGATGTCAAGGAGGGGTTCGTACGCATGCTGCATTGCCTATTGTCGAGTGTGTTAGTCAATTGTCAACCTATACGTTGAGAGAGCACTCACCACCAGCTCAAGACTTTATATTTCACCTCTGCGAACTCCTCATTTCCAAACGCATCTACTTCCTCCCCTGTCTGTTCATGCTTCTCCAAATCCGCATCATGAGAGTCGAATGTAGGCACAATCTCCCTATCGGGGTCGTGGGCTTCGATGGTGTTCACGAACTGGGTCATGTCGATACTGCAGTGAGATTAAGAGTTGAAGTGATCCAGATGACCTCTCACCAGAAGAATGAGACAATGGACAGCTGGAGTGCGTCACTGAATGAGGTCAGAGGAAGAGTGATAATATCAAAATTGACAAAAGAAAGTGTGAAGACTCCACGGTGGATCAGACCATGTCATGCCAACCAGCCAAACCCCCCTTTAGACCAGGGCATCCAGGCTACTTCAAGCAAGAAAATATCTGATCTTGTTTCAAATCCCGAAACTAACCGAGAATTCTCCCTCGATGGGGAACTGGATTTTCGTGTTGTTGAGATGAGTGGGCCTGCGCCCTAGCTGTCTCCAATTTACATCCAGCGCCAGGCACAGACCTGACAGAAGACAGTGCCTGGGTATTCTTATTCAATCTTATTCATGAAATACCTCCATCGAGCAAATAATATGGAAAATATGAACACTAGATATAATCAGAATATTCATTCATGCAGACATCTTTCATGCAGCATGGTGGGTTGGAAATTGGAGATGTGGTTAACCTTGATTTGGACCCATTTTTCGTGCCAACCAGAATTTTCGTTACGATTCTTAAATCGATCGACACCGCAGATCCAACTTGGGAATAAGCGTTTATAGCCTATTTGGTTGGAGTTATTTTATGTTCCTGGAACCATGTGTTCGATAATATTCTAATAGCCTTTCATCACCATAATTCTATTGGTTCCTGTCATGGATCTCTTCAAGATATTTGTTCTTGAGACTATCGCGAGTCATCATAATACCCTTGCCACTATGACCGTGGCAGATGAATCAATTCCCGGTAGAAAAAAATCATCAAATAATCTCCTTGTCTTTTTCATCTAGCAGGAGAGAAAATTTTTATTTTGCTTAACCTCGAAATTCACTGCTTTTTAAAAATATTATTCGCTTCATTGTTTAGCGGATGCTCTCCTTATATATAATGGAAATGGATCTGCAAATGTCCGCAGCAACTGACATACGTGAAATGATTTTTTGGTTAAATGGAAAATATTCAATTTTTACTTGATAATTCTATGCAATTATCTAAAATACTGTATAATAGCAGTCCCCAACGTCTGAAGGCTGGTTGATTATGTGCGTCGATGTATGCCTGAGGAAGCCACGTTTGCTTCGGGGTGTAGGGACGGATACAGATCATATTGTATGCAAGTCTCAATATCATCAGAGCTATTTATTATCATCTGGTAACATCTACATCTGGAATCTCGAAACTGGTAATCCTGAGCAGACAATAGAAAATATAGTTCATTCATGATGAATTTTGGCAGAAACTTGGCTTTTTCTCCCCGACGCTACATGGATTGCACTAGGAGAAGGAACAAAGTCACAGAACAGTACTGTTAGGATATGGAACGTGACTCATAAACAAATTAAGCTAAAGGTTCATGGTAATTGGGAGATGGCGGAAACTGCAGATGGAAGCTAGAATTACGCACTTGTTTACTTTGTTGAAGAAGAACGCGGTGGGTGACTTATGGTGGTGAGAGGCTTTTGGCGCTGGCAGTGGAATTCAGACCAGCCAAGGCTATTTCAAAGGGCAGAATGTTGGGTCTGGGATGTGAGGATGGTCGCATCATGATCATTTGCTTTGGGTGTTCTGAGATGTAAGTATCATGATGTTTTCATGATTACTATTCGATGATAAGGTAGCATGCAGAGCGTAAATTAATCTGAGTCAGAGCAGACCAAGCTGTTTGTTGGCAGCCTCGTCCAGGCATCAAGTGTATATGACCCACTCTTGCTGCCTATCAAGTGAGTCACTGTGCAACATTCTTTGTTCGAGGGTCCTGTCCATGTAATGTGTACGTACTGTTGAATTCGATGTAAACCCCGCATTTCGCCCTTATCTGCCTACAGCCTCATTCTGCTGGAAGATGTATTTAAACACTTTCAAATCACCACAACTCCATCTATTTCAAACCATCCCGTTCCATAAAAGAACCATCCTAATAAACCGCCAAAATGCTTCGCGAAGTCTACTCTGATGACTCTGATGACTCCAATTCCGTCGTCTCCGATTCTGACAATGAAACCGAAAGAGAGTTTTATGAAGTTGGAGTGGAAGACATGAAGCAGTCTCTGGGTAGAATTGATGGTGTTCGTATCTCTTATCACGTCAAAATGCATCCTCTAATATCATTAGATCTACAATCCCAAAACCCGCAAACACCAATACGACGCCTATGATCCTGCACGAGGACCAACCGACGAGAAAAAGGCGTCTGTCCCCAAGGAAAATGGGCAATGGGTGTTGCTCTTGAAGCGGGAGTTTGATGAAAAGCTGAGACTCAAAGAGACTAAGCTTCGTATTAACAGTCCGTTGGTTGCGAAGGCTGTCAAAAAGGTCGCCAAGGGGACTCGAGCTGCTCTTGAGAGAGAGATTGCGGAGTTGTCCTGGCCGAATGATGAAATTCTGCGATACGTGAGTTGCATTTATCTGGCGTGAAATGTGTATGCTGATGATAAGTAGAGGAATGAAATCAAAGAGGCGGCAAAGGAAAAGGGAGAGCTTTCTGTTCAACATGTGGATGTGTTAATGAAGCTGGTGGAGGAACAATATGCCAGTCGCATCAAGGACATGGAGACGATGTTTCCAAAGTATGTGCCTGTCGTTCCATTCATTTGAACAAGACTAACTTACTAGACGCACCTCTACATTCGAAATCCTGCGAGAGGCATTCTGGGCTGGCGATATAGTGATCGACCAGCAGTCAGCAGTTCCCAGGGCCTATCGCGTCGTTGACGTTTCCTATAAAGTGACCATGTGTAATCGGTATCTATCCATAAAAACCAAATTCATCAACTTCAATGGCAAGAAACTCGGCACCGTGAACAGGGAGCTCACTATTGATGACTTTGAGGGCGTCAAGTATCTTCGTGATCTTCCTGTGTGTCATTTGAAGGATCACCCCAACAAGGAGGCCATCACTGAAGCTCTGATCGAACGTGGTCAGAAGTTCCTGTCGTTGAGGGGGCAGAATTATAAATTCCACAGTGGCGTCGCACAGGCGTTGAAGTCATTTGGTTGTTCCAACAAAGCTCATGTAAGTCGTTAGATTTATTTCAGATATAAATATTGACGATACAGGTGCACTCTCGAGTCATGGTGGATGCCGAAACATTCAACAAAAACGAAGCCAACAGCAGCATCTCGGTGTCTTCCATCGACGAAGAACTCGTCAATGGTGAGCCAACAGAGGAACACCTGCTGCTATGCACGCATCAAGTCCCCATTTTTTCTTTTGAGGATAAGTCGTTCTACTGGGCCGATGTCAACAACATTGCTGAAATCAACTTCAACGATGCTGCGTTTGACCATTTGATTCTTCCTTCTAGTCAGAAAGGACTTGTGCGTGCTTTGGTTGAGTCTTATACCAGGGATGAAAGCTTCGATGATTACATTGCTGGTATGCGTCCTATCCATCATGGTGTGACTTTACTAACATTTTCCAGGCAAAGGAAAGGGTCTTATCCTGCTTCTTCACGGACCTCCTGGTGTGGGCAAAACAATGACAGCAGAAGGTATATACACCACGGCATGGCAAGGTCTATGCTAACAATATGAAGCTGTTGCCGATCTATCCAGACGGCCCCTCTACGCCATTACATCTGGCGAACTCGGTGCTTCCCCATCAGACATGGAGACACACCTCCAGAAAGCCCTCGATCTGGCCTCTAGTTACCACGCCGTCCTCCTCCTCGACGAAGCAGACGTCTTCCTCGAGCAACGCTCAACCCACGATCTCGAGCGCAACGCCCTCGTCTCCACCTTCCTCCGCCAGCTCGAGTACTACCAAGGCATCATGTTTCTGACAACCAACCGCGTCAAGGCCTTTGACAAGGCATTCTACTCGCGTATCCACGTTACACTGCATTTCCGGGAGCTCAGCAATGGAACTCGTGAAGAGGTGTGGCGGAACCTGGGTGTCGCGAATAATATTGAACTTGACTGCGTTGCACTTTCAAAGTCGCCGCTTAATGGTCGCCAGATCAAGAATGCGTTTGGCTGTGCGAAGATTTTGGCGAGAGATCAGGGCGAGGAGATGGCGATGAAGCATATGCAGATTGTGTTGGATATGATGAATGCGCCTGGGTTGGATGAGGTTGTGGATGGCTTTGAGTAACCTGATTGTTATGACACTTTATTTATCTCGGAGTGTCGTGAATGATGATTTATGAAGTTATTCTTTATAGAAGAAAACTGCTTGCTGGAATACTTGGTCAAAACCTCCTCTCGTGCATCCTCAGACAGCGACCACAATGCATCCGAATATTGTATCGTCAGCGGCTCACCCTTCAACCCCGCGCCGTCAACGTGGACAATCCAATGCGACGATCGTAACTCTCCACCGACCGAGTCAATCTCTCCCCTCCCTCTGCAGATAAATCAAGAATGAAGTTCGGAACGAGAAATCCAGCAATCCCACGGACAGCTCGTTCCAACTCAAGACTGTCGCCCATGGGAGTTCGCAGATCTTGTACGATATCGCCTTGGTAGACATAATACTAGATGAGTATGAGGGCTGCTTGTTGTCAGTTCACGCTTTCCATTTTTATAAAAAAAAAATTGTGTACCAAATTTCGAAGTGCCGGAGATGTTTGATGTAGTTTTCCATCCGATGCCCCATCCGCATATTTGCCCATGATTCTTTTTCCAGTCGCTGTTCAATGGAGATTCCGACCGGCCGTCGAGATTCTCAGATCCTCCTGGAAGAGTCCTCAATGTTATTTCGTCAGTCATGGCGACAAAAGCTTGACGAACTCCTTTTTTATGGATGAAGATAATTTTAAGAGGACATGAAATGAATCCTTCACGAGGCTGTATTTTATTTTTGGCCCTCTGTCAGTCTGCCAGAGTAGCCCATGGATCTTGCCGATGACGCCTAACTTTTGATTGGGTGGATTGACACGAAACTTCACTGTTGGCTGTAACTGACTGTGGGAATAGGTAATTGACCAATAATATTATCTCCCTTGATCAAATAAAATTGATTTATAATCCCTTATTAATGCCCAATTAGAATGAGCGATAAGCAAGGTAGCATTCCAGGCCTGGAGATAAGATGGTCAAACGTGGGGGATATTGCCTTTCAAACACCTGAAATGTGGGGAAGATGAGCGCTTTATTGAGTTTGGGAAGAAAAAGAGCATACGTGAATGACTATATATCCATTGACCATGAGCTATCCACAAAAACTCTTTCTCAGTGGTATAAAATGCGAAGATGAAGAGCGCCCACATGAAAACCATTTTCTGTCGCGTGGCCCAAGCCCGGAAAGGTCATGGACAGCAGTTTCAACACTTGATCATCACCAGTCCCCATCTGTTTGCGTTTTGCTTCCAGAAGTGACTGAAGTTCACCTCCTTTGAAGGAAATGCCACTGCTTGACTGGACATTCCCTGGGATGCTGGGAAACCGATAGAACAAGCCATCTTTCAGGATATTCTTATCAATTCGCAGATCAACATTTCTGTCGAAGCCATAATACCTGGCATGGCTCATGTAGCTATCAAATGTATTTTGTTCCAGCTTTTCTATCAGCACAATGAAAAACAAGATGGAGGTAAAACATACCGAGTGGAATCTGACATGCAAATCCTGCTTGCCAGTGCTGAGATCTTCATCCCCACATCCTTTGAATACATATTCCACCCCCTTTTGAATATTGGTTCTGAACACCAGTTCCTGGATTACAGTCATCTCTCGATTCCCTCTGTACACACGCTGTTCCACGTAAAGCCGTGGGTTCGGACACTCCTCATCCTGGCTAGCCACGAACACAGTCAACTTGACATGTCCTCTCCGTGATGCATTAGGATGGATGATGTCCATTTCATCTTTCCCCATTAGTCAATTAAGCGATTAAATAGAACTGTGAATGCATACCCCGATAAAAGACCTTTCTAAATCTCTGCCCTGGAATCTCATGGAGATCCGGGCTATCATCGCTACTCATCGAGAATATCGTCAACGGCCGAGGACCATCATAACTCTCGACCGCATATTCGATGGGTCCTTTGAAAATTGAAAAACAAGAGTTGTCATACTTGAGTGGTGTACGCGGACTCGACTTTGGCGCCTTTCCAACACGAGATGCAGTCTTACTGCTGTGGAGGACTTCTTCCCCGGCCTCATTGATATCTACTGCGCTCGCTGGCTCTGGCTTGATTTTCATGGTGGGTTGGCCTTGGTTTCTGGTATATTGAGCACTCGTATGGCACGTCTGGTAGTTCATGTCTATTTAATATGAAAACCTTCTGATCTTTAAATAGTAACAGAGTACCCCTGGACCGACGAAACTGGCGCGTATGTACCATTTATGTTAGTGAGTCTTTTATGGTGTCATGGAAGCCTATAATGGCTGGATTTGCAGGGTATATCACCCATAAAGACAATGGGCGGCAGCTCATGCAAACGAGATCATGACAGGAATAGTAACATGCTTAAACTGCTGAACAGAAAACGCTGTAATTGAAGCCCACCCTGTAACTAACTAAGGCAATACGCTCTTATTAGCATGATCGGCATCTCACATGGGGATGATTGGATGAAACAATATGAACGCGAGGCTGTGCCAGGAGGAGTGACTGTGCCGCATTTATCTCTGCGTTTCCCCTCTCCGCGCTCATAGCTAGTCCGTTGAATTTGATCTTTATATAGGCCCATCAACTGCAATATTTTGCGAAATCCTATTCGACATAAAGAGCGAGCGTTCTAAATATAGTCTGATTGCAACACGATGAAAACAATGTCGGATTTTAGAAATAAAATGTCAGCTCGCAAGATAAGATTCTTACTGCATGCTATTAAGGTATAACGCGTAGCCTCAGGATCTAAGCAGGAAGCATAGGAAATAGTGAAACAGAGAAAAGGCTTGATGTGGCATCGTCGACCTAGCCATGAATTGTATCTTCTGACATCGCAGCGATGTGCAACACACCTGGCTCATCCGCCACCACTTGAATATAGCTTGCGCGAACCGGTCGGACTCGGCACAGAAGATTGGGATATATCATCAGTCGTCTCCCCATCACTGGCCAGCTCCGCCACCACTCGACCGATAGCATGTGGGCTGTTTTTGATGGTTGCCGGAACTTATGGCTCCGTCGTCAATATCGTCGTTTTGAGCGAGGCGACGCTGGGTTCTTCTGCGTGGTTGTTTGCTGACAATACAAACTCATGAGCTCTCTTGTTTGTATATAACCCTCTATCATCTTGGATCTAGTACATATGTATATATTGGACTCCTGTTGCCTTACGTATATTGGCCGATGGCGAGACGATTGCGTTGGACTCAGATGTATCCTCACCTTAAGAATATGTACCTCTGGGCTGGCTTGCCATATAACCTTTCTAATTATTTCCATTATTGACTCAGTCTGCACCCATTAAATACCTCAATAGTCCTATTCGATAACAAAATTTGCCCATTGAGGGCATGCCTTGACCCACAAGCTCAGATATGTGACCGCAAGCCCAACACGCCTGCTGACACCGTTCCGCGTCTCGACCACCATAATATTGACCATAACTTGATACTTTGGATTGACTGGACCTCCATTTTCCTGGAAATAATTGGAAAGAGACTTTCCTTCCGCTTAATTCCAGCACGGCGAGTCACAAGGCTCCAGACCCCAAAGGCGTGACAAGGCACCAGGACAGCTCTTATCGACCCATTCCAGGGAAATAGCCAGTGCATCTAGGTAAGCATTTCCATCCACCCGATGAAGTAACCGGTTGATTCAACGGACAGCCGTGCCACGGTTATGCCATCCTCTGTACGAAGCGGAATGTAGCCGGGGCTACCAGCTGACCTTTGGAGATACTCAAACGGGTAAGCTACATTCACGCGAAGAGACTGCGTGTATGGCATGATGGTATAGCCGCGAGGCGGACCGTAGCTGGTGGGAATCTATTGTCAAGGTGATGGGCAGTTATAGTTCCCGGTGCAATTCCATCTGCATCATCAGAAAGGCGGCCGAGTGATGGCCATTTGGAAAATATTATATCTTCATAAGCCTGCCATGAAGAGCCAGGCCTAAGCTCATCAGGAAGAGCTCCATGAAGACAGCCCTTCCTCCACGCCATTGCTATAACAAGTGGCGCGATTCGCTTTTCATTATCGATCCATGGACGCCCATGGCTCTCGCCCCATAGACCATTCTTCCCCTTGCTCCATAGAGAATGGTTGGATTGGTTTTGAAGCAGGTCCAATGATGACTTGTCAGCCACACTGAATGCGAACGTAGCTAGTGGTTTTGTAAACCCGTGATCTTCATCGAAGCCCCGAATATCGTGCCGCATAGAACCCTTGATAAAGCACCATGACCAGGATGGAAACACCTCATCATTCGTTGATTGTCTGATCGGATATTCTCTGTCTTCCGCTGTCCAAAGAAGCGCTCGGCTCAGATCCTTAAGTGGCAATCCAAACCTATGGCGATTGCCGTATTGTGAATTGAGAATTCCCGTGAAGGCGCAGAGAATGTCTCCGTCAAATGTCAGATCACGAGAGGTAAAGGAACTCACAAGCTCATCGTACGACCATGACTGGAACATGCCACCATCGAACCCTTCTAGAGACGGCCGCAATACGGCATCTTCGATTTCAGGATCTGACTCGCAGTGGTGACACTCGTAGCAGGCAGCCTCTTCAGAAAATGATAGTAATCTAGATGAAAACCGTGCCTCCTGGAAGGTCCATCCGCGAGTAGCCCATTTTGAGACACTAACAAGGTCCGGGTATATCATATGTTGCTGAACAAGGTCTATGCCTTGTGTTTGCTTTGTCACTGGTTGAGATCGTTTGGCCTTTGACACCCCAGGAAGACCATGGGGGGCGTCATTGCCGGCCAGAGCGACAAGGATCACCCAAGATCCCCCGTAGATATCTCCCATAACATTAAATTAATCGTATTTCATGACAGGATCATCTTGCACGATGCACAGTCTGTCCACCCATAGATATGATATGCCCAGTTTACTGCATGCAAGAATTGCATCCCGAACTGTTTCCGGTGGCGAGTATTTTTGAATCAAGGATCCTACCAGCTTCAACTCAGCCATATTGTCGATTGTTAATTGCAGATCATCTCCTGGAGGACTTCCCCAGACGTAGCTTTGAGCAGCATACTGGCAGTTAGTGGGAGCATCCATGATGCACCAATTATCTGTATCAATCACGAGAAGCCCTTGAGGTGCTGTCGACTGATGCTTTGATATCTTCCCATGCTCGTCATCACATTTCTTCAACCATGTAGAGACAGTCACCCAGTTGATCTCCTGTCCAGGCCATTTGTCCAGCTCCAAGTCGTCAACCTCGGAGACGTCTCGGAATCCTAGAAAGTTATGACAGGTATAAGGGTCCTCTAGCGCGATGGTGAGTAAACTAAAGGGGAAAGGTTGACCTAAAGAGAGCATCAATCCATACCAGTTCCCACAAATCCTCTAAAGCCACAGGAGCAGTCACTATCCCCATAATCTCCAGCCAAGTCAGTTTGAAATATCACTTCCGTGGTCGGTCCAATCTCAGAGTCAAGAGCCACCATCTTCGCAATGGGGGCACAAAAGCTACAACGTCGAGCACGTTCTTGCAGCTCCTCAAGGGTTCCAAGATTGAGTTTCATTTTACACATGTTTTCCCGCATACATCCCAGAAGATGTCCTAGTTTCATGTGCTTACAGAAGTCGCATATCAGTGCTTCGGATTGGACAAGGCATTCGTCACAGTTTTAGTGGAAAAGCTCTCTTCGGTATTCTTTAGGATCCTTGCGTCCGGCATAGAAAGTCAGGTACTTGCATAGAGAGCAGGGGCTACTGTCGTCCATTTTAGAAGCTGCTTATGGCCTTGAGGTTGTGTGTTGATAGAATGCCCCTCATTAACCAGGCGTTGTTGACGTGTCAGCAGGCCGTGCCTGGTATCGATGGCCATTTCTATTGGCAGACAGATGCATTTCTACTGTTTAACGAGGATACAGTTCTAGCCAATGAGGACATTCCCTTGGCTTTCTTCATCCCATCCGGTTGCCACGCATTTCTATTATCCTGATTTGTTATATTTCTCTCCTTTAATAATCGGTATGACAGTTAATTAGATTTATACATAGATATAGTAGAGGACCTAACAAATATATTTGCTGGATACTAACTTCCCTTACTTGGTTCACCTTCATTGTTTACATAAAGGATTGCCTCCATTGAGAGGAAGAAATGAGTCTTAAGAGGCATTACTCGAATAAGTGTGTCGGAGCTATAGAAGCTTCCTTAAAGATGCCCACTATATTAGTAGTTCGACTACGCACGAGGAACTAAGTCAAGAAAGGCCCTAAATTAGAAACATATTCCAATAAGATAATATAGAGGCTAAGTTGATATATTTCCAGGTAGAATCTATACAGCTATCACATCCGTGATGTATATATACTCCAACCAACCTAAAGACCATCATGAATACCACGTTCACGATCCTCCTCCACCCTCTTCATATTAACGTCTATCCACCACATATGTCTCGGGTCTTTGATTACCGTTCCCGGTTCCCTCTCCATCCTCCACATATCATCCCACGGCTTAGGGCTAGAGACAAAGTGGATGTTTTTCACCTTGTCAGCATCCCAGATAGCGTCGTGAACGCCCTGCATTGTTTTCAGCGCGTTGTAGATGTACGGCAGCGGAACCCATTTATCAGCAAGAATGTCTGAGAGGAGTGTTTCATCGGCGTGGCTGTAACTCAGCACTGCGGGAGTGGCTAGTTGGGCGAGTATGCGGTCAAAGGTCGCTTGCGATGGGACGGCAACTATAAGACCGCTGTTGAGACCGCCCAGACAGCCGACGGCGGACGGTCCGGCTGTTTGTGCGGCTTCGGGGGTTGTGTTCTGGGAGGTGTAGGAGCAGTTGGATGGATTCCTGAACCATCAGCATAGAGTGTAGTCATAATAGAAGTGGGTGGAACAAACCAAAACTCAGGGACATGCTTTTTCTTCTCCGGATTGCAAATACAGGTATGGCACGCAGCCACGACCCGATCCCCCGTCGTGCCCAGCTCCGGGGGATCCAACTCGACATCCATTAATTCGTCCATGTTCCGACGAATCAACATGTCACTATCGAGCAGGACAATACGGTCATACTCAAACAGCGAAAAGATCGTCAATTTCGACCAGCAGTGGACGAAACGCGGGTCATTAGCGAAATCCACGTCAACGGTAGGCACCAGGTGGTCGACACGCCGCTTTTTGATGCCGCGGGCATCGAGGGCTGCGTGGCCTTCCTCTGGGAAGGAGTCCTGATAGAGGACTAGGAAGGAGTAATTGGAGCCGTGTTTTTTAAGACAGTAGTCGAGTGTTAGGATACCAGGGAGATATTCAATGTTGTCCATATAGGATGCCCATACTGGGGGGTATTAGCGCGGGTTTAGCTAGTTACGGGATATGACTGCCTGCCTTTTTTGCTTTCTGCCATTGCAGTGTAAGTACTTGGATAGATGATGAGGTCGTGGTTATCGGTAGGAGAAAAACACGAGATGTCTTCAGCTCTTCAGCTGCGGCTTAAAAGGTGGGGTTTGTTGATCACAGATATGGGCCAGTCAGAGTTCAGAATGTTCAGAACGGGAACAGCCATGACGCAATAGGGTTTCTCAGCTTTTCTATTACTGTAAGATTCTTGTGGTCTGTACCCTGTCTGGCCTTTTGTAGAATTGGTGTATGTATGGATATTTGGCATTGGTGTCTAATTGAATCAATTTAGTATAATGTATACATGAACTACCACTCCAACTTTGACTTGTCCTGAGAACACGGCGCTGCACCATCCTGTCTCTCCCAATCGTATATTCCCTCACGAGCATGGAAATTATCCTCGTCCCAGTACGCACTTTCCAGCGCCTCCTGCACGCCCACTTCGAGAATCGACTTGGTCAGTGCCCCAACACCCTTGTTCAGAAACCGCATATATTCGTCCAGAATGGGGTATGAGCTCTTCATGACATTATTCGGTTCCGGAACAAAGCATTTATTGTGCTCGTGGGCGCGGCAAAACTGGTTGAATTCGTCGTCGGAGATGAGAAACTTTCTCGCTTCGCGTAGTCTCTTCTCGGATTCATTCTCGTCGTGGGGAACAAGGACCTGGAAACACTTCCACCGGAAGGGTTTAATAGCCGCAATGGAGGCGTTTATGTCCTCGTCAAAGTTGAAACGGTTGATCACTGTGATCAACTTGAACTTGATCCCATGTTCACGACACAGCGCAGAGATCCGAGCCACGTTGCCCACATGCGCGCCTGTTCCCCGTCCGATAAGCATGTTCGTCTCCTCGCGGAACGAGTCACACGAGACGGCAATAATGTTGATATACTGCCCGTATGTTGTTAAGAAGGTACTCGTGAGCTTACTACCATTTGTCACAATCGACACCGACTCGACACCCAGATCCTCCTTGCAGTACTTGATCAGCGACCCGAGGTGCTTTGGGTAGAGGAGGGGCTTGCCGCCGGCAAAGTTGATCTTGCGCATGCCTGCGTTCTTGAGCTGGGCAAGACCCCGTTTGGCCGACTCGAGAGGCTCGACGTCGGATGTTTTCTCAGTATGGAGGCAGAAGCCACATTCGTAGTTGCATTTTCGGGAGAAGTGGTAGTTGACCGAGATGGGGACTTTTGGTGTTTTGCGGTGGAAGAACACCCACAGCCCGATGGCCAGGGCGAGGAGGCCGACAAAGCCGGTGATGAGAATTTCAAATTGGCGTGGAATTTGTAAATTTCTTCGAGGAAAGGACACAGCAGGGTAGTTTATCTGCCTCTGAGCGTGGTAAGAGCGAAAATAATGAACGTCAGCATAGGGTCAACAGCATATTTATACCCGCACGGAAAAAGTCACACTGTGGTTATGTATTATGAACTATTGTTCTCTCATTCGAACAAGAGCAGTTGGTTCCAATACCCTGCCTGATCAACAACGCAATTTCTCAGCTGGGTGTCGATCCCCCCTGTCCCACTTGGATACATAGACTCGTTGAGAAACCAACGACATATCATTGGATATCCCAAATATCATCCATGACTCGGGTGATATTGGGCAGCAGTGATAATCAGCCTGAACTAAGAAGATGGCATCAGGGGGGGGAACATTAGCTCGTGTGTCGATTTTCAGCTGGAAATTGGATGTGCTGCCCTCAGCTGTTATTGCGACGGCGTCCTGTTAACTACACCACCGGAAATAGGGTTTCGCTGGCCTTAATAACATCACTGTCGAATCAATTTGCATAGATATCCAGGCAGTGAGAGACTGCTGTGTGCTTAGCACGGTGCGTGTGATACCGTAGAAGGCTTGTAATGGCCCGGAACTGTCGATTTGGCACCACCTTCCAGGTTTAAAAGAGCAGCCTCTGTCTCTTCTTCAATCTTTTTCAGAGCCTCTCACATCCGCTGAATTGCCCCGGTACATCGGAACAGATCGATAATATGTTGCTTGGCGTGTAGTTAAAGCGGTGTGCCACTTTGCCTTTGTCAGAATATTTCCATGATAACTCTTTTGGCCTTTGGATCGTCCATCAAGTAGGTTTTGGTAGTCGTCTCGGATTTGATACCATCGGCCGAGAAGCTTCCCCAGCTGGGTTAACTGCGAAACTCGGAATTTGGGAAGTCATGCACAGCCTTGCATCATCTGAGTAATCATAATAAACATCGTACCCGTCTTGACATCAACCATGGTTGTATACATCGCAATGGACGGACAGTATATGGTAATCCCTTATTGGGAATCCCAGCTCTAAATCAGTGTCGGGTCCTTCATACAATCAAGGAAGTCTGTCACAAGATCCGGATATTGGGGTTGGTAGGCGGTGATCTTGCATGTAGCTTCTGCGAGCCTGTATGTCCGGCTGCTGATGCACTGCGCCTTCCCAAAGGCGTGATGTGTTGCGGTGAACCTTCGGCGGAGTCTCGATTCATCCTGGATGTCGTCGAGAATTAGGGTTGAGTTGTGGATGTTGTCAATTGCGCTTTTGGTGGTGTCGACTATGTTGTGGACGAGGCAAAACCAGGTGTTCAGGCCGTCCGACTCATGCTCTCATGTTTTTCGATGGGAGGGATTGGATGTAGTGCACTGGATCTAACAGAGCGGGATTGTCCAGGGTTGTAGTGGGTAATTGCAATCCGGCATTTTCGCTCGTTGTGTCAGGTGTAGAGACACTTGTCTCCGTAATGGGCGAGGGGGCTATCTCTGACGAAGAAGTTGTATCTGGCAAGGGGCGGTTGTACCGCTCACGGGCAGCACACCAGACATGATGGCCACCCAGCAAAAGCCCAAGTGATCAGTGACAGTATGATGATTTTACTTTATCTGATAACTTGTCCTTATCTTATGGAACACTGAGCCTTAGCGGAGGACTACCTAGATGTGTATGGTTCAATTTTCGACCTCATTGGACAGGTCAAGCAAGCCATGTGATAGCACCACAAAAGACCATCATTAGCGCTACTAGCTTACTGGAAATGAAACCTACAAATGTGTTCCCGTGCTAAGCCTAGACGACCAATACTAAAGGACGTGACTTTGTGTCTCACTTTAACTTTATGTTAGGTGGAGCGCAGGTGACATAGCTGTCAAAGTTTTCTACTTTCGACTGGCCCTGGCACTAGCGAAGGATTCTCACAGGATCTTGGGCCCCTGAAGACCAACTTGATATTTTGTTTCATCTGTACATATACTCCTTTAGGTTGGTGTCAATTTAGGCACCACACTAACATCTTTAGTGGCATTGACAATGACCATTTCCCTAAAGGGGACCGCTCGGTAATTTAGCATTGATGGATACCAGGAAAAGTTAACATTATTTTGAACCCAAAGGGGCCAACAAGGTGTCAATCCCCGACCAATCTAGATTACCAATCAATATAAGATCACTAATCAATATACTCAACTGTGGGCCGTTGGCATTTGGACAAGCTACTAATCACATCTTGCTGGTTCCATTACGCAAGAAATAACCAATAATACCACGCTATTTAGCTATGCTGCTTAATTTAACCCATTTCATTCTAGGTCATGATACACCAGCTACGTCAATTTGTAGTTGGGCTCTCTTTCCTATACTCAGCACTGCTTGAACTCTTCTATACTTAGCTTATTAAACCTGTGGAATTACCAATCTAAAATGTTAGGAATCTTATATACTTTGATACTTTCCAAAGGACCTGAGGTACGGACACAATATCATGGACAAGTATCATCCTATAGTGTATGACAGTGCATCGGCATATGCACTAAGCAAAACTTACCTGGAACTCAATCACAAAGTTTCCGCGTCCACTTCTTTCCCATAGCATAAGAAACTATCTCAACAGCAGCCGTAAGCTCTATCTACAAAGTACAACTGGTTTTTATGAAATTAGCTTTCTAGTCAGTTGGAAGTGGCAAATACAACCATGCTTGCCTGGGTGGGTTAGTATCTTACCAGAAAGTAGTTGGGTCGACGCGCTAAGCGAACATGGACACGATTTACGCCTTAGGCACTCAGGCTGAGCCGAGCATAACCCGTGCAACCTCCCTCCACGACAAACTCAGCGTAATATCAGGGCCGCTTCTTGGTTTCAATATCTTCACTATTAATAGGTATCCATAATTTAATATAAGGCCACCTCCCTTAGCATGCGGGAGTCTGAACAGGTTATGAAAAGATACTTTCAAAAAGCTGTGGAGAAAGCAATCAGAAACTCGATACACCATAAGTTGACACCATTATGCTATGTGCGGTAAAAACGCCCCATGAATAACGTTTTAATTTGGGAATCTGGGTTTGGCTATAGCAGGGGGTATGTTCCTTTCTGTAGGGTTAGAGGTTAGCCGACTTCTCTGATAATGGAGTAGAGTTGCATCCAGAGTGAGCAACTTCCTTTTTAGAATTTAGAGTTGCCACATAGTTTGAGCATAATTTGCCCTTCGGCAGACTACCGAAAGTTAATTTTTATGAGGCATATGTATAATCGGGGGGGGGGGGAATAAGGCCAAATGAAAAATATGTTGGCAGCAGCTTAATATTTCCGTTTGATACTGGATTAGTATATCGTGCGTCGGACTAATACGGCTTGACTAAGTAGTAGCATGACTTCTTGACTAAATTCCATCGAGTTCAACGCTTCCAAGAAATATATGACGTGGAAATATTAGTGAAATCCTACATCAAGCTATATAGTCTCCACCCATGAATTATTTCCTGTTGCATTATAAAGTAGTTATTCCAGCATTTGGCACCTGAGGCATAGTGGTGAACGCTGTCTGAGCTAACGTAGGTGCCTTCGCCATCATTCCAGCGGCGGTGCTTCCGCTTAAGGAGAGGGCGTTGGAGTATGGGTGACTGTCTGTGAGACAGGCGCTAACAGCGGCGGAAAAGAGGTTAATATAGGTATGGTACATGACAGTATGGTTTCAAGATTAGAGAAAATGAAGAATTTGTCTGTAAGCCTTGAGCCAAAATGAGAATGCAATGGAAGCAAAGTAGAAGAGTGTATGCGTCTTACATGTAGGTAAGTATTCTAAATTTTAGTAGATCTGATCACAAGACAATGAAGGTATACGTAGTGGTCATTGAGAGTGAATCATTCAGTATGGCAGAGTAGGGTTTAATTAGTGCATTGATAGAATTAAACTAGACAAGATCCATCAAGTGACCATGGTTGGTTTATCCTGCCCCCTGCCTCTGCGCCGCCTCCGCCTTGACAAGACGTCTAGCCTGAGCAAGTCATGGGAGATTGCTGCGATAGAATATTAGAGCTGATGAACAATTGCAAACTGTAAAATATGATTTGAAAGCTTAATACTGACCCCACTCTGCGGTTCACAATAATGGTGACTGCCGTCACTCAGCTCAACGTTCATGTTACTGCCGGTAAACCAGTAGTAGGCACCATCACACTTTCCTGGGCCTTTGAGAGGCCCTGCTTTTGTCTCATCGGCGCATGTCCCAGCTGTATTTTTGGTGTGGTCACAGTTTTCCCCATCTAGGAGGACCTGAATGAAAGGTATTTGACCAAGGCCCCCCGGACCGCCGGGGAGCGTTCCCTGACCACATTGAATTGTAAGGCCAGATGCTGCAGTCGAAAGCGCAAATAGAGTCCAGATCCAACTATCAGCAGTTCCTGTCAGTTCATTGAATTGAGCCTAGGCTGGCCGGCAAGGCTGGCCTGGGGATTGGGAGTGGGAATCTATTTACCGAGCCATTATGAATGCAGTTGAACGAAGAATGAGGAGGTATGAAGTAGTTAGACTTTCACAATGCAACTGAGGCGGATCTTGGGAAGGGAGAGAAGAGCTATTTATAATTTTATGTGAGCTGGGAATGTGAAGCCGTAATAAGCCAGCTAGGTTCGGGCAATTTCCTATATGGATAGTAAGACGGGAATCACACCGAGAGCCCCTGAGAGTTATAGTGGCGCAATCTTCAGTCCAGAATACATAGAACCTTTGAAGTTGAATCCTTCGGTGTCGGTGTTTGAATTTGCTGGTCTTCAAAGCCTATATTGGAGTCTAGATCCAAAAACGGCATTCACCGGTGAATCCAGCTCACAGCCACACCCAAACACTAGAATTGAAGGCGTAATAGGATCCCTTTGGATGGATAAGAGTCTTGCAAAAAGCATCAGACACAATTACTGAGAGGGTAAACTTCAGTCCATCCCGGAGATCAAAAACTTTGACATATACCCTTAAAAACCGAAATGCCTCATTGTTTGGCAGTCAAGCTCAGAAAATTATAATGATTTTGAATTTTAACCATCCAGGAACGGATTCTCCTTTCTAAGTGCATACTAGTTGTCTGTCAGAAATTGGCTGACACAGGGAATGAATATGTCATTGAAGGATTGAAACGTTCTCTTGAGCTCTGACACCTCATGTCGTTAAATAATCTCTTGCTATAGTTAACCTTGTTCGTCACAATGGAAGAAATCAGAGTATATACCGTCATGGATGGTGCCCGCCTCAACAACACGGTAGCGTCATCCAGCCGTTCAGGTAGACATTCAGGGAACAGCAGACTACCTCAAGGTACCCATGCGGCCGACACTCGTGTATTGTGGCCTGCAGATTTTATTCCCGTTTAAAATTACACCTTGGACTCACCCTGCAGATATTTTCCCCTGCAGTCCACTCTTTTAAACGGGGGTTGAATATGGACCATATGGGTATAGGGGGGTGGTGACAGTATGATGGTTCTACTTTATCTGAAAATCTGTGCTGGTTCCATGGAACTTGAGCCGTAGCTGTATATCTTGTTATAGATAAAGTATAAAAGTAGTGTTATAGTTATATGTTTCTTAAAAGCTAGTACAGAAAGTAGAAAATATATTCAATAATATCACCCTGTTTATTTGGTATCTACCTAAATAATTCCTAGTGATGTGACAAAAAGCAGCCTGAACGTCTAGCACACCCTCGAGCCACCTACCAATTATTCACCACAGAGAAGCCATGTCACACTCAAAATATACATAGTGGAAACACATATATTGAAATTAAACTGAATTCTAGTATAAAGGAATAAAGAGAAAGTACAGTAAGTTTTAATAATGTAATATTCATTAGGTTGATATCATAACTAACTAAATAAAAAAAACAAAATAAATATCTCAGTATACCAGCCAGGCATGCAACGCGAGGTCGTCACAAGCAACACGCCAGCAAGATAGTAGCGAGGTAGGTAACCACTAGCGAATCCCTGCTGTTGTATATCTTTTGCTTTTGTTCGGTCTTTTTATTGCATGGAATACGTGGCTAATGTTCTCTTGCACGCCATTCGGATTTCCGTCTATGCTGCGGGTATATAACATTTTGAAATCTAGATGTTCTCGTACTACAACATGGCCAATATCTCCCCCCTTTTGTGCAAGCCATGAAACCCCATAACAAGTTCGAAGTACAAATTATATTTTTACCAAATCCGGTTATGGTGGAGCTATTCTACATACATAGTCGTTTGACAGACACAATATAACACTATCAATTTTGTACAGGAAAGTGATGATAACATACTGGGACAAAAACGGTGCCTGGGCCATAAAATAGGAATGATCGTCTGTGGTACTCTCTGTGATGCCTTGCCAGTATATTATCCACGCCTTTTGTTTCTGTCGATATTAGAGTAAATCTGCATGAGCTATTATTGAAAAATTCTTTCTGACAAAAAATTTCGTGCGGTACTTCGTCCAAGGTATGTCGAAACCAAGTGTATCGAATGTTATGACTAGCAGATGTTTTCTTTACCGATATTCATTTGATTATTCAATCAAAACTTGGGCCGATGGACTCGGATTTTTCATCTCGTATGCAATTTCAACTACTCAGTATATACCTTTCGTAAATATATAATCATCATAACCAGTCCTGATTGCGGTACTCATATCCGCACCCCACCTCAATATCTAATACATCAAAAGAAACGGTACCCTCGACCAGCAGTTAGAAGATTATATCTAGACATTTCCCCGCCAGAAACCAGGCCTCAGCCGCGACCCAAAACCAGTCCCATAAATTGAGTAAATTGCAATTATGACACTAACCTAATCCATGACATATCACTGTACCCTGTCGTATGAGGGATTTTGCACCCAAAACACCGTATCCATAAAGACCTCGAAAATAACAGGCAAACAAAACCGCTGCCTTATGATGATGTCGATCTAATCTTGTTCCATCTGCACGTTCAAAGTTCCCACGGGGAACTTGGCGGGGAGAGACCCACGTATCCCCACAGAAACTGGCGGTATGTCAGGCTTTGATTGGCTCGCAGGCCCCTGCCGCATTAGGCCTAGCGTGTGTAGACAGAAAAGGGCAATGCCGTTGCAGATCGATTGAATGCCGAGTGGGCCGTATATCCCGAAGGTGAGGCGGATGAGGCGGACGATAATGCAACGGGATGATGTTGTTAGTATAGATCGGGTCGAACTAGGAGGCGCGTTTGGATAACTGGAATGGGTGGAAGTAACCCGAATACCCCTACTGAAAGTAGGTTCAGTCACGTTAAGAGAAATGTTTGAGTTTCAACTTATGCGTAGTTATATGTCACGGCTGACGATAGGTTATTGTGGACAAAGGGTATGCCTTGGACTGGGCTAGCGGCAATTGTAGGTGGCAATGCGCGAGTTGAAAGTCGAGAAGGGGTTAATGAGAATGTGGCAGAGTGCGTCATACCAGATGATGCCTATGCTCATCTATACCGACGCCATCGGCCTCGGCGACCAAATACAGTTGACCGATATAGTCTACATAACGGTGGTACCTTAACGCCGGAGCCGAAGCGCTGACAAGGACAACAGACTTCCCGATGGCCCGTCCGCTTGGCGTCGGCAGGTGTAAGCAGAAGGCGTCGCCATATTTGAGTTTTGGGGTAGTTGATAGTCCAAAGTGTACCAGGGACTGCGCGATATTCAAAACGTGGAGAGCGGAGAGTCCCCGGTTCACGCCTGACAATCGTTATATCGTCCAATCCAGGCCTGGGTTGGAGCAGGGGTAAAACTGTAAATGGCTATTAACCAAGAGATATCTCAACGCCCAGAATGAGATGTTTCGTTGTCCTGGTTTATCCCCAGAATATGAAAGTCTGGAAGAAGGGGGAAATGGGAAATCTCCGTTTGATCGAATCTGACCGCATGTATCGTAGTTCTCCGAGAAATACCGATAATTATACTAATCAGAATAGCTTAGAGTGTGATATGGGTCACATTTTGACGCCGTAAAAAATATGGCAGCTCGAATATTTACAGTAACTTGCGGTAAAAGTGGAAATGACGAACAATTGAAGTTGTGGGGTGTTTGAAATGCTAACTGAAATTTTTGGTTCAAGTCTATAGACATGGCGAAAGCATATTTACACACTCATGCTGCAGCTTTAATATTGTTACCACGTCACAAGCGTATGTGACTATCCTGACCCCTATTGGGAAAGGCTGTTCTTACGCGAATTCGCCCTCGAGTTCGCCCTTGATGCCGCCCTGGACGCAGTGAACGCTGTGGAAGCCCGACGGCTGTGGACATTTCCTTCCGCTCGAGCGTCGGAGAGTTGCTGGGCGAAGGGCGAGCGCTTTCGTAGAGTTGGTCCGTACCAATAGATGACATAGACGGAAATAACGAGAAGAACAGAGATGCAGACTAGAAGGCAAGGTTAGACTTGAGTATTAAAATGAAGGAAGAATCTTACATAGAATAGTAGAAGCATATTCGAGATGGCGCTCTCCACCGATGTCTATCATTCTTGTTAGTCAATGTAACGCAATTGCTGAGGTTTGACTTACTCGTAAAGAAAGGCGTTGCCGGGACAGTGAGAATACCAGCGAGAATATCACGAGCAAACCCATTCCCACCCGTGGCCGATGCAGCAAATGGTCCGTAGGCACACACCATGTAGTCGATCGTGGTCATGTAGATACTGTAGTTGGCAATACCAACAATGGCCGCGAATACCATCGTTCCAATCCAGTGAACCGGGGGACCTGAACTGGTCCAGGCGAAGCCGATTAATCCGATAGACAAGCAGGGAGCGGTATAGAGAAGCCACCAGAGGCGGGATTCGTATTGTGCCTTCTCGTCGTCTGGCTTCATCTGCCTCTCCTTCATGTTTCTCTTGATCACGGGGAAGAAGGAGATCCAGGCAATGAAATAACCAACAAGGATAGGGATGAATGACAGTCCAACAGCGACGGTGCCGAATCCCCACTGGGCATATACAAGACCGAATGACTGGATAAACATGAAGATGAGGGCATCGCTGAATCCACTCAACAAAGAGAGCGTCAAGACGATAGGTTCAGTCACGAACATCTTGAATGGACGGATCCAAGTACCGATGATCTCCCTCATTGAGAACCGATCCTTGAACGACACCACCTCATTTGGACCATAGACTCTAGAATCACCGTTCTTCCTCTTCTTCTTTGCAATGTTATCCATCATGATGGTTGTGCGGGTCTCGGGCACGATGAGCAGATGCAAAATCTGCACAAACCCCCCAAAGATGAGCTGTATCCAGATCGCCCACCTCCATTCAAGATATTCCTCCACGAATCCACCCACCACTGGGCCAATAACAGAGCCACCAACTGAGGAGAAGACGACACAAGCAACAGCATATTGCTGATCATCAGCCTCCCATAGATCAGCGACCATTCCAAGAGTGACAGAACCACCAGCTAAACTGATACCCCCAAATGCACGACCAACCATGATAGTCGCAAAGTTCGGTGCGAGTGCGACAGGCAGTTGCCACAGGTTGACCAGCAGCATACTCAACTGCAGAATCGGCTTGCGTCCTAGCTCTTCACTCCAGGGAGCCCACAATTCGCAACCAAATGCATATGTGACGAGGTATATCATGGCACCGCAGCGAGCAGCCTGCATGCTGACTCCAAATTCTTCCGAAATACCACCCAAAGCATTGGAATAGAGACTCGTGTTGAAGTTCATCGATGTTTGGACCAGGAAGATGACCGAAAGAATCATCCACTTTTTCCAGGTGGGGAAACAAAACCCTAGCTCTTCATAGCAGTCTTCCTCTCTGAGGATGATTTTCGAGCCTGAGTATTCAAGTTGATCAAGAGTTCCCTTTCCGTCATAGTTGAAGGCCTTTTGTGGAGGGACTTCAGAGACCCCATCTGTATTGGAAGAGGAATCCATGTTTGCCATACTCACGTCGATATGAGTGGTAAGGCTAGGAGGTGGAGGAAAGCGGTGGATAGGAGGATGGAGAAAGATAGGAAAGAAAGTGTGAGAAGAAAGAAAGAAAAATCCGGATCTGTCAAGTATATAAAACAATAATGTTCCCAACCAACGCCAGTCAAGCTATGACGCTGTGTGGCGTGCGATACAGGGTTACATCTTCAACAAAACGACGATATTCGTCTGGTTAACCCGTTTCGAGCAACTCGAGTGTATATCAGGATAGTCATCTCCACCTCCTGCTTGACCCATGGGGTTGTGAAGCGGGATGCCGGCTTACTTTCGTCGGTACCCACACTTCCCCGACATTTGGAGTCTGGCTTGCTTTCCATCTCCACCGGTATTAATACTCACACATGGTTTTTGTCGTTATTATCATACTAGCACTACTGTTTCTATCCTTTGACAGCAGAGTGCAGACGTTAGCTTCTTTTGGTTTCACCCGTGTTGGCCGATGGCTGTGGGATTCGGGCTAGGATGGCCTGTTCCGGGAGGAGTGACTTTGGGGTCCCCGCTTCATTGACAGATCTGGATTCGGAGGTTGTCCGAGTACTTGCGATGTCGCATGGTAGCTTCAAAGTGATGAACGTATCGACTCATGGCCTCTTCTTCATATCAACGCATAAATCAAATCCCCGAATGTTTAATGGATGGACCGAATGTAAAAATGCATCGATGCAGCAAGACATGGCCTGTTCTGAGCAGATACTGTGAGTCACCCGATATCCCAAGTCGGCATGTATGCATTCGGCGACTCCGACATTCCAGGCGGAATCCAGTAATGTTCCTGTTGATAGAGTTCAGGTCCACCGGTGAAGGTAATGACTTCCCCCGCAAAAGCGCATTGATTAGTTGGTTATTCCCCACGCCCTGGTGGCGTCGATTACACATAAAAGCAAATTCAAGTAAGAAAAAAAACTCTCGCGATATAAAATTCTGCTTTCCGATGCCCGTCGCAATGCCGCTTTTGCCACCCGGTTTGAGGCCACCTCGGGCCGTGGAAAAGGCACGATCCAACCAGATGCACGGCTGATGCTGTCGGCACAGATCAACAGGGTAGTGGCAATAGCAGCATGGCAGGGTTCCTGCATAACAGTCTGGTATTTTCTAGAAGCCATTCAGGTTAGTGCTGTAAATTACTGATCCCGAATACCTCAGTGCTGTATCAATATTTGCGATACCAAGATCATGATTTCAGTTAATTTCATTTCTCACTGCCGGCTCAGTGTCATACTCGAATTAATATTCCTAATTATGCAAGGAAATGGGTGATCACAATAGCTTAGGCAAAATATGCCAATCTCGGCAAACTCGTTCGTACTGGTGGTGCTCGTGGGTTGGGTCTTGTCATGGCTCAGGTGATCACATTGAGTTTTGATATTGTCACGATTTGAACTGTATATAGTAACGTGAATATATCCATCGCCACCTCCATGCTAATCTTATTAGACTTCATAACATCACCCCACACTACTCCGCTGTCTCAACCCGTAACTTCAATAAATGCCGGAAGAAAACTTCGAACAACACGGTCGGATCGACTATCTGGTCACTTCGGCCGGCTTTGCAGAGAATCTCGACGCCATCCACTACCCCAACGAGCGTATGCAAAAATACCGGGGCGTCACTGTTGATGGCACATATGTCTTCGCGGTTGGTGTTGCAAGACATCCCATCTGGCGCAAAGCTTAGACAACGGTCGTTACACTCTGACTTGAATCTTATGAGAGTTAGATACATGCGACTAGATATAGAGTAGGACATATGAATGGTACCCTCGTTGGTCTTGGGCGGTTCCATTTGTGAGATGATCCAAGTTAATTCAACCTGACCCAGATGAATAGGCATCTTCTCCACTCATTCTTTCTATTCCCAGAATATTTCATCTCTGCTTCCTACATCTGATCAGCTTCAAGCTTTCTCGCAATATGAAGCCAGTCAGCCAGCTAATTTCAAGACCGCTCTCACGTCTTGTCAAAGACAAATGGAGGGTCTAATATTTCCATCTCAAATGAGAACATTTCAGCCCGTTTTTTATACGAGCTGGAAGGCTTTGAGAGGCATGTACCAGCTACCCGCCAATCTGTTGACCTCAACTCTGATGTTGTTTTCACGATGATGCAAAGAAAAATTTCTTTATTAGTATCAGGTTTGCTCTAACAGGGCGCCTTGAGAAACGCATCTGCGATGCAGTATTAAGAGTTCTGGCAGTCACTGAATTCTTACATGTCACCTTCAGTAGCTATCATACTGTATACCTAAACAGTGGAGCATATTGATATCAATGCATAATATAGAATGAGGGGCTGACTAGTCTTCAACTTTGTACCCAGAAAAACCGATAAGAATGCTAACCAGAAAAGACATGATAGACTCGCTGCGATAAGAATAAATAGGAGACCAGGGTAATGGAACATTTCTGTAACATATATTATATCATATCGATGGATGAATTGCGTGATAAAAAGTTTTCGAGGAATTATCGAACATGACCAACCGGAGAAGGATTTTTGCGGCGAAGAATGAGCTTTCGAAGAGGGGTAAGAGTGATGGGTGATAACACAAATGAAGCCAGTACGTATCCCCCAATAGGATCATACCATAGCATATTATCTTGAACTACAATGAAACACTGTGGATCTTTGTAGGCGCCACTCGGCATTCCCAACGGAGATCCTGTCAATACCCCAGTATTGGCCTACAGGCTACGAGAACTGTCCTTCTAGCGTAGCCTAATTATACCTGAATATACTCATACCTTCAGGCATTTAATTAAGTCGACAAAAATGAACTGATTGTACGGTACATTGCTGATATGAGATCGGTCGTTGGAGGGAGTATATAAAAATGTTCTATTCATTGGCTTGGTTATTACTGCTTATTTCGAATTCTTCTTTCCCATGACTTCATATCCTTCCGGGACCATCTTTCTTAGCCTGGTCAGTATCTTGCTTCTGGCTTTCACAGCAGAAGCAGCTCCCCTGCAGGACGTTTCCACCAGACGCACCTTGCAAGGCCGGAATGGCGCTCCCAACGCGACCACCTGGAAGCCCACTCCATTTGCATCTTCAAGCTCAGTCTCAAAATCTCCGCATGTTATGAGCCTGAAGAAACTCAACACCACAGGCACAAACCATCGCAGTGCTGCGTATGTGAAAGGGCTGGCCAGCAAGACCTCGGCAAGCGGCACGTTGGTCCCGCTGTTTGAAAGAGAGGAATACGCTGCCTCGATCACATTTGAAAGTCAGTCGTTCGATGTGATTGTCGATACCAGATCTAGTGATACTTGGGTGGTGAAGAGCGGCTTTGACTGTGTCGATCTAGACCCTGGCAACGAAACCTCCACAACGGACTGTAACTTTGGATCCACGTTTACCGTGGATAGGACTGTCAGGGAAATCTCAGAAGAGAAATTTCAGATTGAGTACGGTTATGGGGAGTATCTCTATGGATATATGGCCACTGAGACTGTAACTCTGGCTGATATCACCGTTAATCAAGAGGTTGCAGTGGTCACCAAGGCTGCCTGGAACGGCGGTGGAACGACCTCTGGCTTGACTGGTTTGGCATACCCCGCGCTGTAAGTCTCTGGCCAAACCTGCCCATCCAAATCACTGACGAATAAAACAGGACGAGTGCCTATTCCGGCAATGGTAAACAGAAGGCATACGACCCCATCTTCACCACAATGTATAAAGATGGCCTGGTGGACTCGTACTTCAGCCTGGCAATTCTACGTGATATGTCCGGGGATGCTGGCTACTTAACCCTCGGTGGCCTGCCCCCAATTCATTTTGATGAAACATTCACCAGCACGCCTATTTTAGTCACTTCCATCGAGGGATATTCCAAATCTTACGACTTTTACACCATCAACATCGATTCCATGACCCTGAATGGGGAGAGTGTGTCTGGCTCAGGTGGTTCTGATATCCAGTATATCGTAAGTAGTCGAAATTCATCTTTCATAATAAATGAACACTGACCAAAATATCACAGGTCGACTCCGGAACCACTCTGAATTACTACCCAACGTCCGTCGCCGATGCAGTAAACAAAGCCTTCAGCCCGGTAGCCACCACATACAACGAAGACGAACGCGCATACATCGTCGAATGCGATGCCACCCCACCCGCTAAGGGAATCGTTTAGCATCAACCCATTCGACATGATTCTGCTTGCAGGCACCGATGATGATGGAAATGGCATCTGCATCAGCGGTATTATCGACGGAGGTAGTGACTCTTCAGAGGACTTGTATATTCTGGGCGGTACCTTCCAGAAGAACGTGATTACTGTGTTTGATGTGGGTGCGGGTGATTTCAAGTTTGCGCCGCATGAGAATTACACATCGAATGATACTTATTGAGGAGCATTGGGCATCAATGCTCATAACCATAGGTATGTCAAAGATCAGCATGCGTATATTGAGATAGAGTCTCGACGATGATCTCAGATTAAACTGGCCACCTTGCCGAAGTCTCTGCAAGTAGTAGAGATTAATTAAAACCAAGATGGATTACTATTAGTATATAATGTAGACGATCGTCGCCTCACTTGATGATTTTCGTATCCTAACAGCCATTGGTACTTCTAGCGATTAGCAATAGTTTCCTCTATGGCACTATATAATCATGTATGATTTACTTGGCTACTTCAAAACTTAATATATAACGATAATTATAACATGCCTCGCACGAATAGATAGGATGGAAATGCATGCTAAGTGGCATATGGCATGTGATCGAAGTCTAAACTATAATAGTAACTTTGAGAGCCCCGGAGGCTGGCCATAATGCGAGCCTTATCTCATTTCATACGATACTCCAGGATGCAGTGTGAGGCTTTTCGTGATCCTTCACAAAGCAAGCACCCCTCCGTCTTTAGTTACTAAACCCACGGGATCCTTCGCTTGTTTCTTGGTCGCGGACAGCTAAATATTCCAAAAAAGGTTTTGGGAAAGCGCCATCATCTTACTTTCCCCTTATTTACTTCTTGCTTCAGATTTCCACCACTGTTGTAGTTTGGGTATTGGCATCTTCCTTACAATTTGGGTCTTGGGACGATCATTCCCGGAGATAACTTGCAGGCTATTCGTAAAATCATGAGGATAATAATTGAAGATCGCTGTCTGAGAGAAACATGGAAGTCATTATTTTGACTGAATAAGAAGGAATAGTGCATGACAGATTAGGCAGCCATCATCCCGTGCCCTGCAAGAAGAGCAATTCTGGCCGTTTGAATGTTGTTCTAGCTGCTGTGACTTGGTGTGCAAAACGCCAGCAGATTATAATCTGCTGGCAGAGGCAGGGTGGGTCGCTCAATATAGAGCTGGGATCAGTCATTAACCATTTTCTCTCTGGAATGAAGTTGAAATATTAGCCATGGTGTTATGAAGAACATGATTGTGCCCAAACATTGGCCGTTAAAAGTGCGCCCTACACGAGCTTAGACGGCTTCTATTAAAACCAATCAGCGTGGATTGCACTGATTGAATAGCTTTGACCGTCGAAAGTCTGGATAAGGGAATCCTCTCCCATAGCATCATCCCATGAGGATCACGGGTGTCGCCCGAGCTTCAGTTGGAGTAGCTTTCGATGGCTTGTGGCGGTGATCTGAGGCCCGTTCCGCGAAACCCTAAAGTGGGGGTCATTCTGTGGCTAGAGGAGTTTGGCAGCATGGTTATTTAGCATCCTCATATCCTGGGCGTCATGGATGCTGCTGCCATTTAATTTCTGCAGTAGTTGTTTGCGAATATTGAATTGTCGGTGTGTTCCAAGCTGGTCGGGTAGTATTAAGATGGGATCCCTGAGCAGGTCTCAGAGTGGTTCTCGTATTGGATGTTCAGATCGACAGAGGTGTATGCCTCAAATGCTACACCAAGCGAAAAGCATTAACTCTGTCGCAGAGCCTTTAGTGCTGCTTCACAACCAAAAGCCCGTGGTCAAGAAGCACGCATGCAAGACTTGTCGTCACATTAGCAAGAAGACTACATAGAAGGCTGCCATGTATGAGAAGAGGAAACGTCATGGAGATCAGCATACCGGATGCTGCTCGTCCTGAATGCCCAGGCTGTAGAACTACAACGTTGTCGCGCGACTATGACGCCAAGGGGATCGATGGACAGCAATATTCATAAGATGCATCACGACATGCTGAATATCTGCTCTGAATCTCCATCGGAAACCGGGCAGCCTGATTCTCTGAGGTGCCCTATGCCGACTGCGTCAAATGGCGATGTGTTGTCCCCACCCATCCCAAAATCGCAATCTTACATCAACTGAATGAGAGTCTCGAACGATTCATATAGCGATATCAAGGCAACTAGACCTCCTTCCCAGTATACCCAAACTCTGCAAGAGTGACAGTTATCTACCCTCCTTCACCAGCAGCATCTCACGGTCTCCGATCACAGTCTCTGTGGCATAGGAGTGCAGCCATGGGAGCACAACACGACGCACCGGGAACAAATATTTATCAAGCCAGAAACTACTATCCAGTTACCGGAGTTCAATTCGTTTTCTGCTCTGTCAGATGTGTCTCTACCCGGTCTATCAAAACTTGCATCAAGACATAGCAACTCCTACCACCTGCATTTACCGATCGAGGATACTCACACACCCGTCGATATATGCCAAACTAATTTGAGTTCTTCCAACATCGAGGTAATGTCAGTGGAGACCAAGTCCACACCAGACCTCACCCCTATGAGTAACGGGCCATCTCTCCCTGCAGCGGATGCCGCTATACCGGCCAATGAGATAGAAGCGAACTGCATCGTGGTGGCAAGCAGCGATCTACACTCTGACTTTAACGAATTCAACCAGTTCTCGCTAGACCCGGCGAATTAGTCTCGCTCTCTTCATGAAATTGGGGCATTTACTTTTGACGAATTTCTCTCTTTCAATGATTTTGCTGGCGTACTTTGTCTCTTGCACTGTGAAAATGAAACTGGTAGTGCCCTGCCTGAAACTTTGGACAATGTCGTGGTTGAAAATACGAGAGAAACACCATTCACATAAAGTATAGCCAACGCTGCTATGAATTCTGGGGTAAATACTGAAACGATTTAGGGGCATATTTTGTGAATACGAAGCAGTCGTTTTATTTAATGGCTATTGGAATACATTTGTAATCCTTCTTTAGAGAGTATTCACTACTATAGAAGTACCTCTGTATTGGCGCAAGGCCATCTAGGGTGATTTTGCAGTTTACAATCCCCTTCTCTTTCGTCATTCCTTCATCCTTCTCTCTCTTTACCCTTCTTCATGATTTGCACCTTATCCCTGTGATCAAACCAGTAAATATCATATGGCCAAATACTGATTTAGTCTGGATCTACACACGGGGCGCAGCAGATGCCTGGATCGACCGTTGTTATCTGTGCATAACCTTGGACTTGAAGCGTCGTCAGATCGTATAATCCCGTCGGGATATCTTGGCGATCACCGCTCACAGACTCCTTTTGCAACGCTCCTTTTCCAATGTGGCTGCGCTAAGATAGCCTGGATTCCATGCTGTTCCCCCCTGGCGCAGTTTCCGGGTGCCACCAGTGTCATCGACCGGGATTGACCTTCCCACTAAAGGTGCACTAGAATATCTTCTGTGTTGATCATCCGGGGGGTAGTTCCTTTGTCAAAATCATATGATGGCTCCTCCAGGTAGATCCTGTGATGGCAGTGCAATGTAGCATAGTCGAAGAGTTGTTTTGAAAGTACTTCACCTAGCGTCGATTATTATAAGAACATGTGGGATGCTGTTTACTCTACACCGTTGCAACCTCATGATAAAACCTAGAGTTACTTCCTGTATTCCCAAGGTCCTTGGGGATAGCAGTACGGGGTTTTAGAGATTCGCCAGTCAAAAACTTCAATGCGTCGGGATAGATATTCGCAATTCCATTGCGATCTTATTGGGCCCGTATACACCGGCCTGAAATTGCGTCAGGCATACGAGATTTCAGGGAACCCATGTAGATCAGATGGAATAGTTTAAATTTCCTCGTATAGGCTGATGTATGCACTTGAATTGACCAATATATTGATGAATATATGGTTGCAATATCCAGGTAAAAACAGGTCTCGTTTCATAAACGAATGCTGTCTCTGTTTCAATAGCAGCCAATATCACGAAATGCATCCTCAATCAGCTTGAATCAAATATTACGTGCGCCAAGAAGCACTTTTGGGTTTTGGAAAGAACCTTAATGCTATCCCTTTAACGTGATTGGCTCATTCGGGCTTTGAACCTTTTCAGATTGGCTTTTGGGGTTTGCTGTAGGGCGTGTCGGATCGACTGCGTTAGTTCCAAGGGGTTCGTAAATATTTGGCATGAACGTGCAATTTCTGTATATTGTAAACGGGGTATGGGTTTAATTAAAAGTCACCGTGAAGCTTTTGTTCGGCGATATAAGAGTACAGGACTCGCACCCCTTATATGCCGTATTAATTAGATCCAGTCGGATCGGACATTTTGATATCTGCTATATTGGAGCGTACTATAAAACAAAGCTTTTTTTATTCGCTTTCTCTTGCATGTTGGTGACAATGACCAGCCAGATGCACTCGACGCAAGGGAGCTCTCCTACCAAAAAGGGCATCAGAAGGAAAGCTCCCCATGCTTGCGACCGCTGCAAAATGAAAAAGACAAAGGTAAACAGCCCAATCCAATTCTCTCAATACCGTACTAAGCTATATAGTGTGACGGAGACCATCCTTGTACTCGATGTCGTGCCGGCGACTATGTCTGTGTGTTTAGCAGGAAAAAAGTGCCACGCGAGAAAGTTTGCTCAAAAGGGTCAGCGCACATCCCCATATCTATACATGACAAGATTCCTTGTACTGATTCTTTGAGCTTCTAGCTATGTCCAGTTGTTGGAGCAGCAGAACTATTGGCTGATACGCGGTTTTTATAAACTATACGCACAACTACACACTGATCCTGACAGGCCTGGCGAGCACCCAGGCGAAAGGGACAATAAAAGACCATCATCCCTTCATCAGATGCTCGCAAATATCGGAATTATAGAAGACGATGGAAGCCCTGAACCATCCAGCGACATAATAGACCCGGAACTCGAACCAGAACCTGAACTAGAACTAGAACCAGAGCTAGAGCCAGAGCCAGAGCCAGAGATATCCCGAGACACCTCGCCTAACAACTCGCCTAATGGGCTTGATATGATATCCAGTGTTGTCGACATGGAACCTCCACGGCAATACATCGCCCAGCTGTACTGGGAAGATCGCAGCTCGCAAGAGATATCCCCTGGCAGATTTGAGACATCATTTGCAGAAACAATCGATGCAGAGTATGACAGAAAAATCCCAGCTCCGTGTGTGCACGAACCGGCAGGTTTGCCATTCTGTGGAAGATGTCAAGCACAGCCACTACATGGCGACTTGGATATGGCTGGGAACTGTGGGATTCAGCTGTCTGCAGACTATCTACAGCCACCCATTTTCGATTTTGCACATGCACAAACTTCTCTGGAATGGATACCTCAATTGGCAAAATACTAGGGGGAGTAATTAATAAATCTCACTGGTATATATTTATCATTGTACATATCAGAAGATGAAAACCGGAATATACAACAGCATAGTATGTTGGCGCTCTATCACCGGATCTAGCCTATATCTTCGGGATATATATATTTTTGACCTTTTAGTGGATATATGTTCCTGCTAGTCCTTTTTCTTTTCTTTTTCTTTTCTTTTTCTTTTCTTTTTCTTTTCTTTTCTTTTCTTTTTTTTTTCAAATTCACCACGTACTTGGCTGTATATCCAGATAAATGTAATAGACTGCCCATAGTTTGTTTTCAGTGGACGATACTCGTATTCTTGACGGGTGTTGCTAACGTTCAAGCCATAGCAGGCAACGTACACCAATTAGAGAAGATGAGGAAGCGGGTCCAGGAGCCAGCGCGGCATCAGACCGAAATAGGCAAGATCTGCCGCTATCCATCAGAGGTGGCATGCGGAGCGGATACGAGGAGGTTACAAAGAGCTGTCAGCCCCAACAAATTGATCTTCGACATATTCAAATCCAAAGTACTAAACTACAAAACAACCATCCATATTCACTGGAAACATGGACAGCAAAGAAGATGAAATCGTATGGCTCCAACTGCTGCGATAAAGTCTGCAATACTAATGAATAATAGTGGAACCATCAACTCCCTAACGACCTTCCCCCGCCCCCACCATATTCAGAAGAGCCATCTCAAGCAGCATCATATTCACAAGAGCACGACAGCCACTCTGCATCCCAGACCTTCTTTGTCGACTTTACAAGCTGGAAGCTTCGCCATCTCAACGTAACTTTGGGTGACCGTGATGGCCCCTTAGTCTACAAAGCAGACCTCACCAACAGAAAGCCACACATGAAATTCCAAATCGGCCAGGGAGAAACCTCATTCGCAACTGTCGTTTTCCGTGCATGGAAACCTCTGATAGAAATCAATATCAAGGGCCAAGACATTGTCCTCCAGCGAAAAACCCGTAGAATTCGTGAAGGTATCTACGAGTCTCCTAATCTGGGCACCACCTTGACATGGCAGAACCCAAATACGCGCAAGCTATTTGATTTTGATTGTACGAGCAGAAATGGTGCTCTGCTGGCTCGGTTTACGGCCAACCAAACCTGGAGTATGACGAAGGCCGGGAGGTTGGAGATTTTCGGGGAGAAAGCAGCGAATGGGGAGATTCTGGATGAGCTTGTCGTTACGGGGCTGGCAGTGGCATACTGGGCTCTTTGCGAGCATATCGCTATTAACTAGGTTGACTATTGGCTTTCTGTTTTTGGTTCCTGGTTGCGATAGAGCGAGCGTTGTTTTTGAATCAATTCAAGATGTATATTTACGTTTGACAAAGGAAATAAGTACCCCATACCCGCAATATGATGAAGACATTCAGTTGCTTATTCCAGAAGCACTTCCGTGATATAGCAACAAGGACTGTTTTGCCAAACAGGTATATCCATTGTCATCCTACTTCTGGGTCTGTGGCGGTCTTCTAACCCAGACCTCCTGATCGGTACACGCAGGAGTATCGCCAGCACTGGATGGTGAAGGTTGTCGCAGTTCGATATCCCAGAGATTCAGCTTGTGGGGACCACGGTCTCCTTGGCCAGAGAAAAGGTCGAATTTCCAGCCATGCCTGAAGCATCGAATCCCAGCACCATGTGGCGTTCCCATGTCTTCGATATCAAAAACATTGCCTTGTTTCAGCGGAAAGGATGAGTGTGGGCATTGCTGCATAAGTCAGCGTACGACACGAGCCACAAGGCATACGACGTATGTACATACATTGTCGATGGCGTGCAGGAAGCCTTTGTATTTGAACACAAGCACCTGATCACTCAGATTCGAGAATCGATTTCCTGATTGTCCGTCCCCATTTGCTCTAGGAATGCTCATTGTTTTGCAGGCTGGTAGAATATGACAGCGCTCATTATCCTGGCTGATATCTGGGAACGCCGAGGCCAGACCTACCATGTGCCACGGCTCGGCCTGTACTGATTCTTGATAGTCTCCCATTTTGTATGTGAGTTTATGGAATCATTTGTTTGAACATGACTATGAGGCAACCTTAATAAATTGTATTGGAGATCGGCTATTGAACGGATCGGCAAATGCTGCAATAGCCGCGCTTTCCCGAGAATCTGCTTTACGCATCTATATATTTATAGTATATACTCGATATCAAGTCGGACATCAAAGTAACGGAATAGATTTACTAAATAACTTTTTCCTTTTTATCCGGTCTCACGCTCACGCAATGCTCACGCGCTGTGCGATGGCCGTCCCATTGTTGTAATCGCACATAACGAGCAAGCTCGTGTCGTCAATGGCGACTTCTCCAGCCCAGTGACAGTTCTTGTGGATCAGTGTCTTTTCGCCCCAGGTAGCTCCCTGATCTCTGCTGGTAACGATCTTAACATTTGGTGGCTTGGACTTGCCAGCCTCCCGGTCGTCTTCCCAGGTCGAGAAGCTGGCGACAAGAGTCTTGCCGATGCGGACAACCTGAGGGGCTGACTCGCTGGGAGGTCCGTTGGTGCCCTTGTACACAATCTTGCGGTCATTACTCCAGGTTTTTCCATCGTCAGAGGACGTGATAGAAGTGATTCCAGTGTTTGGGGTCAGGCTCTCAAAGACCGCAATCATCTTTTCGGAATCAGGTGCCAGCCGAGCGACGCCCAGCATTCCATCGCGTTTCTGGATGTCCCCACCCGAAATGGTCTCTTCCTTGCCCCAAGTCTTGCCTCCGTCAGTAGAACGAACGAGGATGCTGTTCTGGTCCTTCCCATCCGTGCGAGTTTCTCTCGAGAAAAACAACATCAAGTCGCCGTTGAGACCGTCCATCATGAATGGTTCCCAGACGCCCAGCCCACGGGTAGTGGTGGTCGCAACCGTGCTGAGAGGCTCCCATTTCTTTCCTTGGTCGTCGGAGAAGTAGACCGACATGATATACTTGGTATATTTGTTCGTCTTCGGGTCGCGCTCGGGGTTCCGGAAAGCCGCCAGGATCCTGTCTGATTTTGGCAGTTGGTGGAGATAGCAGTTGTTCAACCCGTGCGTTTTTTCCACCTCGCTGATGATAGTGCCCACGGGGCTCCAGGTCTTGCCCTTGTCAGTCGACCTGACTGTCTCCAGTGTGACTTTGTCGTCGTGGAGTCCTCTAAAGCATCCGAGCAAGGATTTGTCTTCGATATAGGTTGCGCGCGGGTAGGTGCCCTTTCCCATCTCACTGGGCTCGCCATCAAGTTTGACGCCGCGTTTGACAACCGGAGATGGGGCAGCTGCTGCAAGAGAGAGAATGAGGGAGATAAGAAGAGTAAGAATGGAAAAAGGAAGACGAACTGAAGTCATCTTGAACAGCCGAACGTAAGTGAATTTTGATATTTGATATGTACAAACACCGGGCCAAGTCCTTGTTACTTATAGTAAATTTGTTTTGCCAGATTCTGTTTATAATTCAATACCAAGAGACTTTGGGGCTGAATCGGCCGGGTATTCTGTCCTATGCTATTAGTAGTAACGGAAATACGAGCTTATACTCGTATCACGAGCCGTATGAACGCATGATCTCGCCAAAGCGGACAAGATCTTGCAGATCATCATCATAAAGGATGAACCCATACATAGTACTTTTGTTAGCCTTGGGGCGCCTTATTGAATAAAGCTAGAAGTGGTAAAGGCTTTGCATATATCATTTGTCGTAATTATACAGCCTAAATTTGTACGGACCCCGCTAAGGAAAAAGTGTAAGCTGAACGGCAGATTTTGGTTCCTCTCATAATGAATTGTCGTTGGATCCGGTCGCATGGTTGAAATATCTGATTGAATACCGTGGACTTTCCAGGTCGCCTGGCTTCGTAACAGGTCAACTCTCACGCCCAGTCTGTCATCGCTTCAACTGCCCCTTTGAATCTCCCGCGGGGGTCCAACTGCCTCCGCAAACTCTGCAGTTTTGCAAGATGAGGCCCCCATATCTACAATACAGTATGAGTAGCTGAATATGACGCTGGAAACCGGTCTAGCCATACCTTGGTCTGATCATGATAGTCTTCGAAACCATTCGGCAGCACATGAATTTCCGCATTATCTCCTGATACCATGGAGGGGGCTTGGATAGCTAGATCTCGAGCCCGCCTCTCCTTGTCTGGCCCGGCGTCTGCAGGACACCCGATACCGAGGAGCAAAATATGGTTCGTACCACTGGGTCGTGGCCATGCACAGCTGGATATACCTCCTACTGGATCCCGCTAATTAAACAAAGCGAAATTTAGTTTGCAGTCTGATATTAGCCTTCCTGTTGAGGTGAACACATACCGAGCTCAGCAACTCGAAGATGAGATAGGTGCAATCGGCAATCGACTCGTCCACATTTCGGATTCCTTCGAACCACCTAATTGCGTTAATTATGGTGTCTTGCGAGATTTCCCGTAGCAGCAACGGCTGACAGAACTGTTTCATGGTGCCTTTGACGATATGCGCTTTGTCTGTACAGGTCATCAGTGATTATTACTAGATGACACCGCGTGAGAAAGCCATAAAAATGGTTCTAACCTTTTAAATTTGCAACACCAGCAAGGGTAGTGATCATGGTCTGATCGACAGCTCCAGGTATGTTCAGCGCCCATTGGAAGTTGGTTCGGCCGTGCTCTTCCCCATGGGCGTCAAATACATGAAGTACCAACATATCTGAGTCCGTCCCAATCGACTGGAGCAGCCGACCCTTCACCACGTACAAAAACAAAGTGACTTTGGGATCCACTGGTTGTGCGACGAAGTTCGCAATTCCCTCTGCGACATGCTCCAGCCTTTCCCGGGGGATCAGTATTTCACCTGCCCAGATTCTTTGTGGATAAGGGAATAGTCGGAGCTTGACCTGGACCAGCACTATCCAGATATGGAGATCAGTACAGTCTCGAACGCGCGAAAGGAAAAGTCACATACCACCAAAGCCGCCGCCACCACCCCGGAGTGCCCACAGTAAGTCCGGCTCTGCAGACGCCCATACCGCCGAACCGTCGTACTTGACGACTTTCGCATCCAACATGTTCACTGGATCGGAGATACAGCCATACTCACTGGAAAGCCACGAAAAGCCTCCGCTGAGGATGGTCCCTGCTACTCCGACACAGGGCGTGCGGGCTCCCACGACTTTGTTTGTACGAATGATATCAGCTTTCGAAGAAGAACAAACTTGAAGATGGATTCATACTTCCATATTCCGGGGCCACCTTGCTGAGCTTCTGGTATACATCCGCCCATGTCTGTCCGGCACCAATGATTACCGACTCCGACTGCGCATCTAGGTGGAGGTTATCGAATGCTGACATATTCACCACGACATCCTTAGCCGAGGCAGAACTAAATCCGTGGCCATAGATTGCAAAGTCCAAGTTGGTGGCGTACAGGTGGGCGAGGGTCTTGCTCAAGGCATCGATCGTGATTGGTCGAATCACCAGGCAGGGGCTTGACTGCTTCTGAGCTGCCCACGTCTGGATGCTTGTGAGATAATCAGGCGAATCGGGGGTGATTATCTCGTCAGTGTGCAGGAGTGAGCACAGTGCTGTGAAGACATTCCCATCTGTGTTCGATCCAGCCATAATGAGAGAAACAATAGATGGGAAGAGCTACGTAGATGGTATGTGTAGTATTACAGAGGCTGGATAATCATTTAATATCCGGTCTTGCACTGAAGGGAAGATGCATAGTCTGGCAGTCTGCAGCACAATGCCTAGCAATATACATCGGTTGAACAGGTTTCCAGGTGAAGATCATCATTCAAATAATACCACCTCTCTAACCATCCTTTAGGAAATGGTGTCCAAGTTGTCGATTATTGGATGGGTTTGGCTGGAAGTGGAACTGAATGAAGACCCAGTTGATTGCCCTGTTGGTTCGGAAATCCGAAGCCGCAGTGGAACTTCGGGAGTGCGGCGACATAGATCTTTGCCCCAAAACCGATTTATTAATTTATTATTTATTAGACACTTACTGGGAAATTGAATACTAGCCATTGAACTAATTGATTGTGTGCGACCAAACCCCAACCCCTGCACGCTGCACAATGTCGAACGTCCTCGTTACAGGGAGCTCCCGCGGTCTTGGACTGGAGTTGGTGAAACAATTGGCCGCTCACCCTGATTTGAATGGAGGTTTGGTATTGGCTACAGCTCGGAGATGCAGTTCTGAGCTGCAGACGGTCATCTCCACGGCCAAGGGCTCTATTGTCTTTGTCACTCTGGATGTGACTGATCAGGGGGTAATCATGCAGTCGGCAGAGAAAGTCAAATCAGCTCTGGCAGGGCGAAGTCTGGATATTCTGATTAACTGTGCTGGTGTCCATAATGAGACCCATGGAAAAATTGCTCTTATGTACGACATACTTTCTTCAGTTCTGTTCTGCAGCTAACCAACATGTCAGGTCTGACCTCGACTACCAATTATCCGCCAATGTGACCGGCGCACACAATGTCTTTCAGCAGTATCTCCCTCTCATGCAGACGAGTGATATCAAGAAGGTGGTGTGCATGTAAGTCGCTGCAATAGCTGGACCTATATCAAATTTTAGGGTCACCGGTTGCTCACCGATCAATTTACAGTTCTAGCATATTTGGGTCCCTGAGCAAGGCTCGAGAAGTAGGCTATGCTCCCTGCCCGGCCTACAAGATCAGCAAAGCAGCTTTGAATACTTTGACGGTACAATATGCTCTGTCCTATGAGGATGAGGGTTTTGTATTCCTCGCCGTGAGCCCCGGAGTAGGTCCTCCCCGTCAAGCAAAGAGTTGATTCCATGCTAACTGATCCGCTCAGTGGCTGCAAAGTGATATGGGCGGACAGGATGCCGACCTCACGGTTCCTCAGGGAGCAGAGGCAGTGTTGAATATCGTCATGGCTGCCAGTGGTCGGGATAATGGTAGTTTCAAAAACGTTCATGTTCCAGGATGGGAGGTCTATGATGGTCAGAATATACCCTGGTGATTATCGGATCAGGAGGTCACTAGGAAGCAGAAATATTTTTGATCACATGCAGTACGTGAGGCTAGTGTAGCATTTCATTCGGACGTTGCCAGGGAATTTGGTTGAGGAAGAATCGACTTCCCGGGCTGCCACATGCATCAACTAAATATATATATTACGTTTTATGAACACCCCGATCAAAATAAACAGCAATTGACACCACATTAGTCAAAGGATTGAGATCTCGACGATGTATGAAGGTCTCTACTACATAGTGACTGCAGTGTGGTTGTGGGAGCCTCAGGCAACAAGGCAGCAATGGCTAAACGGCGCTTGGTTTTCCCACTTCCGCCTCCCCCGATTGACACCGCATCGAATCACCGTAGAATAACCACTGTCACAGCCGGTTTATCAGTACAGAGGAGCAGAAGATTTGTGATTATGCCAGATCATCCTACAGTTACAGGAGACATTCTGCCTGCTGTACGTTTTGCTCGCTGCTCGAACATTCATCTTGATACTGCACAATAGACACAAAGCTGACCATCGACCAGTGTGACCAATGCCATTCTAGAAAGGTTGTTACCTTCGAGTGATGTTAATTTACCATGTACGATGAGTCTGACCTCATGGCTTTTAGATCAAGTGTAACAGGCAAGCGCCATGCGCGAACTGCGCGGATGCCGGTGTGGAATGCCGACGCCTGCGCCATGGACGGTCATCTAGGAAGAGAACTCGTCAGAGGTCTGCTGGGATTCACGCCGTGCATATTATGTGTCAGTCATCAAATGAGTGCTAACAGTAGTTGACAGCGACTTGGGCCGTCAAGAAAACATCGTGGACTTCGGACACTGCCCTAGTCCTGGGCGTGCGACCAGAGGTGACAGCCTTGATGGAAGGGCCACTCCCAGCAAGAGACAGCGAGGAGATCATGACCAACAACACCCTGTAGAGAGATCCCCTATTCCGGCTGCTTTGTCGACTACAAGTGATGGCGGCTCGAACTATCATGCACTCCAGGCAAAAGGAGTTATTCAAATAGATCTCCACAATCCCAGCTGTATCGGTCGTGAGCGACAGGCCTTACTCAAGTCTGCGCTTCATCTAGTGAGCAGCATCGCCGAAACTGGGCCTCACCACAGCGAGATAGCCATGGAGGAAGAGTCTCATCCACAAAATTATGCTTTGACCGTACCAGAAACGCCGTCTCGCGAGCTCCTATTTATGCTTCTTCCTGGTATTTAGACGAGTCATTACATTTAAAGCCGCAGCTAATGATGTGAAGGCCCACCGGAGTCTGTTCGTATTCAGTGGCCAGATCATATATCCGACAAGACCTACGCGAGAATGGCCTCAGCTTTGCTACGAGATCGTTCCGAAATTGAAGTCTGCAAGTTTCATCAATACTGCGTCTGCGTCTACGTAAAGGCGGTTTTTCATTTGTATCAAGCGTCAGGAACAACCGACGACCCCTTTCTCAAAGGCGAGTTCTCGCTGTCCCGATCCACGTATATCGCAGCGGCGATGCGCAGCATCGAGCATTTCAACATTCTTAAGCCACCAGATCTCTCAGCCATACAGTCTCTTATTTCAAGTGTGAGTTCATGTGACAAAGTCAAGTTGTTCGGCTAATCAACATCCCACCCCCTAGGCCTTGCTCATGCAACACTTGGGAAGACCTAATCAATGCTGGCTCTTCATCTCGTATGCTGCTCGACAGATCACTGCTCTCAACTATCACAGGATTCGCAGACTGCCGACGAATTCAGACCAAGAGCAAGAGATTCACAATGTCCTTTATTGGTGCTATTATCTAGATCGAACTCTAAGCTCCCTTCTCTGTCGGCCTCCGTCGCTGCCCGACCTCGACGTTTCCCCTACCGAGCTTATTGTGTTACACCCATCATCACCATACGATAGTCTGCTGCGTCTCCTACTCGATCTCGCTCAGGTCCAGGGCAAGTTACATGCGGTATCCTGTGGTGGTGCAAGTGTAACGAAAGAACGGGCTCTGGATACATGCCAGCTTCTTGAATGCAAAATGCAGGCCATTCTCCCAACCCTGCAGTCGGTATGTCCTCTCTTACTCGCCCTTGATTCAATCCCCTAAAGCAGATCTTATGCAGAGTCGCGACGGCCATCCCAAACTAATGCAATACCACTGGGTCGCCGTTGACTTTTGCTACTACGCGATATTCGTCGAGATCCACCGAACTCGCTTGCAAAGTGCGTTCAACCCAGCTGTGCATCAGCAATGTCTGTTGTATGCTCGCAAGTCGCTCAAAGCATTCCATTTCCTACAGCAGCATTCGGTGGAGATGCCTGGCTTTGACGATCCCTATCCGTCCTTTCTCACATGGTGCGCTGGTACCTACGCTTGTGAACCCTGCGCTCTTGCTCATGATCCCTTCACAGGACGTTGTTTCTCTACCCACTCAGCGCTTTTTTCGTGATTTTCTGTAACATAATCGGGACGGTGGATCATGAGGATTACGAACTGATGCGGCAGATTACCCAGAGACTGACACCGTTTAAAGAAGATCCCCATCTAGGTAAACTTTTGAATCTGCTGCAATCACTGGAGCGACTTTGCGAACCCTTGTTTCAGGAACCAAGCGGTCCATCCGAATTTGCCTCAACCCAGAGAGAAGCGCCAGGTGCGTTTGTCCCAATGAGTGATCACTCTGCCGATCCGGTTACCATTGGAGCTTTTCCTCCGGGGCTATCATTCAGCGATAATCTGGAGCTGATGCCAAACACCGAGACCGACCTCTCGGCCGACCTGTTGATGTGGCAGCTCTTCAACAGCCAGGTTCCAGCTGGTTGGCTGAACAAGGACATTGACTCTTTCGGTGTTTAAGAAAGTATTTGGTGACTATGGGGCAGACTTGAATGATGCCGTTTCAGTGGCAAAAGCGGAGACTTTCGTCTCGGGCGGTTACCCTTTTGACTCGGATTTCCGGCCGGCTCGGATGTCCGAAGTCATGGGTAGCACACCTAATTGCGACAGGTTTTTTATAATACCTTGCATAAGGAAAATGGCTACGGAACTTCAACGGTCCATCTGGTTTTCGTAGCCAACCCTCGTCCAGTAAGTGGATCTCTTGACACCCTTTCTTGCAGCACCAAACTCCTGCCCAAAAGCCAACACACAAGAACTAACCCATCACGAATCCCAAAGGTTAATCCCTACTTGCCTACTATGCCCGACCAAGACGCAGGCTTTACTGTTCACTGCGCCAACCTCAAATGGCTACCCCTCGCCCCGGGTGTGTTCATCAAGATTGTCAAGCTAGTCCCCGAGACGGGGGAGTACACAATCATGGTCCGGGCCCAACCGGAGGGTCTGCTTCCACGACACCGCCACGTCGGCAGCGCCGACATCTATGTTTTGAAGGGGAGCGGCGCGCATCCTCAAACCGGGGCGTTTATGGAAGGTGACTATGTGTCCGAGAGCAAAGGGGCGGTTCACGACCCGCTGCCTTTTGAGTGTGAAACTGAGCTTTTGATGGTCAGTCGTGGTCCGTCGGTGTTTCTGGCGGATGATGGATCGGATATGTATACTATGGATGTTGCCATGCTACAAGGTATGGTAGAAGCAGCAGAGTCGGCTTAGTATCAAGACCAATGAATGACTTAATCACATGGAATCATTTCCTTTTTAATTTGATGTATACTACTCATAAAGACTCGTGAGTCGAGTGGGGGGATGGGTGGGTGCATGGGACACCTGTCTACCTCTTTCATAGAAAAATCTCTCTGCGAATGAACAATATTACGTCGAGTAACTAGATTTATAGAACTGAGTGATGGAGAATCACAGAATTGTCTGTTATGAGATACAAAATCTTTTATAATTCGTGACCCATCGTCACTGAGCTACTGTCCTTATAACCGAAGCTCAATTCCTTATCCATTATACATTGCAAAGAGCTATGTGATGAAACTCATGTATTCTGATCTTTATGAATCCTCACGCCAAGCTCAGACCCAGATCATCAGAAGGCCCATTGCTTCAACCAATTTGCCATCATATCAGGCGTAATCGGAGGCAGCGACCTCATAGTTTGACTCGCAGCCTTCGTACGCTCCATTTCAAGAGGAACAGATAGAGCCCCTTGCCCTTCAACTAGACTCTGATAAAACTCGAGTAGCTTCAAGGCTGGTTTCTCTGCAAGGTCTTCTGTCGTCGGAGCCTTAATCTGCCTGAGCTCTTTAATCCATTGCTCCATTTCCACTTCCTCCAATCCATAAGCGTCATGAATTGGGTCTAGAAGGCTTTTCCATGTTGTGACGGTCGGGTTGACTAGGTGGAATACCGAGAAAGGAGTTTCGTGCTGTGCCTTGCGGCGTGCGTGAACGATTTCGACCACGATTTTGGAGAGCAGGTCCTATAATAGCGAGTAAATTGTGATTAGTCTATGTTGTGATTCAGCTGATACTGCCTGAAAACTCACCACGGGAATCCAATCAACCGGAAACGCTCCAAGACTGGATGGAGCCTTCCCAAGAGACTTGGAAGAAGCGATAATAGCAGGAATCCATTCCTGTGAATTCCAATACCCACTTTCAGTACACGGCCCAGCGATCTGCCCCAAGCGATGCACACTCGTCGGCACACCAGCAGTCCGAGAAGCAGCAAGGCAAATCCGTTCACAGATATGCTTAGCTTCCCCATATCCCTGGCGAAGCGTCACATCACAATCTTCAAATGGAAGCTCAGGAATGACCGGACCATTGGAAAGCGTCCATCCGCCAATTGCGCCAATGGAAGACAGGAAATGGATATGAGTGCGGTGGGCGCTTTGGAGACTAAAATCTACCAGGGTACGCACGGCTCGGATATGGACTTCTTCGAACGACTCGACGGATATGTTAAAGTCCATTCTCCAAGCGTTGTGGATAAACGTATCGACAGTATCGAGCATTTCCTTGTATTTAGCGTTGTCAATGCCCAGTTGAGGTTCGCCTAGTGATGCTTGGATGAACTCGACTTTGTCTGGGATGTTTGGGTCCAGGCCTCTTTCTTTGAAGGCTTTTTGTTGCCTTTCTACCTGCCCATCTCGTGTTAGGCAGTATACTTTGCCAATGGTCTTGTCAGATCGTAAAGAATCGAGCAAATAGCTCCCTAGTGATCCAGTCGATCCTGTCAAGGCAACTGTGAGGGTATCTGTATTGCACATGGTGTGAACATGGTCATGGTGAAGAAGATTTTTTGTATATTTTGCGACTAAGCCATCGATCCTTTCACGTCTTGAGATTGTCTTTGTTTCAGTGCCAGTCAGCATATCATTGAGGAGTATCGCGATCTTGTCAATGCTTGGATGCATGTAGACCATTTGTGGAGTGATGTCCTTGAACCCAGTAGCCCTGAGGGCTGATGCTAGCTGGATGGTGCGCAGTGAGTCAAGCCCGACATTATAAAGATCGGCGTCGTCTGCGCATGAAGTGACATTTGAAACATGTACCACAAGGTTTCGAACAAAGTCCAGAATGCTTGGGAAGTCTGGAGAGGGCGGTAGGGTAAATGGGAGCTCTTCAACGTCGGGCAAGGAGTAGATGTGCTCAATCTCATCCTTATAATCGTCTGTTACGATTCTTCGTTGAGTACTTCCTTTCGGTGTCGTGGCGAAGGGCTTGTCTCGAGACGCCAAAGCGATTTTGTTCCTCAGCACATGTCCATGTGCCGGGCTGATTCGATTTGCCTCTTGCACTGTTGGCCAGACAACGTCAATTACGTTGGTTCCATTATCGACCGAGTCCAATTGACTCCAGCTTGGTTCAATCAACAATGCTGTCTGGAATCTACCAAGTCCAACGACAACCGCCCGAGCCACCAAGGGGTGTCCTTCAATAATCTTCTCCATTGTGACCGGGTTGAACTTCTCGCCATTGTTGAGCACAATCACATCGTCTAAGCGACCGTAGAACCTCCACAGGTTCGGTTTGTTTGGATGTTCCAAATATAGATCTTTCGTATGGTAGCAGTCAAGATCAGGGAACGTATGGAAGATAGGCTGCAGCTCTGGGTTTTCATGCCTGCATAACACCATCTCATGCAACCCATTTTCGACATGTTCCATTTTGATACCAAAGGTAGGACTCCACTCGAAGAAAGACCAGTCTCCGTTTTCCGGCAGAAGCGACAACACGAAACCGCCCTCTGTCATTCCAAGGAAGCTGACAAGCTGGGTGCATTCACTGACCTTGCGGCCGACGTCGGGGGACAGGGGTCCTCCTCCGAAATATACACGCTTGAGCTTAGAGAGGGCTTGAACTGACTCTGGGTTTGCTGCAAGATCTTCTAAAATAGAAGGAGGGAAGAGTGCTGCCGTTGGCTGAGTAGTCGCCAGTACGCTTGTTACCAATTGGGTTGATAGGGGCTTGTCTGGCAGTATCACGCACGGGATTCCATGAAAGACAGCCATGATAAGCAGTGCAAATCCCATGAGATGGAAGAAGGGAGTCGTTGAAAGGACCAGATCATCAGGGGACAGTCTGTCTGGAACACCAGCCACGCGACCTGTTGGGATAGGGACATGGGCTCCGTGGTCTAACGCGCCAAAGTATCCAAATGTGAGTTGGATTGGCTTGGGGAATCCTTAGAAGTTGATCAGTTTGGGTCACTTGTCAAAATTGGCTATTTGGGGTGTTCTACCTGTCGTGCCTGAGCTGTGAGCGATGAATGCTACTTTATTCTTGACATCTCCGAATGTTCCCAGAAATGGATACGCAGTGGTTTCCAAAGACGTCATTTCCGCCATCGAGGGAATCTCAAGGCTGCTAACATGAGCCGCAGCAGAACAGATATCTTCTGCCTTTTGCCGTTTCTCGGAACTGTACAGAAGTTTGGAACAGTTTGTCATCTCAAAAAGTCGGACATGAGCCGCCTGAGAATTACGCGTCGAGGAGAGTAAGGGCTGACAGGGCAGGTTAGCCAAACGACTCAAGCTTTGCTCATTCAGGATGTGGTTTGAGGATGGATCATACCTTGTGGCCAGTCTTGTTACACGCAATAACTATCACGAGATAGCGTACATCATTTGCTCCCAGGTACGCCACTGTTTCGTTGAAAGTGTCACTTTTCCCAAACTCTTTCTCAATCCACCAAGACATGTAATTGATTGCATGGGCCAGCTTCTGCACACTCAAATCCACATAGGCCTGAGGGTTCTCGGGACTCTCTGGCATAGAACAGACCTTTTTTTCAGGATCTGTCTCAGCCAGACTATCAATGACATGGGCCATGACCCGTTTGCCGATTCCTGGAATCTCAAAGTCTGTCATCTCGATTGAAGTAGAACTGTTGAATAGTGTTTGTAACAATGAAAGAAATCTGGTTGTTTGGGTACAATAAGGGTTACAATTGATTCATATGATTTGCTACGTGATATATAACCATTTCCACAGGTCATGATGAGGCGTACAATCGGTCCAAGAATGCCGAAAGCCACACTGCATCCTCTAGGTAGTACGAACTGAAACACCAGTCGCACCCCAAGAGAACATCTAGTGCCCAATATGAGTGAGGAAACGTCATCATAGAACTCTGACCGGCAGGAAGGAAGATCAACATCCGATAGTACGTAAGTCCACTTTCGATTCTATAGCTTGGATAGCCGTATAATACGGGGATTCATACAGGAAATCCAGGATAGAAGCGATATGACGTGGAGCATGCTCGCTACCTCATAACTCAAGCGGATCAAGACTCAAAGGGTAATCATGTGAGCTCTACCGATCTGTTCGTGCAGATCAATCTAGATAGTTGTCTGCACCCGAGATCCGCTAACAAAAACTAGCGACAGATATAGTTCTGCAGATCAATCTAGATAGTTGTCTGCACCCAAGATCTGCTAGCAAAAACTAGCGACAGACATGGTGTTGCCTTCGTCAGACTGTGGCGTATATAATACGGAGTGGTCTGCAGCTGGTGAAGATTATCGGTGTCTTTCTACCCGAAAAAAGACCGAATCTTATTGTGTTTGCTTTTTTCGGGCGTTGACTTTTTACCGCTGATTATTTTGACCTTTGGTAACTCGTAGACTGCAGCAGATCTTAACAGCGGCTGAAAATTCATCTCTAGACGCACTATCGTTGTTTTATTAGGCACCGGCTTTTTTCCAGCTTACTAGGGGGGGGAAGAAAAGGGTCGCAAGGACGCGTATTTGCGCTTAGCGTATGTCATACTTGTGATTAGAATACTGAATACGCTGTTGTATTCAAGACAAAAATTTCCAGGTTTTACAGGAACTGCCTAAAATCAAAGCCCAAGGCGCCTACACGGAAATCAACATTGAGTTTGAGGTCACTCGATGAGAGGACCTGGATAAACAGTCTGGGTAAAAGCGGGTCGGTCCGAGCGCCTACCGCTATTGACCAAGGGATGTATTTTTCGTCAAAAAATACTTGGATAAAAACTGGATGTCTTGGAAGGCAGCAAATTTTGATAAAAATACGAGCAAGCTGTATATAGGCTAGGATAATGTATAGAGCTTGGATGAATCATCCGGTCTGTATTGAATTGTTTCTGTTTACCTCCTCCCTTGAGGCACAGAAACTTGAAATTCCAAGATATCATGTATCGTATCTGCTAAAAACCTCGGCCTCGGCTCGTTCAAACTCAGTCATAATGGTCTTTTGTCTTTCCTCTGACCGTGGCTTGATATCAACCGCGTAGGGCTTAGCACACCGTAAGAACCCATCGGTATACCCGGTGACAGGATCGCAGTTAATGGGAATTGGAAGCCCACTGGAGTCCAGTTTTGGGGTGATGTCAAACGCCCACAGAATCTTAGCAAAGGCCAAGAAGAGTCCACGTTCTGCTAGATGAATTCCAGGGCAGATGCGACGCCCAGAGCCGTAACCGTAGTGATCACGGTTTTCGTAATCAGGCGAAGATGCATACACTGGCGCCAGGCTAGTACGCCCTTTGTATCTTGAGGGGTTGAACTGGTTTGGCTCACCATGAAGGCAGCTTTCGTGATGCAAACTCCATACGTTCATCATGACTGTGGACCCTGCAGGAATTTTCATGCCGTCAATCGTACTCTCTGTTGTAATTGTAAGCAAAGTGGACTGAAAACCTGTCAAAGCAACGGGGAACAGAGACAGCTTACCTTTACTTGTGGCGTGTGGAAATGCAGTTGGCATCACAGGCCGCCAACGCATGGTCTCTTTGACCACCATTACTACATATGGTAGACTCGAAAAGTCTTCCCATGTAGGAGTTCGCTCCGAGCCAATCACGTCGTCAATTGCTTTTTGCGCTTCCTTTTGCGCCTCGGGATACAAGGCCATAGCTTGAATAAAAGTAATGGTGGTGATAGATGTTGTTTCAGACCCACCCTCCAGAAGATTTCCAAGCATGAGGTCAATTTCATGCCGAGTCAATTGCAACTTTTCTTGCTGATCAAATATCATGTCCAAGTAACTCTCGCCTTTCGTACACTCGGCCTTTGCTCGACGAGATAAAACCCGGTCAACAAGCGGACCATAGACAGAGTCCATTGTTTGAGCAAGATTGGCTGACCGAGATTTCCAATAATTGAAAAATGATTCTGGGATCCAAGTTAGGAATGGGAATATGTCCACTGGTGGAGTGGCGCCCATTTCAAAAATCCCAGAAATACCAGCCAGAACAGTATAGAGACTGTTCATGTGAGACGCTGATGCATCTGGTGTCCGAATACCCGTGACTAGAGCTGTCTTAGTGCTCTACTCGTCTTTTGGAAAGGTGCCTTGTACATACCCAGACTCATAATGACACTGTTTGGGAATCTCTTGCAGTGACTTATGAAATCATCCGGGCTATTACAGAGATCTCGGACGAGCTGAGTAGCTTCGGCATTTTGCAGATGATGGTGACTCTTGTCACAGACAGTTTCATTGAAAAATTGATGATACAGTCGCCTGCCGCGTCGCCATCTGGCATCAGGATTGAGGAACATTAGATGATCATTGTGGAAAACGAGATTGTCAGCAATGTATGATTTGGGTCGATTACTATAGACAGCTGATTGTTTGTCGACAAGCTGCTTGATCATGTAAGGAGAGCTCAGAACAACCACAGTCTGTGTTCCCAATTTGAGTGAGAATATAGGACCATAAGTCGACGCCCAATCAGTAAATCTGTCATATATAATTAGCCTGGTAAATTTTTGAATGCACGTTTGGAGTGGTGCATACTTGAGATGAGCCCCAGTCTTAGGAATCTGGTGGATGTTTCCAATGATGGGGAGGCACGGAGGGCCTGGGAAAGAACATTTAGTCTAACTATTTTTTTCAGATTTGAGGAAATTTTACCTGGAGGTAGGCCAGGAGCCCTCTGGCCTGGGAATTGACCCCGAGCAAAAAGTATAATGGCAAGTGCCGCAAGGATCAGCGCGCAGCCTAAAACTGAGTACATCACTGCTGTCTAGATGATTGAAAGTGTGAGAAAGTAATATTGCCTCACTGACTGCTGAGGATCAACCAGGTGGGTTATATCATCCGATCCTGGTTGATTGTGTCATGCTCCGCCACTCTGCAGCTGTATGCGTATCCCACTCGGCTCGGACGCATAATGCAGATCCTGTTCACCTTCTCGTCACGCTCTTGAAATTACACACTATTGCTGTAAATTTGGGACTAACTTCAAGTTTCTTATTCTTTCCCATTTTAAATTAACATTCGCCATGTCTCTCCCCTCCTTCCTGTATTCCCAGCCCACCTTCTTGTCACGCTCTTAAATTTGTTCACCCTCGCTGCAAATGTGGGATTAACTTCGAGTATCTTGTTCTTTCTCATATCAACTTAACATTCACACCATGTCCCTCCCCTCTTTCCTGTACTCTCAGCTGTTTGTGGGACTTCCCCAACCTGAACATGACTTCACCGGTCAAACAATTGTCATCACGGGTGGAAACACTGGTTTAGGACTTGAAGCAGCGCGCCACCTATTAAGGCTGAATGCGTCCTACGTAATTCTTGGTGTCCGAAATCTGTCTAAGGGCCAGGCAGCCAAGAAGGACATTGAACAGTCTACCGGAAAGACTGGCCGAGTCGATATGGTCCATTTGGACATGGAAGATTATCAGTCGGTCAAATCATTCGCTGCATCAGTATCTACCCTGCCTCGTGTTGATGTTGCCATTTTGAATGCGGGAAAGATAGCGCAGGACTTTTACATTGCAGAGAAAGATGAGAGCACGATTACGGTCAATGTTGTGAGCACTATGCTCCTGGCGTTACTACTGCTTCCCAAGTTACGCGCCTCGGCCCAAGCAGAAATGCCATATCCTCGTCTGGTCATTGTGTCGTCTGATCGGCATGTAATGACGAACTTACCAGAGTGGAAAACGCCCAATACATTTGAAGCTTTGCGGAACAAGACCCATTATGGACCAGATGATCGGTAATACGACCTCCACCTTCTATTTCTTCCCTTGACCCATGGCTAATGCTGCTAATATTAGATACTATGCTTCCAAGCTTCTTTCGGTCCTGTGTATGCGACAGTTGGCGAAAGAAATTACATCAACGGACCCAAAAATCATTGTCAATGGGCTGACGCCAGGATATTGTGTCACGAACCTTGTCACTGATGTACAAGGATTCTGGGGATGGCAGCTTTACGTTATGAAGCTGTTGTTAGCACGTACAGCAGAGCAGGGATCTCGGTCGTTGGTCCACGCGGCTTCCTTGGGACTAGAAAGTCATGGGAAATATCTGAATGACTGCAAGATCGATGAGTCCGTTACCCCCCTCCTCCAATTTGTGCTCTCTAACCTACGATCTAGTGGCGCATTATCTGAGTTTGTTAGAAGCGAGGAGGGAGATCAAGCTCAACAGAAGGTGTGGAAGGAGTTGCTCGAAAAATTGGAGTGTATTGTGCCTGGGGTGTCAGGGAATGTTCATTGAATTATGTCTCCAATCCCATCCTCGACTAGAATATCAACCCACAAACAAGTTGATCTTGATTTTACCATACAATCGCTATGTAAATGTGCGTAGGAAATGTCAGATCATGTGAATACACCATTCATGCATTTATTACAAAATAGCTATAGCCCTGGTGAACATGTATCAAGAAGAGGTAGAATAGCCGAACAAAACATTATACTATACGCTGCGTGCATAATTAAATGCAAGATGCAAGGCCCTCCATATCACCGGGTCCGGATTTCCATGACAGGGTCCACTAACTATTGGCGATCAGCGTAGGTGCAGATGAGATCGGCAACGCCTTTAGTATTACCTAAAACTGAAACTATAAGATAAATACAATAAATAAACTCAAAAATTATTATCACTTTATGAGGTAAATAATGGCATGATCTATATACTTCTTCACCTTCAGCTTTGATATACTGGGTCTGGATCTCCATGGCTCAGTCCACTAACTATTAGTGATCAGCGTAGGTGCAGATGAGATCAGCAATGCCTTTAGTGTTACCTAAAACTGAAACTATAAGATAAATATGATAAATAAACTCAAAAATTATCATCGCTTTATAAGGTAAATAATGGCATGATCCACATACTTCTTCACCTTCAGCTTTAATATACTGGGTCCGGATCTCCATGGCTCAGTCCACTAACTATTGGCAATCAGCATAGGTGCAGATGAGATCGGCAACGCCTTTAGTGTTACCTAAAACTGAAACTATAAGATAAATACAATAAATAAACTCAAAAATTATCATTGCTTTATAAGGTAAATAATGGTATGATCTATATACTTCTTCACCTTCAGCTTTGATATACTGGGTCCGGATCTCCATGGCTTAGTCCACTAACTATTGGTGATCAGTGTAGGTGCAGATGAGATCAG